TTACATAACCAATTAAAACATTACATAACCAACATTCTCCATTTTTATAATTAATTTACCATGTTTCTCCCTGCAAAGGCAAATATAACTAATTGAAAAAAATGAACAAGCAAGTTTTATTCCGAGGGGAAAATATACTATTTATTGCCACTCTCAATCATTGCAACAATTACTACCATTCCATTTCCTGAAACCGTTATTTATCAGTCCAACTTTAATACAATTTTCTACTCAGTTAGTTAAAATAAAGAACTATCTACAATGTTTATGTCAATAAAATTGAAGTTGATATGCCTTTTCTATCATTAATTTTTTTTTATTGTGACAGGAAGGAGTGCAAACTTTACCCCTTAGATAGGAGTTCTACTGTTAAAAAGTATTGATTCTCCCATTGTGTTGTTACAGAAAAAATTGCATACTTAAAAGCAATAGATATTAGTGGAGACGTACAAACAGCGGATCAACTTTCAACGATAAAGACAGTCAGATGTATAAGAACATAGTTTCTCATTACACAGGAACAGCTCAAAGTATTATTATATTATTAAAACGTCACGTTCCTATTAACAACTAAGTGGAATAAAACAAGTGAAACATGCTTTTATTGTAGATTAACAGTAGTAACGATCTTGTATTATTCCATATCAATTTCATTATAAGCGGTGACAGCTTATCGACAATATGCCTGCATGAAGTGTTTTGTTGGGGCCATTTTGTGTTAGAAGTGTGGACCAGTGAAACAACTTCAATGAGTCATTCGTTATAAAATGTACGGGACTTTGGGAAAATTCAAATACCTTTTTTGGTTCGAGACGGTCCATGGTCTATCGGTAGTTTCTTTAAGTGATTTGGTACGGTTGTCATGGAAGGTTGTCTACACCTCCGGCTTAATAGTGTTCGTATCGGCAGTGGGATTTCACGGAGTATACACTCTGATCATACGTCCTAATCCTGCTACTCCTGCAGTCATTTGTCACGTGGTAGCTACTTTTGCGATGAGATTGTTTATCCTAGCTAGAGCTATCTATGACTACAAAACCAAACGGGCACCATACTTAGTCTGAGTGTGTTAGAAGACATGGTGAACTACGGGAAAGGTCAAAAATGGAATCTCTTCTTGCTTCCATCCATTATCATCTATGTGATTGAGATAATGGCTATTATAATGGCATATTATCCTTTTTTCAATGCAGTTTTCGCTCTGGAAATTCACTACAGGGCTGTCAAACTGTCCATCAACATTGGCTTGCTTGGTTTCCTAGAAAAGGTACTGGAAATTAAGAGAGAAGTTAATGATCAGATTGAAAAAGTGACAGGAAAGGACAATGAAGAGGAACTGGTTTCTTGTGACCAATATAAACTCATCAAAAAATTGAAGTGCCTACAAATCAGTCTCTTACACATAAGAGACGACATACGATCCTACTACTGGTCTTTCATAGTCTGGTTTGTAGTCAGCTCTGCCGCAGTAGCACCAGGAGTCATTTATCGTTATCTCACTCAGATCCTAATTGGAAGTCCAATAGAAATCGTGAAGCGCATATTTAGTTTCTGGTTTGTAGGGTATCTATCCTACATCATTCCAGTTATTTTATTGATTGCCTTGGAGTCATCAAACGGCTTGGAAACGTCTCGAACATATCAAATACAACACAGACTGATGTACAGCCACAAGAATGTCAAGACTCGAAGATTGGTGAAAAACAGCATGCTACGTCATTTGCATCAAGCAAAGAAGATGGACTGTTTGGTCATCGACATTGATTGGGCTTTGTTGTTGAGCATTGTTGATACTGCCTTAATGTCAGCATGTGCTATGGGATTACCATAAATCTTCTGTGAGAGAAAATGTTAATGTGATAGTTGTTCTAAATTCTTCAACTAGAAAGAAAGAACACTTGAGGACATTACATAAATATTAGGGGTTAGATAAAGGAGTGATTTTAGATTGCAATCTAGTCCTGTGTTTGTTGCTGAAAATCGGTACGAACAATGTTTAATATTCTTATTATATTTTTGTCTACTGATATGCCCAACACTTGAAACACTAAAGCCTTGATCCTTTCAGCTATTGGTTAGTCTGAAACTAATAAAATTTTACTTGTAACATATCTTAACCTTACTAATAAATAAAACGTTTGCAAAGTTTAATCTTGCAATGGTATTAATTAAGAATTTGAAAAATATTTATTTAGTTTATTTATTAATGAATGATATATTATTAAACGTTCATCCCGATTTGATGTAATATAGTTTTCACCACACTATGATGTTTTTGGCTGTATTACATACGTTAATTGGTGGCTGAAAGTTACGTTTTGCTGGCCATGCCAGCTGTCATAGAAATTTGGGGACCGAGCAGGTTTTTACAGGCCGGGGCCGCAAAATCAGCTGTCCGCTTACTTACTTAAAACATGAATGCATTTTAAATACACAATAAAAATCCATAGCATTGCAATAGAATTGTGTTATTGTCGCCGTTGCCTAGCAACTATTTATTTTTATTTTTGCTGATTCCTCAAATTATTTCTTTACATAACCTTAATGTTGTAGTTGTGTTGACTATCAGTGTGCATTATTATAGTGGTGAATAGTGGTAATAGGGTATAGTGTGGTGAAAAATAGCGTTCGTACCACGGGCAGAAATGGTTTTGCAGCTCTCGATCGATTTAAGTTCTCGACTTCGTCTCTAACTTAAAAACTATCTCGAGCCGGCAAAACCTCATTTTCGGCCCTAGGTACTAAATATACTATTTCACCATTCCATTTCCTGATACCATTATTCAATATCACTTGTTACCACTCTCTTTAGCTGATAAAATATTTCACCCTCACAGGACAAATGTAATTTGGTTACCCGTTTTAAGGTTTTTTTACGTAAGGAACAAAAAGACTAGACAATATATATATGGCTTCATAGTATAATCAAACCTCATGGATGTTGTACCTGTCGGATTGAAATGAAATGCACAAGGGTATAAAAAAGAACAAAGCACGGCAAGCACGTTTTTTTTAGGATAACGAATAACCTTCTTGCTTTTGAAACTTTGTGCTGTTTGGATGTAAATTTTTGTAAACATGATGTCCTAGTATTAAATTATTTGTTTTTAAGATTTTCTGAATATTTATGAATATTATTGTTTTCCAACAAATACGTAAATCACTGATAGCGACTGAGCCTACGCACAGGCTTCCAGCCCATGTAGAATACTTTCCTTAATGTATATGTTTAACATAGCTTCTCTGAGACCTTACATCCTTTGTTGTTATTATTAAGTTTACATGTATTTTTATATTTAATTATTTTTATCTATGCAATAGCAAGTAATGTGTCTGTTTCACTGGAAGTTATGTTTATAATTTATATTCTGCAATATTTTTGGAAATAAAGTATGTTTTGATTTGATTTGATTTGAGTATAAACTACCAGTCATTGTCGACCACTTCACTATGACGGATGTATTTTTTCGGCCGCTATCTTGGATCCGCCATTTTGAAATGTCATAAAGTATCTATTTTAAATATGAAGTGGGTGTTGTGATTGGTTGTAACCACAGCCACCTCTAATAATTCATTCTCTGTATTAGAGGTGGCTGTGTTGTGACCCATCATTTTGAATTACTTTTTAAAGCTAAACTCAATGCCGCAATCCATCTTTTTTTTCAAGTTTTCTTTATGAAATACTGCAATATTTTTATTTAAAATGTCAACATTTCAAAATCAAAATATGAAAATGGGAAACGGATTGTGAAATTACGTTCAGCTTAAAAAAAATTTGAAATGATGGGTCACAACACCCCTTCATTTAAAATAATTTATCACATTTCAAAATGGCAGATCTAAAATGGTGGCCGAAAAAATACATCCGTCATAACCAAGTGGAAATAGGTCAACAATGACTGGTGACTTATCTTTATCTAGCACTATTTTGAGATTATAGTATTAGTTTGTAAATGCACAATGTTAAAATGGGCTAAAAATAAAGTCATAAAAAGCCCTCATAACTTTGTATTGGATCAAGATTTTTAAAAACGGGTTGTGGCATTGTAATCAGGGTAAAAATCTAGATCGAAATAAAGGTTCTCGACCCCACCTTTACATTTGAAAAACATATTTTGCATCCAATATGGCGAATCCAAGATGACGGCAGGAAATGACCACCTTGTCAAAATGAATTACTTATCCAACAATGTTTTGTAGGGGTCTGGGATTGATATTTGAAAAAAATGTAGAAAAACGTTGGAGGGGGGGCAATTAAAACTCACCCTTTATGTATTTTGTGTAAAGTATAACATAAATGTTATTAATCTTACCTATAATAATGATTTAAAAGGTCCGACTACCAGATCGACATTCTGAGGGAAGTTTTGTAGGTTATTTCCATAGTATAGGCATAGAATAAATAAACACCATTTATATTACTTCATCTATGCTTAGGGGCATGGGCAGCCACAGGGGGGGTGCAAATAAGAGGGCGTAATTGCACCCCTCCCCGGGCAAAAACATTATAAAATAAATTTAATAAGTACATTTTGTTCCTTTTTTATTGTATAGCTCTTGTATTGAATTTTGATCTGTTTTAAATTGAATTAATTTGTTTTTAGCGTTTGTATACATTATTAGTGTTCATTTACTTTAAATCGCTAAAAACTGCTCAAAAAGCTATAAGTTAAATAAATTAATTAAAAAAAAATATTAATGTGTGCATACCAATACAAACCTTGGATTTTGTAATATAATGGTATACCACTAATCTCAGTGTCTACAGTCAATGTCAACATATATTATTCCAATCGAAAATTAATTATGTTGACTTTCTGAAACATATAACTCCATACAACACTATAGATAATCTCTAAGTGACTACCTCCAGATGTTATGCCAAACAAAACGACCTAAAGCTGAGTTTTGGCGGTGTGTTTCTGTTCTGTTGTTGTTGATGTTGATGTAGTCGTCACTCGTCAGTTACTGCAACAAAATTAAGATAGGTTGGAGTTGGAATTATGATTTGTTATTTTAAGTTTTTATAAGCTGTATTAACAATGCAATATAGTTTATAATATTTAATTGTGTGAATTTGTAACTTTGCAAAAGTTAAGTTACATAAACAGTGTAACGAAAGTGAAGAATAGGTAATACTGGTTTAAGTCTAGGTGTGCATTTACCTATTGCCTTGTTATAATAAATTTTGGCCTTATTTTAAAGGCAATTAATTTATAATTAAATGGTTTGGATAGCATAATTACAATCACTACACTAGTTTTGAATATTTTAGCATACCGGTACTAAAACGTACAAGTAAATAAAGTCAATTTAAGTTACTGTAGCTGTTATAGCCTAATATGAATGGCAAGATTAAAATAAAGAAATCTTCATAGGCCTACTAAACATTTGATCTTATATACAAACTTGAAGATCCCCTCACAGTTCAAAATACGTCTATTTCAATTAAAAGTAACATATGTTTGAAATAGGATTGATGAGCAAAGGAAATAATACAATTAAAATCAATCCTCATAACCTGATTTAACCTCTAATCTGTCCTAGATCTAGCTTAGTAGCTGTACAACTTATAACACTAGGACTGTTTCTTATAGGCCTAACTTATTTGAAGGAAACACCATGGAGGAAAATATCTCAGATTTGTTAGAAAATCCAGAAGATCCAGTTCCAGAAAAACGCAAAGAAAAGAAAAAACAACGCCGGTCTAAGAAGTCTGTTGTTGTAGAAGAGGAAAATATAGTTGAAGAAAACATCATGGAAGACGATATCCCAGATTTGTTAGAAAATAATCCAGAACATCCAGTTCCAGAAAAATGTCAAGAAAAGAAAAAACGAGGCCGGTCTAAGAAATCTATTGTTGTAGAAGATTTAAATATAGTTGAGGAAAACATCATGGAAGACGATATCTCAGATTCGTTAGCAAATAATCTTGGAGATCCAGTTACAGAAAAAGGTCAAGGAAAGAAAAAACAAGGCCGGTCTAAGAAGTCTGTTGTTGTAGAAAATGAAAATGTAGTCAAGGAAAACATCATGGAAGACGATATCCCAGATTTGTTGGTAAATAATCCCGGAGATCCAGTCCCAGAAAAAGATCAAGGAAAGAAAAAACGAGGCCGGTCTACAAAGAAGTCTGTTGTTGTAGAAGATGAAAAGAGGGTGAAGTTTCTTAGCAAACTTCTCAACTGTGATGGAATGCCTTCTCACACAGTCGAAGTTTTGAAACTTGAGGTGACTAACCTAGTTTCTGTTAGCTGTAAGCTATTTATAAAATTGTAAACACTTGTTTCTTCACAGTTTAATCAAATTTAAGTCCTTTAAATTATAAATTTGTTAAAATTACCAAATCTTTTCCTCCTAACAATAACGTGTAGGCTGCAGGTCAGCAATGGCTCACTGCTCACCATAAGGAATGGTTCTTCATTTGCTGGTCCTGTGAGCAGAACTTGAAGATACATGATTTAAGTAAAGGCTCATACACATATTGGTTCATACATCAATTGAATTAAGTTAGTGTCAAAATCAATCATCTCTTATAATTTAAAGATCTCTAATAAGTTAGGTACCAAGAGTATCTTTCTACACAGTGTTTGGACGTCACACATTAATAGTTGCTGGTTCAAGCAGTCTTTTAAAGTGACAATTTATGGTTATTTCATATAGGCTATTTTACATTTTAGCAAGACTCGGTTAGGCCTACTCTTTATTTTTTTTACAAAAACAGCATACAAGTTTCCACTGAATAAAATACTTTGTTTAGGAACAAGAGAAGGGTCATCTATACAAACTCAACTCTTTAGAGATGGAGAAATTGTGGAACGATTTACGGGACCCTGTTAAGACCAGACTAAACAATCTGATGTGTCCAGAAGTAGAACAGTTTAAGGAAGAAAGTCGAGAAGTATTATCAGCAATTATAAGCCTACTTCTGCACACAACTGCCCTTCACGATGTTGCAGATAGTGAAGCCTTGGCTTGGATCGCTGTTGCCTTTAACTTGGTCCTCATTGAAAAAAACACAGGACAACAGGTTAGTTTAGACAAAATGGTTTAGGCCTATTAGTAAATCTTGAGCATGTTTTAAAGTGTGTCAATGACCACACTAAGCCTTGTTTTGATGATTTAGATACACTAAGCTTTTAAGTCTAGGTAGTTCATAATTTAACCCATTTGTGAAATGTGAGCAACAATCTGTTTCATTATTTGTATTTTTTTTCTGGGTTTAAAGCTTGTTTACTTACTTCCATCCAGAAGTTACAAAATAATGTGCTTAGTCTAGCTACTTATGTACCAATTAAAAACAGGATCGTAATACGCACATTTAATACATACCCTCGTAACTTACATAGGCACACAGCAGATCTCATTGTTTACAGTCATGTTAAAAGCGGGCAACCTACTGTAGGTCCCCTACTTGTTGAATATCACCTAATCCATTTATTTAGCCAGGATTATGATGGCTTTATATTCACCATTAGGTAATGATCAAAGGTCTTAAGAAAGCTGGTTCATGCAGTGTATGATGGTATAATACCGCTACAGTATGTGTAGTTCATATCCCAATATGAAATACATATAAATGATAAGTTTTCAAGGTTTAAAAATCTGCCAAGACAAAATAGGCTCCTTAAAGAGTGACATCTGTAAGATGTTTAAATGCACATCTTCGAACAAATTGTCTGACAGTGTAGTCAAATGAATTTTTTGGCGAATAGGCTAGATCAATATTGGAGTGGGGGCGGGCCTATCTATGTATGATAACTTGTAAGATTGTGTAGGCTAAAATTATAAACACATTTTAGCTAGGTATTGTGTGTTTTAAGGATATGTATGTTTTCCAGCTAAAAAGTAAAATCTCCGAGCTCTGTGAGTATTGCTGCATTAAAGGGATCAGAGTAGATGGAAGTTTCTACTTGAACACAATTAACTTTCTGTTGGATCTAACTGTAGATGACAAGAATGGTGTTGACAGGGTATGTAGCAAATTTAATATAGTTATATTATGATTTTTCAAAATGTACTATTTTAAAATTCCTATCCAAGAGTATCAAAATTTCTCACATTTTCCATTAACGTTGTGGGTTTACAACACATGTTTTGAATCACTGTTATGTCTACATGACATTAGATTATGGGAATTAACAGAGACTTAAGCATTTATACATTTATACATACACAGTAGCTATACAGCAGAGTCACAATTATATCCTAACTTTGGTTATTCAACTTTCCGTGTTATCCAACACCTCTTCGGATAATGAAGTAGGGCCTAATGTCAAAGCAAATAGAACTGGCGGGTCAAGGTAATGTTTTTAAATAGGCCGGCTGGTATTAATCAACCGCCAGTTCTATTTGAGTCCACTATAGCATGAAATTTTTCTGTGGTTTGACCTTTCTTGCCTACTGTACAGGGTAGGGGAGCGAGCTGGTATAGTGGTTAGAGCACGAGACTTTGGCCCCTGAGGTCCTGGGTTCAAATCCTGCCAAGTCACCAATTGATTTTATCGAAGTGATAATGCCGCAACCCTTAGGTTTAGCCTGAAGTAATGTGGATATTATTTTCCGTATTAACTGACCTTTAAATGCTGTTTAGGTTGGATAATCAAGATGCTAATTGTATAATTTAAACTAAGTTAAGTTATTGAGTTTCAATTTATTTCCAAATTATTTTGTTTTACAAAGGAGGGGAGGGTTGTGTCTGTGTCCCAATCAGCATGTTTTGTTTATTGAATATTCTGTCGACCCACAGAAGCCCGAGATCAAGAGAATGTGGGAAATGAGAGTCGCCCTGGCTCGACTAAACTTGAGAACGCAGAGTTGTGAGAGTGTTGTGGCGCGACTAGAGAAGATTGTATCCAGCCCTACCTACCTGGCTTGCAAGGAGGGGCGACAGTTCATTGCCTTCACATTGACTTTGGACATCAAGCTAATAAAGGTATATTTAGGCAAGATATTTTGTGAACTGGAAAAGACCTTGTATCGTTTTGAAGATTTTTGCTTACACTACACTGGCATTTTGTTGTAGTGTAATTCTAGAGAGTGAGTCGATGAGTCGGGAGAGGTCTTTTAACAAAATATATCAGTGTTAGCCTATGTTTCGCGACCTTTTATAGTCCTGGATTCTAACTTTTTTCAAGTAAGTTAGCTATGAGACTATATTATGTCCTAGCTTTAATTTTTGCCACCTTTCCTCACTAATTGATTCCTCAAACTTGGCAATCTTATGGTTCACATTTTGCAAAGTTAAGCCTTTACAAAAAACTACAGCATTATACCTAAAGTTTCCTTTGTCACATAGCTTTCACTTAAGACATAGTCTTGAATAAACCAACCCAAAAGCATGTTACTTTACCTAGTGCCAATGTGTAAAAGCATATCTCAGTCTTGCATTATTTTTTCTCAGAGGCTTCACAAAGCAATCAAAGACTTTCTCTCAATCTGCAAAAGGACCCAGGCATGCGCGTACGGAGAAGTTTACTACAGCGCTTGGTTCAACGGAAGCTCAGAAGTGCGACAGGTAGGACTAAATGTTTAAAACCAAAATTGAATATTAAGAAGTCAAGTTAATAAATTTTAATCTACATAAAATAATAATAGTAGCCTTAAAAATTCCTGCAAACTCAGCACCGGTGACCGGCTGTCTGGATTACTACTTAGAAAACCTATCAAATGTTTTTGTAAGTTCCTCGTAACTTTTTGAGATAATTACAACCCTGCAAGAGACCCTAGTGGTCAACTGCAGAACTTGGTAGCTTCAACAGCTACACAGTACAGCATTTGCCATTTTAGACTTTTAGTTAGTGGTACTTGGGGTCATTGAGACTGAGCTATGTGATTCATGCTAACGTGTCTCCATGACAGGAATCAATGCTGGTAGCCTAGCCAAGTTTTATGTCAGGCGGCATCAAAATGTGAAATGTAATGGACTTGCGTCAATAAAGTAAATTTATATGTGGCAAGTGTACATGAAGTTATAATAAATTGTAGTATCTATGTGAGAAATAAGAAAAAATACTGTATTATGTCCAAGTAAAATTTAAATTTTTGCCACCTGTTCTCAATAATTGGGCACTTCTTAAACTTGGCTTAAGTTAGTAGGCCTGTACGATATAATAACCGTATCATTATGATTATACAAACACCACTTAAGTTACCTTGTTGTAAAGTGCAATTAATCTTTAATCCACCCACTTATATAACTAAACAACTTAATTTGTACTGGTATAGAATGAACCACGCAAGTTTCTTTCAGATGTATCTGCACTTGTATCAGCTCAGTAACACTGTAATGTCTGTCCCTAGGAGCTGGAGAAGCACTGCATCCAGAACCTGATGACCCACATGTTTGTGTTCAAACGACACAAACAGGAGCTGGTCCACACAGGTCAGAACGTGTTCGCCATCTTGTCCTACCTACATCACCACCGAACCACGGCACAGTTCAGCAAAGTGCTCACCGAGCTGTACATGCCTCTACTGTGGCGTCATCTGCGGGTGAGTCCGCAGCAAACAATCCTTGACAATATGTAGTATATACAGTAGACTCTTGATAATTCGAAATTGGTGGGCCAAGCATATAAATTTGAATTATCAAAATTATAAAGAGTTTTGAATTATCAAGAGTTCGATTTATCGGGAGAAAAATAAACCATTCGAATTACAGAGAGTTCATTTGTTTAATACATACAAAGGTACAGCACGTTACAATGAAACATCATACCGTATTTTAGTACACTTTTAAACAATCAACGGCTTATTTTTCAGTTACTGTAGTTGCAAAGAGATCTGTTATTTAGCGCTATATATTTCGCCAATAGCTGAACTATCAGCTATCGACAACTGCGTTTGTGCTCAAGGAGATGTCGCACAATCTAGAGATCGGATTGCCAACTTGGAAAAACAAGTCAGCGAACTAACTCAAGACTACTGCTCTAACTAAACAAACATCAAAACGTCCTACACTAGCCTACCATGGGAACAGGATGTACTGTAGGCTACTGTATAGTTTCCTGTTAAAAGAGATCACTTGGAATTATAGAGTGTTTTGCCGACTAAACTTCGAATTACTGCGTGACTTTGATTTAAAGAGTGTTTTTTCAACGAAACTTTGAATTACAGCATGACTTCGAATTATAGAGTGTTAACCGACGAAACTTCGATTTACTGAGTTACTTCGAATTATAGAGTGTTTTTTCCGACGAAACTTCGAATTACTGCGTGTTACAAATTGACCTGCCCTCTATTTGGACTTTGAAATACCGAGTGTAACAAAATGCATGGTAAAAATTTGAAATATTGAGAGATTCTCTAGGGACTTAGCCTTCATTTTGAATTATCGAAAGTTTTGAATTATCAAGTGTTTGAATTACCAAGAGTGGACTGTAGTAGTTTTGATATTTTAACCTTTTGTGTCATTCGACCCATCTATTGGACGGTTGAGTAATGTTAGATCACTAGCTATTTTTTGTGACATGACTGTACACCATAGTGAGACAAGTCTTTTTACTGCCCTGACTTTACAGTAGTTGGATGTGCACTAGGCTTCGGAAGCCTGTAATTTCCTTTTGTTTTCGCACACTGTATACTTCCAACACTACAGAGTTTGTCATAATCTCATGCCTGCATATCTCTCTGCTTCCCCTCATGACTGAGTTTCGGAGTGAGTGGAGACCTGTTGCTCAGTGCAAATATCGCTTGATCTTTTATTTCATTGTTTTAATCATGATGTTTTCACTGATATTATTTTTTAATTTGTAACAGCGGCTTTCAAGGGAAAACAATAATTTGTTGAGTTGTGCTTATCACCTCAAATCCGAATTAGGTGATGTATTTAGTAATTCTATTTAACATATACTTTTGAATTTTTCAATGTTAAAATATAATGTTTACAAAGGTTTCATTTTTATTGTTTTCTGTTATCCTACCTTTCAGCTTATCCGACCTTAGCATTGCTGGTTTAGTCCATATAAATAAGACCCTATTCTAATTATAAGCTTTTACTTTTTCCTTTTACAAAACCTATGATATTTAAAAAAATTGACATGATGTACCTAATTTGAATTCATAAACCGTCTGTCTCACTTTTTTGTTAATAGTAATATAATGTTTGCAAAACCAAAAATATTTCAAACATAAATGGATATTACTTGTGATTTTCTACTTTGATGATATCTATTTCAAGCTCACAAAATGACTGGATTATTTTTAAAGGTCAGAGTCTAATTTGATAAACTGTTGGACAGAGTGGAAACAACATAGAGAGATCGAACGCCGCCCTTGTGTTCCTGGATGTTTATCCGCTGGAGATGCCAGGATCAGGACGAGCTGACGAGAGTGACTTCTGTATCAAACAACACAACGAGATGGTGGACTTGCTGACGGACACCTGCCACGTCGTCCGCATGATCGCCATCAGGGTAAGCTGTCGTTTAGAAAGTAATCTACTTTGGTTTATTATCAGCGTAAGTTATCAGCAGTGATATCCCACACATATTGTGGGTTTGCTTATGCCCGCGTATCTTGAATAAGTATCCGGGCTTACTATGCTTGGCTTTCTACTAGGGTGTTATTTTTTTACTGAAAAAATGGCCTTACAGTAGGCTACTATTGCCAAATTGGTAAAAAAACCAAAACATAGTTGAACACACTATAATAAATGTTGACTGAATGTGAGAATTGGGTCTACTGTCGTGTGCTGTGAGGCTGAATTCAAACAGAAGGCACGTAAATGCCGATCAGCAACATCACCAAAATGTTGGAATACCGAGTGCCATCAATAGAAAAAGTTATGGCGAGAATAGTGGAATTATTGTTAAAATAGAGTAAGCTGTTAATAAGGATCGAGCCATTTTCCCATGAACCTCAACCTCAGCCGATCGATCAAAACCTCGGCCAAACAACCCCCAAAGGTGCTTACAGGGCCAAATTCCATTAGACCGATGCTGGATTATTTAATGTGCCGTCTAATCGGATGTTGGATTTTAGCTGGAACTTTGGCAAACTATGATGCCCTCTGCGAATAAAAACCCTTTTCTTATTGCATACCAGTGCAATAAAAGAAGTGTGAAACCCAAAATGTATTCCTTCTATGTGATATATTTTTTTGAACATGTTTCCATCAATTTTACTAACTTTCTTTTAAATATAGATTATAGTTTGAGTCAAGTTATATTTCAGAAGTGGATATTGTTTTGGCCTATGGTTTTCTACTAAACTACAGTAGAACTACTCATATCCGGCCACCACGGGACCAAGTCCCTGACCGGATAACGATTTGGCCGGATAAACCAACCTAGGGAAAATGACAATTCATACCTAATAATAATAGGTAATCAATATATGCAATCAAAAGTATCATTTAATTCTGTTCTGGGATCATTTTTAGAAAAATAAACATGTTTGTAAAAAGAAAAAAAGTTTTTGTAGGTTAAAGTCAGTAATGAATGTACAAATATTATGATTCCAGGTAACAAAACCTATTAAATGGAGGTAATAATGACAATAACTTGTATGTAAAGATCATTAGCACTAAAATGGTACATGCATTTCTACTCAACATTTTTAACCAATTTGTGAAATACCAAAATTAATGTACTCGTACTGTACTTTACTAACCCCACTTTAGAAATAATCAACCAACTGATAAGAGGTTAGGTCTACTAGCTCAACTGAGTATAGTGACTCAGCAAATAAATGTATAAACAAACAGATAAATAATGAGAACTATTTATTTTATGACTTGAGCAGTCACAAAGCCTAGTGCTTGCTTCTAAACGTCTGTAAGGTGTGAGAAAAAAAAATTGATATTGGCTTCCTGGAAGGGGCCGGATAAACAGAGGACCGGTAAAACCAAGGCCGGATATGAGGGGTTCTACTGTACAACGAAATACTTGTTTGATACTGCTTGAATAAGTAAAACCTTTATTGTGTATTCTAAATGAATATTTTTAACAGGTTTATTTAACTCCTTCAATCTGTTTGTAGGGAATCTGCAGCAAGCTGTGTTCAGCATGGCGTACGTTTCCCCAAGAGACGATACAGGTGCTGATGCGGAATCTGATAGAACTGTCCAACGATGCGTCAGACTACAAGGTCAGGGTGACTCTGTACGACAGTCTGCGCGATCTGCTCTTGAACCCAGAGTCTGCGGCATATCTGATGCGCATCCTGCCCAAACTGCGTGACAACATCCATGATGAGAATGAAAAAGTAAGATTGAATTAGTAGCCTAATAAAGGACTCTGAAAAACCCACATTTATGATTAGGGACAACTTTAATAGGAACACTCAGTTCAGTAATTTTTGAGTTTACTACACCACTGATTTTTATTAGGGATTCGTTTGTTGGTTTGTCTGTAATGACACTATTGTTGTTTGTCTTTTTTTCACAAGAATAGACACTACTTAAAATTCACACTAAAAATTAGAAATCTGAAAACCTACAATAGCAAATACAATGTATAGAGTTTTACTGTGAATTGTTTTCAACAATTTAGTTACCTCTTCTGAAATCCGTTTAGTATCGAACAGATATCATTGTACAAGCTAGATGAATATTTTACTAAATTTATGCATACATAATAGTATATTTCATCACTAGGGCCTAAAGTGACTCTTTTTGACCCAAGATCAAGTTTTACTTGATGAAAAATGACCAAGGGTTAAAAAGACACTTTTTGCCCGTATGGTGAACTATAGTTTTCGTCATATTGCATAGTTAATTAACAAACTAAGCTAGAAAACAAAATGATGTTTATATAAAGATAATCTTTCAAAACTTCCAGCTTGCTTTCAATTATGTAATGCTTATAAGCAGCTGTTTAGTAAGTGATTAAATTATTTTGTCTATTACGATTGTGTTATAGTACATTAAACCATCAATATGTAGAGCGATCGACAACAATAGGCTAAAAACCTTACCTAATAAAATAATTGATAAATAATTTCGATCCATATGATAGCCACAATCAAAATTAAAAATTAACGACTATTTACAACAGCTGATTTTTACTCCCTTGTGACTAAAAATGATATTTTACTCCCTAGAGAGTAAAAATACTAAAAATACTATTGCACTAAAAACTACTATTTTTGCTGCAGTATGACAAAAATTCATATAAATACACATTTTAACAAATCACATTTAACCCTTTACTTCCCATAGTATCCTTTTGGATACATATCATTTCTCATTTTTTTACCTCTCTGTAGGTAGAGATTTGAGTCTATACCTCTATGCATTTGGTTTCTAGGCTTATTAGAAAGGGTATTTAATTTTCTTAGTGTTGGTAAGCCTGCGAAAAGAAGAAAAATATAATTTCAAAGTGATGCAAACCAGGTTGTTGATAAATCTTGAAATTTAAGATTTTCAAGATAAGATTTTTTATGTTTATAATTAGTTAGGGAACTGGGAAAAATTATGTTTCACTTCATTGCACCTTTAGCAACTGAAATATACATAGAATTACAGTCTTCTGTTACTTACTTTTTATATATTTGGTATAAAATAACTGAATCCAAATGGATACTATGGGAACACAGAGTATGCTGACAATATTTAAAGAGTCCTTTGTGCTCCCATAGTATCCTTTTGGATACAGGTTATTTTTAATAATAGCTACGGTGAGTCGTCTGTGTTCCCATAGTATCCATATGGATACTGATTTTCTTTTGTATTTTCTTCGATATAAGTCTGTTTTTTAAGTCTGCACAATGATAAATATAGGCCTATAAGTGTTGTAATGCTTGTTTCAGTCCAATATTATTAAAATCATGATGTGTCTTACAGATGAATGACAATGAAGAAATTGACGAGTGGCTTATGATGCCATCTAGTGATATTGTAATAATTTTGTTTACATAATACGTCTATTTGTACTCATTCTAAATAAATTTGTTTTAATTGATGAACAAGTAACTTATTCTTCAATTTGATACAACTTTTAAGAAACTTGTATCCATATGGATACCATGGGAGTGTCAAGGCAAAATTAAAATTATTAACTTATGAAAATTAGCGAACAATGGTACTTTAGGTTTCCATGGTATCCATATGGATACATATTTCTAACTTTTAATTCTATGAGGGAAAATTAAAAAAAAACACATGTTTAGCCTTAAAATTAAAAAAATAAAAATAAAATTCACAATAAAAGTTTTTGTTTTTAAATTTTATAATCCCGGGAAGTAAAGGGTTAATCTCTTCAACAAGTAAATTAGTGAAACTTACATTAGAACGATATTATTTGGAAACTAAATATTTTATAATAGGCTACTATAATTTTTTCAGGTTCGGAAATCATTTGTGAAACTGCTTCTTAGTGTTAAGACGCAGACTAGTGAAACGCGGGTTCCATACTGGAAAATTGTACCCATCGACCATCTAGCTGCAAGACTTCAGGTACGTTGACTCTCACCCTTGTACAAAGATATTTCTTTTCACACAGAGTGAAGTGGTATGCCTATGTCTATGTGCATGTGCCTATGTATGAGTGCTGGTTTTCTATTCTGGCCTGGCATAGTTTCACTGGGTATATGATGGTTTCCATGATGTAGAGTGTGTTTATTTTTCAGCTGGAGAAGGCGGAGGTTGGGTCTCTCTTGTGTAAGCTGTTGATGAGTAATATCTACTCCCCGGACCATAGCGCTGACGTGTTTCTGTTCCGGATCATCCGGTTCATTGACACCAACCCAGCAGCTGCTCGCAATCTCTTTCAGTTCTCTATGAAGGTATGTAAACAATACAATTTCTAATTAATATATTAACTGAAAATTAGTTTTTAATCAAAATATATTAGTTGGAAAAGTAGCATGATTACTTAAAGTCTGTAGAATCAAAGACTAGACTATATTGATGTCAGGGTAATTGAATTGAAATGTGATCTACAGAATTATTGAAAAGTCTGCACTCCATGTTGTGTGCTTGTTTTTGTAAGAGCCTTAAAGAACTTTTTGCCAGGCAACTTTAGGTTTTAAAGACAGTAGGTTCATTAAGTAGGCTAAATCATTTTCACAATTTAATTACCATTTTTTTACATTTCGCTCGAGTTACACTCTAAGTGTATTCCAACCTGCTTATTTACCAAATCTCTTGGTGCAGCCAGATTACTTAGCTTTTTTAATCTAACGTTTTTTTATCAAGGTGTTAGAGTATAAGGACGCAGTGAGAATAATGTTGACCATTTTATTGAATCTACGAGCCTACGTGAAGAAGAAACTTGAAGAATCAAATGTTTCAAACGTTCCTGAAGAGCAAGAAAACAAGTCGAGCGGGAGTTCTTCTGGCGGCAGACGGAGAAAGAAACGGAAATCATTGGAACATTTACAGACCATTTGTGAAAATGAACAAGATGAATTAGGTAAAAATCTATTGAGGAAATAATAACTAAGTAACCCTGAGGTCATAAAATTGTGTTCGGTTTTAAATGTTTTCTGTAACATCAGGAAATACTTGTATTCTGTATCTTCCCCAAGTAACTTTTGAGTTTGGGGTTCCAATTACACAACAAAATACCTCCTAATTATTTAAATGACTACGTCCATTAACATTAGGGAGGAAGAATGTAGTAAAAAAAACATGTGTCTTCAATTCTTTATTATTATTTTGTTGTGTTTGTAAACAAATCCATTATAATTCAATGTAGTATTGTTCAAGTTATTAAAATTGTAATGAGAGTAAGAATGAATGAAAAAGAACTTTTATCACCTTTAGAAAGGTTTTTAATAACTTACAATACTACATTGAATTATAATGGATTTGTTTACAAACACAACAAAACAATAATAAAGAATTGAAGACACATGTTTTTTTTACTACATATTCGTTTCACTTCACAACACCTCATTAATAGCTATTTACATTACAAGTGTAGTAAGAGCGTTTTTACATCACGCAACGCGAGTTGCATAATTCACCTAAGTCATGTAAACACGCTCTTGCGTAACGTGTAACGTACAAGATTTTACCTGACCCGACAATATACACGGGGTTACGTACAATATTTTTCATTATCCATTTCACTCATCTTCTAAGAGTAACGTTCTTTTACAAACAAAAGCTAGGTTAGGAAAATACTTTAAAGCATAACAATAACATTCAAGCGCACAGCTGATTTCTAGCGTTGAACGTCGTTGGCTCCATAGAGGTATAATTTTTAAGTTAAGCACTCAATGTTATTTAAATGGGTTTCATCACCTCACCGAGTGAGTTTTTTTCAACTTTACATCACTCGAGAAGTAAGGAAGTTGTATACATCACGCTTGTGATAGGGAAGTTTAGCATGGCGGGTTAGGTAAATAAATTAACACCTCATGGTTTCCATTGTTTTCATCATTATGAAAGCTGTTAATAACGGTTGAGTCAGAGATGTAGTTAAAAGTCAAGTTGGTAGTTGTATTTGAACATGTAAACCGTAAACACACAAGGCAGTGATTAAAAAGGACTTCCAGGTGAAAATCACTTTACCAATTTTCTACATTTACCTTTCTCTACTAGCTGTTTTGTAGGGTTATTGACAAAACATAGAAATGAAACTAGCTGCCTCATTCATCCTAAACAAGAAACTTTCAAACAGTGTTTAGATTTATTAGCAATTTTAAAAACAAGAAGAGTAGCTTATGTAATTTACCTAGCCAAGTCAAATAGTTTTTTCACCTACTTTACTCAACCAGTGTGAACCAGGCTTCAACATAATCACTTTTCATTATTCCTTTTTATGTGCGTTTTGGCTGGATTTAATTATATTGTAATAGATTATTTTTATGAAGAGAAACTGCAAATTAGAGAACATAAAAATGTTGCATTAATACAAAATAAGGCTAAATAAACAGCATCACTATTTTTGTTTTATAATTTTTAATGACATTTTATAATTTTTACAGTTTATTATTAACTTTTGGTACCCAAGAAATTTTTTTGTTTCTTTTGAATCAACTGTACCTCATTGACAAACTTGGTGAAGCCAGGCCAATGTAATATTACAAATGAATATACTTAATATATAATGAAGTATTTGAATTTCCAGAAGAAACGGACAAAGAAAATAGTAGCCAGTTGAGCAACACCAACAGCTCAGCAGACAGCAGCAAAGAAGAAGACGAGTTTGGTCGTCCTGGAGTGTTCCACGCACTGGTAGACATTGTCAGTCTGTTGTGGTCCATGCACAGCAACAAGCTGGCAGACCCTGAGAGACACAAGGACCATGAGGACTTGATGGATTGTGCAGTGGCTGGCATCCCTCTCTTCCTTAGGTATTACAAGGTGAGTTTGGTTGTCCTGGAGTGTTCCACGCACTGGTAGACATTGTCAGTCTGTTGTGGTCCATGCACAGCAACAAGCTGGCAGATCCTGAGAGACACAAGGACCATGAGGACTTGATGGATTGTGCAGTGGCTGGCATCCCTCTCTTCCTTAGGTATTACAAGGTGAGTTTGGTTGTCCTGGAGTGTTCCATGCACTGGTAGACATTGTCAGTCTGTTGTGGTCCATGCACAGCAACAAGCTGGCAGACCCTGAGAGACACAAGGACCATGAGGACTTGATGGATTGTGCAGTGGCTGGCATCCCTCTCTTCCTTAGGTATTACAAGGTGAGTTTGGTCGTCCTGGAGTGTTCCATGCACTGGTAGACGTTGTCAGTCTGTTGTGGTCCATGCACAGCAACAAGCTGGCAGATCCTGAGAGACACAAGGACCATGAGGACTTGATGGATTGTGCAGTGGCTGGCATCCCTCTCTTCCTTAGGTATTACAAGGTGAGTTGGGTCGTCCTGGAGTGTTCCACGCACTGGTAGACATTGTCAGTCTGTTGTGGTCCATGCACAGCAACAAGCTGGCAGACCCTGAGAGACACAAGGACCATGAGGACTTAATGGATTGTGCAGTGGCTGGCATCCCTCTCTTCCTTAGGTATTACAAGGTGAGTTTGGTCGTCCTGGAGTGTTCCACGCACTGGTAGACATTGTCAGTCTGTTGTGGTCCATGCACAGCAACAAGCTGGCAGACCCTGAGAGACACAAGGACCATGAGGACTTAATGGATTGTGCAGTGGCTGGCATCCCTCTCTTCCTTAGGTATTACAAGGTGAGTTTGGTTGTCCTGGAGTGTTCCACGCACTGGTATACATTGTCAGTCTGTTGTGGTCCATGCACAGCAACAAGCTGGCAGACCCTGAGAGACACAAGGACCATGAGGACTTGATGGATTGTGCAGTGGCTGGCATCCCTCTCTTCCTTAGGTATTACAAGGTGAGTTTGGTCGTCCTGGAGTGTTCCACGCACTGGTAGACATTGTCAGTCCGTTGTGGTCCATGCACAGCAACAAGCTGGCAGACCCTGAGAGACACAAGGACCATGAGGACTTGATGGATTGTGCAGTGGCTGGCATCCCTCTCTTCCTTAGGTATTACAAGGTGAGTTTGGTTGTCCTGGAGTGTTCCATGCACTGGTAGACATTGTCAGTCTGTTGTGGTCCATGCACAGCAACAAGCTGGCAGACCCTGAGAGACACAAGGACCATGAGGACTTGATGGATTGTGCAGTGGCTGGCATCCCTCTCTTCCTTAGGTATTACAAGGTGAGTTTGGTCGTCCTGGAGTGTCCCACGCACTGGTAGACATTGTCAGTCTGTTGTGGTCCATGCACAGCAACAAGCTGGCAGACCCTGAGAGACACAAGGACCATGAGGACTTGATGGATTGTGCAGTGGCTGGCATCCCTCTCTTCCTTAGGTATTACAAGGTGAGTAATACAACATGTAACTGGGGAAGCTTCCACAAATGGCTATTAGTCGGGCCACCTGTCAAAAAGATGTGTCCCTAAGCCTGAGAACTTTTTTGTCTAGAAGACCCTCTCAATTAAAATCCATGCACTACAATGAGTAGAGTTACTTTTCATTTCGTTCAATTGATTGTTAAGCTAATAATTGTGATTCATCACCACTTCTGAATCATAACTTAACCTTTAGACATAGGAAGGAGACACATCCTTCACTAAACAATATCGTCTTATTGCAGGGTTCGCCTACTTACTTTGCCGTCATCCAGCTGGCAAGTTTAGTCCCGCCCAACAGACTAATAGCCAGCTCGACTGTGTGCAGTGCATGTGCTGCCAGTCTTAAGGTAAAGTAACATAAACACTAAACAGTCATGTAAGTTTGCTATTGACCACAGTAATTAAGCTTCATCTCTTCATTCAAAATGACTTTGTATATGTAGCCTATTTTAATTGAATATGAATTTAGGGTGAGTACATATAGTGTAGTAAAATGAGCATTGTTATTTGCTATGACAAGTTGATTTCTTGTTATTTGTGTTTTAACACCATTGGTATTTTTTATGTTGTTTGCAAGAGTATGGTCCTAACCCTGTTCTTGTTACCATTGTTGACATTTTATAAAGCATAATTAATTGAAAGACTAATAACAAATGGCCTTCGGGGCGAGAAATAGAGGTGTTTGATATTTTCGTACCGGTGACTTTGTCACTGGTACTAAATTGTCACCTATCGTACCGGTGACAAAACATGTAAAATTCCAGCTCCAGTGACTTTGTAAAACACCTTATAATTCACCGATCGGCGACAGTGACCAGAACCAGTGCCACGAACCTAGAGGCGATATTTCAAAACAAATCAAATCAAATCAAATCAAAATTTTCTTTATTCATTATGTACACATAGAGTACAGAATGGCGTCAACAAGTACTATTATAAACTAGTTAGTACAAGTATATATAATACAATAATAAATTAAAATTATAATCACTGTAAGAAATTGAATTAACCGTTACAGACGACATATGCTTAAAAAAATTCATTAAAACTGTACAAAGGTTTAACAATAATAAATGACTTCAATTTCTTTTTGAAGGACCCAAAATCAGTTATACATTTTATGTTTTCTGGTAATGAATTATAAAATTTGATGCCTGAATATGTTGGCTTCTTCTCATAAAATGTTAGCTTATGTCTATTAAAACAAAAATTATTCTTATTTCTAGTTTCATATCTGTGATTAAAACCTAGCATACAATGACTATTTTGATTTTTTTTTATCCACAGAATCAGATCATAGATTAATTGGTTGTAAACCGTCATTATTCCTAAATTTGAAAAATGTTCTCTGGCTGACTCAAATCACTTAAGTTTCATTATTATTCTTATTGCTTTTTTTTGTAATATAAGTATCATGTTTAAATTTTCATTAGAGGTGTTACCATAAACCGACAAACCAACAACAAAACAGTGACCGGTGACAGACCAGCACCAGTGCCACGAACCTAGCGGTGATACCTCAAAACAGCCGAGTCACTGATCTCAATCCCCTTCACTGATTGGTCCTTCTGGCGCTGTAACCATCCCTGGTCACTAATCGTTGTATATTTTGGTGCGGCCGAGCCGCAAACGCATTGCACCACGTGGTGTCTTTGGCAACTACTGCCTCTCCTGTCACCGTGACAGAAAGTCACCGGTTAAAGTCATGGTACACGCTTGTCACTGTCACTGAAGTCACCGATCCGCAAAAGTAACTGGATCGACCGCCTCTACCCAGAAATGATCTTGCTTAGAATCGAACCAGCAACCATCTTAAAACTCAACCTTCAACTAATTTTTTTTTTTAAGCGACGTGTCTTCAGGTTTAAATGTAGCCAGTTAGTACACAACACTTAGAAGGAAATTTTGAGTTTCTTTCGTCCCTGCTAAATCCTTTGTTGCTTAAAAATGATGTGATAGTGAGATATTTTAATTTTTTTTATGTAAATTTTCTGTCACAGTGGAATTTTTCCGTTAAAATAAAATAAGCATGCTACTATAGCAAAGATTGTTTGAATTTTTTTTTCAGTTACCGGTACTTTTATGCTTGGCCTAAATAAAGCTAATACCCTATTATTTAAATAAAACATTAATTTTAATCAATTACTTATTCTCCTCATTATTCTCTTTATCACCACCAGGCAGTGTCAGAGATGACGCCCCAAGGTGAAATAGAGGTGTTGATCAACGCCCTCTGTTCTTGGAACCGGTTTGTGGACATTCAAGACATTGTTGTGGACTGGCTGGACCAAGCTTTCCGCTGTGAAGGGCTGAACCAGTCTAATAATCCAGTAAGTGTTGCACATGTTTTGCAAATGTACGATGTTGGGAGGAAATCATTTATTTGTTGTAGCCTATCTGAGCGTAGTTTTTGTTTTGATTTGGTATAACTTATATACGACTAGTTGTTTGCCCGTTCTACGTACGGGAATATTGTAGTAAGTTGAAACTTTATATTCAGAACAGGAGTTGGTTTGCATATTTAGTGTGCATTTTTCCAGATATGCTGGCAAAACTATTACTGTATAGGAAATACATACATATAAACCTTCGCAAATCTGACAGTTTCAAAGCCAAAACTAATGCTTCGCAATTAAATGTCACCCGATCGTGTTAGTCCATATTTTATATCTAATGATAAAAGGAATTGCTTTATAAATCTATGAGGCATAACCCTAAGGTAGGCCTGTAATTAAAAGTTACTTTTCACACTGGTTAATAGTAGTTAAAATACTACCTCAACCTCACTACTGCACACTTTATTCGGGTTGAAATTTTCGTAAACAAAGGTGCTCTTGTCTTTTCCAAGAAACACTGAGAAATAAGGACATTAATGCGCTACCAACAGACATACACACACAAATACAGAATTTAATTAGGGGATATGCTACGCTTTAACCAAAGCAAATTACAAACAAAATAATTATTTGAAAGTTTTGATAGTGTCATCAAGTGTAATGATAATCGTTTTTAGGCCTAATCAAACTGTAAAATTTGTGTATATCCGTTGGCAAATATATAAATAAACACACAGTCCCCAAACATTTATACGTTAACAACGCCAAGCTTAAAAAATTCATCATGGTTTGCTAAATAATCTTTCAATAATGTTTTATCTTTATCATTTCATATCATAAACTAACATTTTTGAGTCCAAACAGAAAACGCAAAAATTATACAGTAAGACATCAATTAAATTTAATAAGGAATAAGCAATATGAAATACGAAATGCAGCACTAACGATAACTGTAGTTGTAAATAGTGATGTGTTTTTACGTAAAAATGATTCTTACTGTTACCACCGGTTCTAAGGAAAAGTAGTAGTACCATAAACCAACGTTTACATTTAAGAAAAGAACTATAGTACTTACGACCAATTCAAACTGTCATTCTAATCAAACTGTTTTATAGGTGTTAATCCGTTGGCAAATAAATAAATACACAGGCCACAAAACATGTAACATGTAACGTTAACAACGTAAAGCTTTAAAACTCACTATGGTATGCTAAAAAAAAACTTTCACTTGATGTGGTGCAGTACCGAAGTTATTAATCTCCCTTGGTTTTAAACGTCTTTTCCCTAAGTTTTCGAAAATCAAAGTTATTTACCATTAATAGCATTATTTGTAAGCAACTTTTAATGTCAACATATTAATGACAGTTTGAAGAAACCACGTTTATCCAAACAAAGGTTTTTTATGTAAAAGATTACGTAATCTCTAAACGATAATTGGTACATCTAGCAAACATTCGGAGGAAATGTGACAAAAAACGCACAAATCTGGGGTTTTGGACGTTTGTAGTTTTACTTCCTAAGTAGGAAAAGTACCGATATCGTTGTCGAAATGTAAGTAAGTAGAAACCAAAAGTGACACATTGGAAAAGCAAGTTTAGCTACTTCTGTAAGTTAAACCTCTGTTACGATCACAGCAAAATCAGAAAGATCTTCCAAGATCGCAGCAACATCCATGATCACCCAGTCACCCACTGCAGTTATGATTTTTTACTTTGCACTTTACACAACCGTCCTTGAAGCGCCGTCAATGAGTGGAAACCTTTTTTGTAAGCTACTTGCGATTAATTAAACCGGTTAAGTAAGGCACAACGTTTTTAATTTCATTTGGTTTGGATGTGCTAACAAAACTTGATCGGAAATGTTTGCGGTATTTGTAAACAACTTTTACTGTAAACATATCAGTGACAGCTAGAAGTGAGAACTAATCCAAACAGCTGATCGTTATTTCATCAAATGTAATAGTAAACATTAGGAGAAAATTTTTCAAAAATCGAACAAAATTGGGTTTTTGATGGTTCGTTATTTTGTTTTCAAAGAAGCGAGGCCATGTTTTTATAGCCAAAGACACTCTCACCAATCCAGTAAATACATACAAATGATTAGATCCTTGATCGGTATTCTAGTTTTCTAGGAGTAGGCCGCGTAAAATAACATTTTGGCGTTACAGACGCGACCACAGAATGGACAAACAGACAGACATACAGACAGAAATTGAGATAAGACTCGTTTCGGCTTTCTTAGGCTATGAAACGTAAAAATAACCAAAAACTGCATGATTCTAAGCAATGTACAGACAAAACTGTAATTTTATTTATATAGATTTATGTTTGCATATACTCAGTAGTTTTTGCGTTCACCGTAGGAGCAAAAAGTTCACAGAAAATCTCTTTTATTATATTTGGTATGTCTAAAAGGAATAGAGTTCAGATAGCTTACCTTTAGTAAATTTACTAACTACTTATTTTTTACTTTTGCAAAATTAGTTCACTGAGTTCAAGGGGCTAAAGGTCACAAAACAACACACATAGTTGTCCTACTGTAGGACGTTGAGATATTTGTTCTAAATAGCCACTTGGCTTTCCTTTAAATATTTTATTTATTTTTTTACATTATACGTCATTAAGCCAATATATGATATGTTGTCACTAGGCCAAGGTCTATATGTTATAATACTCTTTCTAAGATGGGGACACAGACTTATTTTAACCTAAATATAGAATGTAAGATGAGTGTGGAATGAAGTAAGATGTCTTTTGTATTTGGCACCTGACCAAGATCAGGTGTTTCTTTTGCCTGGACCATTTATTCTAACGATGATCAAGGGCAGCTCAGCACCTCATTAGCACCTTCAAAGCTACTAACTTTCCTCGGATACAACTCGTAACCTTTTGATCTTTTGATTGATAGACTAGCACTAAAACTACTTAGCTACGGTACTCATATTTTGGATCATAGATTATCCCCCGATCTAACAGCTTGTGTTTGTTTGTTTGTTCAGACGTTAGAACACAAGCAAAGGAAAGTGAGGTTCATCGCCAAAGGAGGCAAACCTATGCTGGCTCTGAGACTACTGGACGCTGTGTTCTTTCACCCTCTCAACAAGAAGAGAGTCCTGGGCAAGGCTTACAACCAGGTGTACGAGCTGTTCATGTACCTAGAGCGGATAAAGGTACTGTGACACAGTCTTGTAGTATAACTAGACTTTCCATTCCCATATTAAAGTTGTACCCAGTTTTAGAATATTAATCGACATACAGCACAGTGCAATATTGATAAAATTCATTCAAAGTGACCAAACTAAGGATTCGGCATATCTAGTATTCTGTTGCTTGGAGGTTAGTTGAACTGAAAATTGTCTATGATGGTTCACATACCATCTGTGTTAAGTCTGTCCACAAAATAGAGAGTGAGACTTATGACTGTTATTGTCATTAGTGAGCGTCTCAATCTCATTAGGGAGCAAACTGGTGTAGGAACGGGACTTCGGTCCCTGAGGTCCTGGGTTCAAATTCTACCAGTCCCCAATGGATTGTATATAAGTGATAATGCCACAACCCCTCTAGTCTGAAGTAATGTGTCAAACAATTCCAATCTAGAGTCTATCACACAAAAAGTGAGCATCTCTCTTTTTATTCTGTGATTTGGCCTGTTAAAACTTAATGTAAAATCGTATAAAATAAAAATATCTTTAAAAATTAAATTCAAAAAGATAGAAAACATTTTATCAATGTTTTCTATCCAAGGTACTTTTTAAACACCAACACAGAAAGGAAGAAAAGTTCAAAGCAAACTTGTAGCTAGGGGAAAAACTGTAAAATCTCAAGGTACAAAAAGTAAAACAACACAGTACTTTAAGAGCATCGTGGTAAGCCTGCTATCTCAACAAAAATTCTTAAACCTAGGCTCTTGTGTTCTATATCAGACTCTTAACCTCAAAATTAAGGCTGACTCTAAAGGGGTTTATATTGTACAGACTCTGGTGGACCGTCGTCTGCTAGGAGGTCTACCGCTGGACTCTGCTATGCTGGGAGATGACTTCCTTCTCAAGTGTTTCCTCCGCTATGCCAAGCTGATCCTGATCCTACATCGCCCCGAGCCACAGTCCGCCTCCGACAGTCGGTCCATCGTTGACCCATTTGACGCCGGTGAAGTCTTCCAGCAGCTGATCCAGTGGGCTACCATGTAATGTGATTTTGCTTCTTGTTTTTGTATTTTTGATGAGGAGAATCACACTATAAGTGTTTCTCTTTGAGTTAGTGTGTTTTATTTAGAGTAAACATGGAAGGAAAATTTATAAAATTGAGTCCTATTGGTCTGAACTTGTTTTGTTCAAACATAAAAGAAGGGATGGATTTTCAACTAAGTTGCCCAAGAATATACTTCGAGACTGTGAGATGTACTCAAAAAGTTCACAACACTTTGTTATTTTGCTTCTTCAAAAGGTTTTTTTATTTTTAGTAGGAAGTAGTAGACAAAACTGCCATTGTACTTTGTAGAATTCAAAAACTTTGATGGCAGATCTCTAAATTCAGTTGTTTGTCCCCTTATACATTTTATATGTATGCTAGTTTTTGTTGTTAAGTGCCACATAACTGCGAAAACCTTAAAATGAGTTGTAAATATTAACGAGCACAAAGAAACACTGGAGTGATGAATTTGGCAACTAAACCTTAGACATTGGTATGGATGAATCCTGATTTCTAATTTCATCAATGATTTTGATACTGGTGGAATCGAGGAATCATCATCACAACTAGGCTAATCTTAAGGTCAACACTTTATGTTAGTAATAATAAATAACATTAACACTGTGATGTTATATGTTTTACAGATCAGTCAGAACCATGTTACCCCAAAGGTTGGAGGATGAGCCGGACATCAGCGTGTTGTTGATGAAGGATCTGCTACGTGTTGCTGCCAACCTCGTAGACCTCAACTATGCAGGGAAAACAACCATCGTCAAGTTGGCTGCTCTGATTAAAGACATACTGTCATCTGGTCAGTTTCAAATTGTGCTATTACGAGTAATGATTGTGTGTTCTAATGTAAAACAAAGTAGACCGTAATTGTTCAACAACTTGCGGGAGATTATGACTACTGAACATGTTGATGTGTAATTTATATTTTGTTTTATGATAGATTTGTTTGTGTGCATTACGTCACTAGACTTATCGAATTAAATATTGTCTATCATTAAATCTTCACATATTTACAATGCTGAGTTTTGAATCAATAAAGTTGGATTGTGACAAAATATAATTAGGTAGGTACTAAGAATAAACAATGCAATGATCTTAAAATGGATTTGGAGCTTTGTCAATGGGTTATTTATAAAAATTTGCATTTGAGTTAGTATTTGATTTTCTTCTATAGCCTAACTGGTTTAGTTTTGTAAAACTCTACATCGAGCTTAAGCAAAAATACTTTGTTTTGGGTGACTTAAAACTTAAAAGTGTTATTTTTAGAAGTGTATACAACTTGCCCCTGTTTTCCAGAATGCAGTTTGTGGTACGTGGAGCCGAGCATGATTGTGGTGAAGCACATGAAGGACTATTGCGAGGCGTTCTACGGACCGCAGGATCAGGATCAGCTGTTGAGGACTGTTGTTCCGTCCTTGCTCAGTCAAGCGATGCGGTCGCTCAGTGAGAACAAGTATACCAAGGAAGAAGTGGTGCAGTGTGTGGAGGTAATGCTGTAGTTGACAAGTTTCTGCAAATCATCGTCAGTTACTGGGGTGGTAACTCGTAGGAGTGTGGGGTGAAAATGTGTGCTTCCATCTTTAATTGTCCTGTACAATACAGTAGACTCCCTTTTATCCGGACACCTTTTAACCGGACTACACTCGGCGGAAATGACATCTCTTTAACTGCACAATTTTTATCAGCACATTGGTTTAAATGTTTAAACGGACTAGATCGGCAGGAAGTGGGCGGTACTGAAACAACTGGTCTCGTGTGAAACATTTTAGACCAGTAATCACGTGTCTAGATACAATGCTCTCCTAAATTTAAGTCAAATATCACAGTAAACGGTTAGTTTTAACAAGTTTTTGGGGACGTCGGTTTAACCGGAAAAACCGTTATCCGGACTGGCCTCGGTCCCGAGGAGTCGCTCCAATTCCAATTGTATTGTTTATACAATGGTTCAACCAGTGATGAGCTGTCCGTCTATGGTTATAAAATAATTGGGTCCATTATATATGAGTCATTGGTATGTGGTGGTTAAAAAAGAGGGGCTTTTTTGTGAGTCGTTTGTCCATTTATAACAATCAGTAATCACATTACTGTACAGACGTTTGCTGATTGACCCGCCTAAAAAAATTACTATTTAACCGATCAGGATTTTAGGCGGCTATTTAGGAGTTAGTGGACTAATTTGGATGGAAAAATGTCTTAATTTAAATTAAAATACAGGCAGTATGTGTTTTCCCTTATAATAACTATTGTGGACGTCATAAACATCCAACCATATAGCCTGGATAGATATTTCAAAAGTAAATTTTCTCTTTAAATTTGTCATAATATTATAGTCGATTGGGATTGAGACAAGTTGGTGTAGTTTCATTAATAAGTTCATATTAAAAAATACAGCAGCACACTGAGTCGGCCAAATTGATGTATAGTCAAAGGTTTTTACTAATCATTTTGTTTTCTTCTTTGCTTAGAACATGTACGAGTTGAAAACATCAATGTATGAAGTGGTGAACTGCCTGCAAAAACTCTTTGGACCAAAGTCCCATTTAGTACAGTCAGTTCTCAAATTGTTTACCGATGCTCTTGTCTCCATAATCAGTACGGATATTAAACAGGTTAGTAATTAAGTTTAACTTTTAGTTAACAATCTTGGCTGTAACTAAATGTAAATAGTTAATTAAGTGGTGAATCCTTCAAATTGATTCATTAAGTTCAATTTGGTCCTAGTACACAATTCCTAAAACAAAATAAACAAAACACTGAATTGCAGAATTTTTTTAAAATCAGCCGCCATATTTGAACTAGAGCTTTGCAAACCTATAGCTCTTTCTAGGTCTGCAGTTGCTTCTTAATTATTGCCTTTCTTCCTTACCTCCTCCGGCAGTGTATTTTCCTTGTTTCTATGTTTCTTGGTTTCCTGTTTCCAATCTTATCCTGTTCAACCTCTCCAACTCCTTTACCCATCTACATTTCCTTCTTTTGATTTACACTTTAGTTGGCTCTTAATTAGAGCAAAGCCACAATTCTTAATTTAATTTGTTATTATAGTTCTGACCAGCTTAATTTTTGCATACTTTTCTTAAATATCCAAGTCTCGTTGCTAAACAGTAACTTCTCAACATTTTCATTCACAATTAATTTTCTTATAATCAATTACTCACCTCATTCTACTTGTGTTCATGTTCCAGCTGCAAATACTAGACACGGTGGACAAAGTGCAAGAGTTGCCGTTTGTCTGTGGCATCCTGTTGTCTATTGTATCTCGAGCTAACATTGCTCCATTGTGGATTGCTACAATCCCTTCTTCCATCTCCCAACTGTACAGTCAGGTAGGATGGACATTCACTATTTTATCATTGTTCAATCTTTCAAATGATTACGATTCATTGAGTGTTATATTTTTGCGAGTAACTCGGATGTCACTTGTCGCGGCCGGTGAATTCACATTTTTATTTGTATCCGTGTTTGTGTTATTAGACTATATGTAACTTTAACTGAACGATGTCCAATGGACTGTACTCTTATTTGCACTGGAGCCTGATAAAAACACAACAATGTGCTAAAACTTAGATCGAAGAAACAACTTTCTATAACTTAACGACTAAAGGTATCAAACCATTATTAGTTCCATTTTTTTCATTTTGGATACATCGGAATTCCCAATAAACCAGATTACTTAAGAAACAAAAAAGTCACTAGTGCAAGCTCTTCCCTTAATTAAAATGTTCGAAGTATCAGACTATTGTTCATATTCTTCTATCTTTGACTATTGGTAAAACTAAAGATTACATTCTAATATTAAAGTTGTAGCCAGTTTTTTAATAAACTGAGCTCAGTTGAAATTATCTACCAACGGATGTAGTGAAGTAAATTACTGATTTCTGTTGATTACAACAGCCTTTGTTTAAACCAAGCCAAACTGAAAAGCTTTTATAAGTCACATCAACCAGATCAGATATGGCAGTGAAAAGAATTAAGGGAGACTAAAATGGAGTTTTAGACTTACACACTCTGTGATTGCTCATTCAGCCATCTTTTATTATTAACACGTTCCCTACCGACCGTCACACTCCTCTGTAACTGAGGGATGAGTATAGTTGGTAGCTAATATGTTAATAGGTAAATACATATTATTCATTTTGATAGCCCCTGGACTACGAATAATGACTTATATAGGCTTACCTCCGTCAGTAGTCCAAAATTGTGTCTTTTTCAACTAATGTTGTTCAAAGCTTACATGTTTCGTTGCATTGCAACATCGTCAGAGCTTTTTGTCAAAAACATCAAATAATTTACACATATGACAAAACACGGAACACGAAACATTTAAACACGTAATAACACGATAGCGCTATCGACACGGCACGGCACGGCAGCGGTTGTAGGTAGACTGGACTGGTCTACCTATAAAGACTGGTCCAGTCTACCTACAACCGCTGCCGTGCCGTGTCGATAGCGCTATCGTGTTATTACGTGTTTAAATGTTTCGTGTTCCGTGTTTTGTCATATGTGTAAATTATTTGATGTTTTTGACAAAAAGCTCTGACGATGTTGCAATGCAACGAAACATGTAAGCTTTGAACAACATTAGTTGAAAAAGACACAATTTTGGACTACTGACGGAGGTAAGCCTATATAAGGTAAATACAGGTGGTCCATGTACAGTGGCGGTTCCAAGGGGAGGGGGCTACAGGGGCTAAAGCCTTGGACCTTGGGCCTTGGGGAGCCTTGGACCCTGGAAAAATAAATTTAAACGTACATTTCGTCCTTAAAACACACAATGTCATAAAACAGACATCAATATAGTTTTTATTAAACTTAAAAGCGATGGCAGGAGTAGTATTAAGTTCCACGTAGATAAACTTTGTGGACAATAGCATAACGAATAAAACAATATTACGCTACGGAAAGTTGAACGCATCATCCCATTTTTACAGCAGTCAGCTGTTGACATGCTAGGGCAAAGGCGAGCGCGCAAGCGAGGACAGGGAAACAGCTGATTTCCTGATGTTCCATAGTTAGTTGTCAAATTGTCTGCTAGCCACTAACTACACAGGCATCAATCAGCAACCAGCGGTAGCACCAGTAGCCTATTACCATTGACTATATAAACACTAGTGTTAAAGTTTATATAGTCAATGCTATTACTGATTTCGATACTATACATATTGTGGCAGATCTATAAAATGAAGAAAAACGTAAGGTTAAGAAACGTGTCTACTTGCTTGCATGACATATAACAGGTGAAATGGCAGGTTTTAGGACAATTGGGCACAGTTCTAGCCGTTAGAAGTGGCTTTATAAAGTCACCAAACAGCTTTTAGGAGATATGGCTTCATAGTCTACAGTAGGCCTATGTTTTGAAATTCATGAATGCAAGTTCGTCATAGTTTGATTTTTAAAATGTTTACTTGCTCATGACAAAGACAAATAACATGTGAAATGAGAGGTTTTTGGACAGTTGGACACAGATATAGACATTGACATTAATAATGGCTTTAGAAAGTCAGTAAACAGCTTTTAGGAGGATATGGTCGTGGCCTACAATATGTTTGAAATTAATGAATGCAATCGTCATAGTTTAATTTTTAAAATGTCTATCTGCTCATGACAAACAACAGGTGAAATGGGAGTTTATGGACAATTGGGCACGGTTTTTAGGTGTTAAAAATGGCTTTAGAAAGTCACGAAACGGCTTTGAAAATTCCAAATTTTCCCCGGACCCCCCTCCTTTATTGGGGGATGTGGAGCACCCCCCAAGCCCCCCCTTACGAGGTCCTAGAACCGCCACTGTCCATGTAGATGGAATGTCTTCAGTTTCTAAAAGTTAATGCTTCTACCTATACTAATTAGTTACTGCACAAGAATTCCATTATTCTGTGAGAAGCCTGAAGTGTGCTAAAAAGGTGCAGGCTTATATCCTAAGGTAGTCTGCTAGACATTGATTGAGCCTCTCAGTGTGCTTAAACGCATTTTCACCTTCTCCCCACAAGAAATAAATGTAGGACGGTTTGTTTTCTTCTTGTCAATCCGATGATTTTTTAGTTTCCACAGCTTTTCCACGTTGTTCATTAACATCATTGTTGTTCATCATCCTGTAGGATGCAGACTTGTTGGCCGCTGCAGTATCACTGCTGCACACACTGGCTCACTGCGGACTGTCACTGCCTAAACAAGAGCTGTGCCTGGCCGTGAGAGAGGCCCACAGTGCAGTGACCTCCTACAACCGGGAGTCAACAGCTACAAGGCCCAGGGATTCCTCTGTCTTGATAGCCCGGGAATTCACCCTACCCTTGGACACAAAGGCTAAAGAATCACTGGCTTCCCAAGCGAAGGAGTCGCTCGCTTCACAAACAAAGGAGTCACAGGCGTCACAAGCAAAGGAATCCTTGCCATCCAGAACTAAGGAATCATTGCCCATTGAGTCAAGAGAATCAGTAGCCAGTACTAGTGTCTTTAATGAATCTTCGTTCTCTGATCATTCCATGTAAGTAATATCATGTGCACGTGACTCTCCAGTAGATTTGTTGCTCTCTACCTACCCATTACCACAGAAAACATACTACTATAATCCAGAATGCCAACCGCATGGTAAAAAGCATCAAGTGTTTTGAGAGAGCTTTGCCTGTCAATTCGTAGGCAGCGCCACCAGCGTTGCTATGCTGAGTGCATGGTAACGCTGGTGGCGCTGCCTACGAATTGACAGGCAAAGCTCTCTCAAAACACTTGATGCTTTTTACCATGCGGTTGGCATTCTGGATTATAGTAGTATGTTTTCTGTGCCATTACACACTTACTTACCAAAAGTAGATATCCCATTTGCAAAATATATTAATTTGACACCAACGGTTTTTTAGTAATACCAATTGAATCAGAAGAGCACTAACGATGGGGATATCATCACTAACGATAGGGATATCAGCACTAACGATTGGTATGATTTTTTATGTTAGTGCTCGATCTTTTGAGACTTTACAAAAAGTTGGCGCCACCACAGTTTTTTTTATAATAACACTTGAACCAAAAGAGCACTAACGATCGGGATTTTAGCACAAACGATTGGTATCATTTTTGACGTTAGTGCTTAAATAGGAGCCAACTTTATTGACCTAGATTAATCATACAACAATACAGTGATCAATGGAGCCTGAGTTTGATAATTCAATCTTAATTTTATTTGCAGAGATATCAAGAAAGTTGGACCACCAATATTGTCAGAATTAGCAGCCTTCCTCAACACTACACTGATTTGAAGAATTGTGGTTGGAAGTTTGCCCCGGTATGAAGCCTTCTTCATTTGGAGCCTGCTAACCACTTTTAGTGAACAAATTTTGTTATTGAATTAGTAATGTATTTAAGTCTAACTATATTTTTCAATTACAAGTAACAGACATAGTCTTGCTTAGCTAAGATATTTTGTACATTTTGTATATATTTATGGTAAACATAAAATTTAAGCCTTTGTAATGGTTTTAACAAGTATTGTGTTAAGCATTTATTTCAATTGTGTGTTTCTTGGATGATTTTTTAAGTAAAAATCTGTATAAATTATTGTAATTAACAGTTAGCTTACTTGCTATACTAGTAGTATGTTTTATGTTCAGTTATAAAGTATTGCATACAATATACAAAGACTATACAGACTAGTTATTATTACAGTAATTATATTTTTTTAATAATATATTTTTTGGAAATATTTAACTTTTAAGTTTAGTAGAAAGGACCACTGAAATGATTAAAACTTGTTATGTATTAATATTAATTATGGACTAACAAAAGAAGGAAGAAGGGACTTAAATACTTTTTTCTGAGTGATGCTTAGCTATCTACGTTTATCTGCTTTTTAACACAATTTCACAATGTTTATCCTATTTTGTTAATATTCAGACATAAGGAAATAAAGTTCAACTCATTTTGATTTTTTCCTGAAAAAGAAACTTCAAATATGCTGTAGTGTGTTTTTTTACTAGAGCCTAAAATGGCACTTTTTTGGCCTGAGAAAGACAGAGACAAAGTCGTAGACAGAAACAGACTTTTTGTTAACCGTAAACTGCAGAATTGGTAATGTAATGATTGAACTAGAATGTTTTATCATATTGTAAATTTCACAGATCAAGTAACTTATAAATTAGCTCCCAAAATGGTTTGCTATTATATACGAATAGCAGTCGCTGTTATTTATATGTGTATTATTTAATAAACAACAATAAATTCATATTTTATTACTGAAATTCTTAAGTTCCAATTTATCCTAATGTCAATAAAGGGGTATATTTGTAGTGAAATATGTAGGCCTAATACAGGAATACAGGGTGTTTCAGTAAAGCGTAAACGGTTATTTTTATTTCGGCTTAGTTTAACCGTAATCCGCCATTTTGTATTTTTTGAAAATCATTTTATAACTCAAAAGCCCTTAGAGATATTTTTATGAAATTTGGTATTAACTTTGAATCTAAAGCCATAAACATTCTACGAAAATATCTTTGATCAGGCTCATCGAATTTCAAAATGGTGGCCATTTAAAATCTTAAAAGTCAAATATCATGAAAACTAGCTAATAAAACAAAATTTTACAACTCATTATTGAAAGTTATTTTTATTATAAATCGAATGACACTTTATTTGCAAAAATCGGATAATATAAAAAAAGTTATGTAACTTTTATTATTAAAAGTAATTATCAAAATGGCGGTCATTTAAAAATCAAATTTAAATTCCATAGAAACTATAGTGGCAAAAAAATGTTATCAGATATTCTATTTAAAGCAGTTGGTAATTCAACTAATCCACATTTACCTCTTAATTGTTCACAAAAACCTTGTCTATTGGGATAGTCATGCTCATAAAGAGCCTGAACTCGTTGATAGGGGTAAAGCAACTGGTTGTTCAAAATTCTCCAAACAAATGAATGGCTAATGACGCTAATCTTCTCGTGCTTGTAATTGGATCTTTTTCCACAGCTCTCAAAACTTCGTTGATTGCTCCAACCACCAGACAGAATTCCAAACCTTTATGTTGTCCCTACGGTTTCCAAGATCACGCCGGACGGGGACAGCGTGATCTTGGACAAGCATGATTACGTATTCAAGTTTAAGTTGAAGCCATGCTTCTAAATGGGTGCGGTTTCCAAGTGCGAGCGATTCAAACGCTGAGGACTCACGCCGGACATGGCGGGAAAACCCATGTCCGGCGTGAGTCCTCAGCGTGGCACGCTAAAGTTGACCCACAGTCATTTTTGGCATGCAAGCCGAGCGGACAGGTGTAGGACTCTGTGCAGAAGTTGTTAATTCTTTCCCTCCCCTTCATCCTACAATAATTGCAGTTTACCAAATGACCTTCAAGATGCTTTCGATCCAACCCTCGTGGTGTTGAACACTTGTAAAAATTTAAAAATCACACAAAGTTTATTTCAATGTGATTGTAATAAAACTAAAATTTATTTAATAAGGCTGTGAACTATCATCCTATATTGAATTTGTTCTTTCCGGTGGTAGGCCTATTGTAATAAAATCCAACTTCTTTGAATGGTTTGTTTTTTATTATAACCAAAACTACTTTTATGGGTCTCTTTGTTTATAGAACCAGATGATTGAGCTATGTGTTGGTAGTTTTTTTACTTATTTTAAGGACTATAAAGTTGTTTTAATCACTCCGATGTTCAAGGCCGTAGCCAGGACAAACTTTCGGAGGGGGGGGGGGGGTCAGGTCAGTGGCAGTTCTAGGACCTTGTCAAGGGGGGCTTGGGGGTTGTGAAACACCCCCCAATATAAGAGGGGGGTCTGGGGAAAATTTGTGATATTTTTGAAGTAGTTTAGTGACTTTCTAAAGCAATTTTTAACACATAAAACTGTCTTCAATTGTAAAAAAAAAACTCCCATTCTAACCTGTTGTTTGTCATAAGTAAGTAGACATTTACAAATTTAAACTATGGCGATTGCATTCATAAATTTCTAACCATACTGTAGGCTACGGCTATATCTACCTAAAAACAGTTTGGTACTTTGTTTAGCCCCTTTAGCCTCCCTTGGAACCGCCACTGTGTCAGGTAATGACTGTGTTTAACAGATTTAAGCACTTTCAAACACCGATTACCATGCTTATTTCTAAAATGTTGATGTGTAGTTACATATGAAAAATATTACAGGATGATAAATCTGTTTTGTTTGAGTACAGTAAAGTATTTTGTTGAACCTTCATATAGTTATATTACCTCTTTAATAAATCAGATTTATTAATATTATTATTACATGAAATATAAATAGTTACTGCAAAACATAATAAAACATAAAATATAACCCTCTGTTGTGGTTTCTATTTTATAATTTAACTTGCACTTTTCAAACCTAGTGTTAATTTTTACTACTAAATTTCAGGATTTGGGGGGGGGGGGTTGACCCCCTAACCCCCCCCCCCTGGCTACGGCCTTGCCGATGTTATTTCTAACAGTTATGATGATATATCATCTATTGTTAAATTTTAATCAGGCCAGAGGCCATACCACTAAAACCTAACAAATTGTCAAATTAACCATTAAACAAAAAATGGGTAACACTAGGTATTAAAATATCAGCAATTAGAAAACAAGAACTATTGGGAGCCAAAGTGGAACAAGAATCCACTTTTTATTGAGTACAGTATTTTAAAAATTACAAAAAAATATTTAAGTCGGTGACCAATCCAAAAAAACAAATCAAGATTATATCAAAAACTCAAATTGTAAGACCAAAGCTTCTTGGGCAGTTGTAAAGAAGGAGTTGGGCCACAATAAACTAAATCATGAGATACCATGTGATGTTCAGAGCGGCCTGAAAAATAACTGCCAATCTTTGAAAACTATGGCAAATGATTTTGATTTTATTTTCATTATCATTTTTTTAACTTAAGTAATTCAGCAGCAGTAGCTCCGAATAACAACAAAGCCTTGATGTTCATGGTTCATAACTTAGCAAAGATTGATAAGCCTTTTAACTTAAAAAAAATTAAAATATCAGATTTGAGAAAACTGTTCATTTATTGAAAAATACTAAATCTTTAGGAAGGGATGAAATCCCCTTATTTGTAATAAAATAAGTGATTGATTTCATCCAAGAATCCTTGTGCAAAATAATAAACCAGTCCCTAGAATGTGGAGTTTTCCCTGAGAAACTCAAATTTTCTGTAATCAAGCCTCTTTATAAAAGAAATTGTGTTAATGATTTGAAGAGTTATTGTCCAGTAGCTTTACTGCCATGATTTTCTAAGATATTTGAGAAGGCAGTTGAACTACAATTAAACAATTCTATGGAAAATAATAATATATTTAATATATAACAATTTGACCCAAAAATCAATAACACAAATGGTTAATCATATAGCTGGGGCACTGGATGGGTCGTAGAAGGCTGCGGGTGTGCTGTGCAACCTATCCAGCGCTTTTGACTGTGTTAACCACGACATTTTAATTGAAAAGGTAGGCAAAATTGGAGTTAAAGGAAAAGAGCAACTGTGGTTTTCTTCCTATTTAACTAATAGATATCAGAAAACTAAAATCGGCAAAAATGGTCAACAAGTAAATCCATCTTGGGATAAAGTGCAATGTGGTGTCCCACAGGGGTCAATATTGGGTCCCTCTTTGTTTTTAATCTGCAAATGATATGCCAAATATAACAAAGATGAAACTTTTTCAATATGCAGATGACACAATGCTTTTGTGTAGAGGGCCCACTATTGACTTCCTGCAGACTAGCATAGACAAAGAATTCTCTGCTCTGGGTAACTGGTTCTGGGCAAATTGTCTGGCCTTATATGTGGTAAAAACACAAATTGAAATTATAAACTTTTCGGCTAACTACAGATTTTTTAGTGGTAAGAGGAAGGTATATAGGGCCCAGGTATCTTCATTTACACTCATACTACTCCATATCACCACACAGGGAAGATATTCAAATCACATTATCCTTTCAAATAATCAATTATCTCCACAACAAAATGTAAAATTCCTCGGATTAATTTTCAATAAAAATCCTAACAGGGCATCTCAAATTGAAAATATAAGTAAAAAATTAGACCCTTGCATTTTTTCAATAAGAATTATACGACAAGTAACAAATCTAGAAACCCAGCTGCTAATAATGTATCATGGATATTTCTCATCATTATTCATTAATGGACATATGGTATGTTGACCTGGGGCAACTCTCCTTATTCAAATAAGGAGACGTAGGAATTGGCTAACTCAGGAACTCGCTAACTCGGTCGTGTGGTGGAACTGGCTAATTCTGGAACTGGTTAACCGTCTCAGTCAGGAATTGGCTAACTCCGGAACCCGCTAACTCGATTTTGTCTCGCGGCGGAATTCGCTAACTCTGGAAGTCGCTAACCCGGCCGCGCCCACTGCTCGGAGCGTTGCCAACCTTGTACGACAAAATAATCGTACACTGCCGTATTTCAAAATGTCAGTGTCTATAAAGATACAGTAAATGTTATTGTTTTTTGTTATCAATTCCACTTTTAACAGATAACTAGCCCAAAGTAATTAAAAGACAATTAAAAAATCATGAAAAAGTGTTTTTTTATTATACTGTACAATGGCCAGTTAAATGTTTATGATTTCGATCTTAAATATAAATGCCATCAGTATAAAAGAAAATAATAGAATATGAAAAATATTCAAAATTTAGTTTAATTGGTAATAAATAATTAAACCTCTACGAAATTAAGCTAAAATACACGCAAGTTCTTAAAAACGGAAAACAGATTTAATTGTAATGTCGTAATAAACCAAAACCATTAATTAATACAGTCATCAACCATCGTAACTTTCATAATTAATTCATAGATTTTAAATTAAATGTTCGTCGTTGAACCGTCCAACTTACGTGTACAAATATGATGACATAGACTAAGTTTTTATCTAGGCCTAATAGTTTGAACCAAAGCATTGTAGGCCTACTAGTAAATAGTTGCCTAATTCTAAAATGTGTTGAATTTTTTAACAATGATGTTACATGTTTTAAAACGGTTTTTAGATTGTACACCTAAGCACCACTAGTAAAAAATAGGAGAAGATATAATATTCATATAATAAAACGTGACAGGGTTATTTTAATTCACGATTTTTAATAAACTAATTGACGGATTTTCCTGATTTGAGTGTTGGGTTTCCTTTATATTGCTTTCACAAACTATATAAACTATGCCAAGCCATTGCTCGGTTCACCGTTCCTTAGTATTGAGCTACACAATAGACAATAGCTTTGTTTTTGGATAAGATAGAACCAGCCTGGAAAAAAACTCCAGACTTTTAAAAAGTAAGCCTACTGAAAGACGTAAAACTAATATTAATTCAACACAATTAAGAGGATGACCCGGGTTCTACACTAATAGCCTACGATAAAAGAAATTTACAAGTTGTATTTATGCATAGTCTAACTTTTAATGCAATCCATGAATACATTAGGCCTACCGGTACCACTTTATAATGTATTGATAAATATTTATTTAAATTCAATAGCTCTATTTAAAAATACATAACCACTACAATGTAATTCTGTAATGACGTTTAACGTGTAAATTTTATTATATTTATGATTTAAGGTTACAACAAGCCCAGTATATAAAATACGAACTCAAAAATTTTATTTGCAGAAGTTCACAAAATGGTATTTATTCGAATAAAAGAAACAAATGGCGGACTACGAAAATAGATATTTCATAACATGCAATAGATCCAAATTAAATGTTCATTTTTATCTTTTTCATACCAACAAGCTACTATTTAAGTAAGAAACCCACATATAAAACATACTCCCTTATATTAGTACATTTCTCATCCTTATGGATGATCTGAAGACAGTTGTATTGTTAGTTCTGTCTGGTGCACTGTCTTTAGAGGTCGTGTTTTGTTTACAATTGTTTCTTGTTTTCAGTAATTTAAAACCTCGTTTAACCAAATAAAACGTTCTAATCACAACTAATAACACGTCCCCTAGTTATATAACCAAACAGTAAGGAACAAATCATGAAGTTAACTATAAAATAATAGAAACACAATTTTGTCGACACTAGCGATCAGTGTCACCGGACATGAACTAGACACGAAAAACTAGCTTCAAAGTTTACAATGGGATGTAAAGTTTACTTGTGTTGGTTAGTCTATGGTAAGACTATAATGTATTTTCCACCCTAATAATCATAAGAACTTCTCTGTGGCTAAACATACTTCTAAATATATTTATTTTATCGACTACGTTGCTCTTACTCCTAATTAATGGTAGGATACGACATTATGGTGCCGATACGATATAGGTACTACACTTTCGGCAACACTGGCCAAAAATATTCGTGCTTGGCTCCCATTGGACGGCCCGCGAGGCTTCTGATTGGGAGTTAGCGAGTTCCGCCGAGGGACCGAGTTAGCGACTTCCGTACGAGGACGGAATTCGCTAACCCGGCTCTAGAGCGGGTTAGCGGGTTCCGGAGTTAGCCAATTCCGAAACCGAACAAGTTAGCGAGTTCCTCTCATCGACCAAATTTGAAGATAGGGCATTTAACATGGGGTTAGCGAGTTCCAGAGTTAGCCAATTCCGCGGACCCCAAATAAGATGTTCAAATTACAAAAAAAAGTAATACGAATTACAGTAGAACCTCTTTAATCCGAACGTCCACTAATCCGAACCCTTCATTGCTGTACTCTATAAACAGTACAGCAGTTCTTTATTGTATACTGTAGTTAATTTACAGTACTGTTTATTCACCATTTTTACTACTGTATTAAATAAACACTGTATTTTACTTTATAAAACATTTTTTCACTTTTCCCAAAATAATGTTGATCAACTTTAGCCATGTTTGAGCTACTGCTATGTAAAAACAACAAACAATATATTCTGTAATCCAAACTATTCAATAGTCCGAACTACCCTTGGTCCCAATTAGTTCGGATTAAAGAGGTTCTACTGTATTGGCAAAGTTCCCCCTAGAACCCCTAGTAAACAACTGTTCCAAGCATATTGACCTATGCTCCTATTTAAGATTTCTTTCTGACTCCTTGCTCCTCTGTCCCCATGATGTGACAGAAAATTCATAGTTCCTTGAAAAAGTAGATTTTTAGGTGTGGTGTTGATGTACCAAATCTTATTGATTTATTTGTTGTCGTTTAGAAAATATTAAGCCCGTGCAGGACTTTATATACACCCTGTATAATCCTATAAATTTTGGTCAAAGAACCTAAGTGAAATAACGGGTTTCATTTGAGCTATTAGTAAGTTAATTCAAATCAGACGAGTTTCAAGCAAACGCAAGGTGAACAACCAACATACAATTTTATATAACTAAAAATCAATAGCTCCAGTATTGTTCATGTTTTTTTATAGGTTTTAAACTCATATTTTAACGCTGCGGAGCAGCATGGGTCCTCTAGCTAAACTTATTATAAGATATGTTGTTACGATTTATTAAAGAGAAACATCATAGTTTGTAAAAATAGGAGAGCTGGTGAGACCTATGAAATGACATCCCTAGCATTAAATTTGTTTCTCAAATATCTCAGTAGTAGGCGACTCACCATCTTATTACCAATCCATCAGGTGTTAGCGTTCCCTGATTCTCTAACGATCAGCTCGCCAGTAATGATTAGAACATAAACTAGACAAAAATCTTTCTTCTTTTCAAAATGGCAAATTTGTAAGCTTGGATAAAAATCTAATTGGAGGACAGTGAGGAAAACAAAAGTTTAAAAGAAATGAGGAAATGTACCTTTTATTATTACATAATTCAAATAATAACACAGTTCTTAGCTATTAGAGTTTCAAGCTCAAAACAGACATATAATGGAACATAATTATAACTTTTGAAAAGGTTTTATTTGTACTGTACATTAAAACCACAATATAGAGAGAGGGCTGAAACAATTTCAGTACAAATTCATACATTTAAATTTCCGTCAAAACCATTATACATACTTTGACAAAACAAGTATGAAAAAGGGTCAACTTCAAAGATGAATATTTTACTTAAGAATACCAAAAATGCCCAAACAATTGCACAACTAAGTTATTATTTAAAATCAAGACAAAAAATACAATATGCCTATTTAGGTCGTATATTAGGTAGGATTAAACCTTGTCAAAAACTGTTCAAATGTAGAGATAACTAATATCTTTAAGTATAAGAATATTGGGAATCTAGCATGAGGAAAAAACCCAATTTATCGACACAGGAAGTTGTATGAGAGTTGTCAATATTTTTCAATATTAAAAAACTTCAAATCATTATACTTCATTAGGTAAATGGAGTCCTTTATTGCATTTAAAGACATTAATTTCCTCCCCACTTGAGAACAAAACTTAGAACTGACAAACTATAAAAAATTAAAATGATTACAAGCATGTTGAAACAAACTTAGTACAAAATAGTCAAAATACAACATTGATATTCTAATACTTATGCCATAAAGGTAAAACTACACTGAATGAGGTGGTATAACTTCATGGACATCCAGTTGTTCCAAATGAGTGAGTACAGCAATTTGACTGGAATCAAAAATATACATAGAAAATCATACAACTCAAACCCATCCACTACACTTGAGCAATATTTTTAAACTATAAAAATACAATATCAGTCAAATTTAAATAGGGAACGAAAAGAATTCAACACACACGACGGTTTGCAACCTTTAACAGAAAAATAATTGAATAATCTTAAGTTACTAACTTTTTACGTCCCCGCAGTTTGAATGTTGGTAATGACTTTGAAGCATTTAAAGAGCTTAAATACAGAGTCTTATACTTAATTATTGGGGATTATTGAATATTGAGTCAATTAACTATAAACAAACAATAAATGAGTTGAATCTAACACAGCATGAAATATTGCTGTATCATAGTCTCTTCTATTAACGCAATATGAAATTCACTTTTACTTAAGTCCACAGAAATTGTTTTGGTATTTAAACAGTAATAACATACTAGGATTCAACTCGATAGTTACCTTTTTTTGCAGATGGTTTGGAACGTTATACTAGATGTTCAGTTGGCTCTGAAACATAAATTTACATTAAATAAAATGTGTTGATTTGTAGTTAAATAAACTAAAATTAAATAACAGATAAAAAGTGTAAGTGACGTTAAGGAATAGTGATTTTTCAAACCTAAATCTCACCTTTAATTAAGTTACATCTAGAAAATTTACATGAAAATTAAATTATATAATATTGCATTGTCATCCATTTGTGAACTATGTTTCAAGTTTCAAGTCTCTGGCTCATCGGAAACTTAGTATAATATTGATTGCAAAATTTGTACCGGACAAGAAAGCGAGCTAATAAAAACGTTTGAAATAGGGACTTTTTGGACATTTCCAATTTTTATTTTTGGCCTATACAAAATACATATAAAAAAGTTAATTTGCTAACTAAATTATTATTATATGCATACTAACAGATTTTGATATTTATTATGAAATATAGACTGACACAAAGAAAAATTGTAAGTCTTCATTTTTACAGGTTTAATATACTCTATGTGCCTAAGCAACACACATTTCTTATAGCTCTGTAATAAAGTATTATTACATGTATCTAACTATGCCATTAAATCTACCAAGCTAAAAGGGTTATGATACATATAAATAATTAATCTTGAAAGAATAATAAAAACTATTATGATTAAAATACTTAAATAAAATGCCTTAAAAACTCAAATATAATATCATGCCTGTTTTACTTGAAGTAGACATTTCATGTCTATGGGTCAGCTGCAGCCAATTTCCAAGAATAAAAGAACTTTGTTGAATGGGACAGTCAGAGTGTGTTGTAAGCTTAATTTCTATTTAACCCTTAAAAGTTATAACTTGCTATGGTTTTCAATGATTTAATCTTCTAGTTTGGCTTGGTTAGAGTTACAATCAGTAATTAACATCAGCACACTCTATTGAGGGCTTTTGGTTATAACTTGGCTACAACTTCGTAGGAATGGAATGTCTAGTCCAATCCTTAGTCAAAGAGTGCAGCAAACAAGATTAATATGAACAAAAAACAAAACAAGCGTGACAGTACCTGGGCGATTTGTTTACCTGCTGCGCGAACGGGACCTGGACCTGGACTTGCTCTTGCTGCGGTCCTTGGGTGTGCGTGACTTGCTGCGGCCACGGGATCTACTGCGAGAGGCGCTGCGGCTACGAGTGCGGCGGTCACGAGAGCGTGAGCGAGACCTGCTACGACTATATGACCTGGGGAACACCCCAGAGTGTTAATAAGAGTGAAACCTCACACCTTCACCTCTCACAAGTTGTTATTGTGATGATGTTAGATGGTCGATTTTTAAAATTACATACTAGTCTTATACTAAAAACTCCTCGGCCATCTTGTGGTTATGCCTGCATTTGTCAAATATTGGTTTCTAATGGTTCATCAGGCAGAATTTATTTCTGAATACTTGATACGGTAGAATCACCCCTACCCACCAGAAAAGGTTTTTGTTGTAGTTAACCTCTTCTGCCCAGAAGAAATATAGAGATGGTTTACCCACCATGAATTTTAAAACTGGTTTGTTTAACACACTTTTCCTAGGAATCTAGAGATACTTCCGATCCCATCTTTACCACAGCACGGACAATTTTCAACACTCTTACCAATGTGTCATCCAATATTTGACAAAAGAAAACAGTAAGAGCATCACCAAATTAGTTGTTGGCTAGCATAAACACTTAAGAGCATAGAAAATAAAAGCAAGTGTAAAAAATGTAATAGTTATGATTTAGATGAAGTATATTTTATATAGATAAAACAATTGAAGGGAGATGAAACTACGCTACAAAGTCTTAGACAATCAATTTAGTTTAACACCAAAATGAGCCAGTAAAACTTATTAGGTGAGTGGTATTCCAATCAATTTATACTTATTTATAGACCAAACTCACAGGCAATGAGGGCGAGATATTTTATGAGTGGAAAGTCTATGTACAAAATTGAAGCATAATAAGAATAAGAAAGTATGACTTTTTAATAGTATAAAGAGTTTGTCTAATCTAGATTGCAAACTATTTTTTTACAATTACATATTAAAGTAGGAAAAGGGATACCTATTTTTTACTGAAATTGTTGTGCCAGCATGGACATTTCTATTAAATAAAATCAGCAATTGATCTTTAGGATTGTTAAATGATTATTTTCCAGAATAAAATGTTTTTTTCAGTAAAGTATTGAACATGTTATGTAACGCTATTTGACGTGAAGTGAAATTTGTTTGAAAATGCAAGCATGACAATATGTTGAAAATATATGATGTGAGAGAATGATTAGGCCTGAAAACATACATTGAGAAAATACAAACCAAAAATATAATCTCACATTCATGAGATGATTTTAAGATTAAGAGTAAAGACACTTGGCTAAAATATCAGTACCAAACTAACCCAACAAAATGTTTAAGAAGAATGTAATACTACGAAACCTTTACTAAGACCTATGGTTAATAAAATACAGTTTGTTACCGTGACTGAATGGGTTTGATTTTATGCAATATGTGTAACTCACATATATAGAGTGAGCGTGAGAGTCTAAACCGCCGATTGAGAACCGCAGATAGAGTGTCGAGCTACGAAGTCTACAAAACTTAGGAGAAACACAATCTTTTTCTGTCTGTCTTTCTTTCCCTCAGCGCCACTGCCAATCATCTCGTCATTCAAAGTGTTGTCCCAATGGTTTTCATTGTTTAGTTTTGTCATTTTCACCAGACATATACAAAAAAATAATACTGTTCCGTTTCCAGTTGAAATTTAATATAGTTAGTAAACAGCGCAGCGCGTTCACTAACAAGAAAATTGTAATGCAGGGTTAAAATTTTGTATAATTTTGCACAGAAAGAATAACGTGTGAGAGTTAATTCCACCAATTTTACTCTCTTGGCCAAGAAAATTATCAAATTTGTTACTGTAAGTAAACAGTAAAAGAAATGAGGGAAAACAAAATTCTATATACAGTATCAAACTAGAATCAGCGGACATTTGATTTGTATTATTTGTCCCCCGAGATGATTGGCAGACAAGTCAAGTGTGAAGAGGCGAGGCGCAGTGACCGTGCGTGAGGCGAGGTAGTTTCTACGCAGTTCAGATTAACATTCTCTGCGTCGTTCGTTAGAAGCAGGCTGTGTGCTGTGTAATCACCACTCAGCCCCACTTCCTATAAAACGTCAGGAAGACAATTGTTTAAGATTTACATTCAAACCCCAGCCCTTAACCCCCAATAAAAATAACATATTACTGTAAAAAAAATCTATTACCATAAGCCCGCACAAAATTAAAAATTCAGTTCCTGTTATTAAAATAGTTGTAGAACAAAAATAATAAATTTGGTAGGTATACATAAAAGTGTCCGTAATTACAGCATATAAAAATAAAAATACATTACATTATGTTGTACATTTGACAGATTTACAAGAATCACTATTTAAATTATAAAACTGTGACAGACAGTAATACATACCTGGAACATCCCTAAATCAATATTATCAGACTGTTTTGTGCTTAAACAACTTTAAGTGCCAACAATTAACATAAAGTGCTGTGTGTGTGGATAGAAATGAACACTTCAAAATGAGCCATATCTTTATTAACATGGCCTGAATATTTCGAGAACACAAGTCTGGAAAAGAACATAAGATATTAAGAATTAAGGGATTTTCGAAAGGAACCCACCTTCTCCTTCCTCGGCCTCGGTAGCGTGTGCAGTCCCGAGCGTAATGTCCACGCTCGCCACACTCATAGCAGCGATCCTCCGGGTGGAACGGGCGGCTGCGGCGAGGTGGCGGACCTCGATAACCACTCTTACGAGCTCCGTTAGACATCTCTACCCTCACACGTCGGCCACACACAGTCCTACAAACACAAAATAGCAATCCAGTATAAATAACATTTTGCTACAGATTGAAGATACCCCTTTTTATATACAAACTGTTACACTCATAAATTTCAACATTATATCGACGAACAGTCTAGACCCAAACTTCAATTATCCCAAAAATCACATCTAAAAATGATGACTTCAAAAAAACCACCAAAGTATACATCCAACCAAATCAATTTTGTATTAGGCCTATTTAGCATTAATGGTAATATGTAGTAGCAGTAGAAAGAAAAATGTGCCTATGTGGATGGGCAAAAGCAAGGTTATTAGAGGCTGCAAGACCTCTTAAAAGGTTCAACTAAAGACTATTCTGATTTGATACAAATAAAAATTACAGTACTGCCTATCTGAAATAGTCAAAATGGATTGTAACGCTCAAAACAGCCTCAACTCTGACTAAAATTACAGATTAATGAAATTCAATCACAAATTACTTCTCACCTTCCGTCCAAACCTCGTACTGCATCCTCTGCATCTCTGGGGTCTTCAAATTCAACAAATGCAAAGCCGGGTGGGTTTCTGGCCACCCAAACATTACGGATCGGTCCATAATAAGAAAATGCTTCTTCCAAATCTTGTTTTGAAGCGGATGATCCTAAAATCAAATGTAAATAGGCTATAGTAAAGAGACTAAAAACCCATTGAGAAGTAGGTAATTTCCAACATGCATCATTTTCTTAAAATAAATAGGCTGCCAAAGGTTCTTAGGGGATTAAAATTAAATATCAATCATGCTAACATTTCACTTCCAACCCCTAATACATATACTGGTTCATTATAAGAGTACGGTAAGTTAGTCCTAAAAATGTGGTTCAGATTCCACTATAAACTGTAGGTCCTGTAGTTTCCATTAGCTGTATGGGCTACTAAATCAACAGCTGTCTAAGGAATAAGTCGGCCTTAGTCACTAACAAGACTACAAGATCGCGCCACTCATCCTACACTCATCTCCATTCATCCTATAGTCCTCGCCACCCTAAGTTGGAGCCCAAGGCCGCACGGCGTATATCTAGTGCGGCCTTTGGCTGCCTCAACTTAGGGTGGCGAGGACTATAGGCTTAAAATACCTTCTTTGTATGGTCGCCATTTCATTGAAAAGTATTTAAGTATCTAACTATTTTAAATAATGTAAGTTTAATATAAGAAAATTAAGTCAAGTCACTATATATGGTCCTGGCTTTTACTTCTGTTAGCAGCAAAAGACACCCTCTTGTTACTTCCTAATAAAAAACATAAATCCACAAGAAATCCATCCAGGTTTAAATTGTAGGGTAGGCCTTTTTAAAACTTATAGTCTTTACGAAATCTTTCAATTACTGTAATTAGCAATTTAATAGGGACTGATAAGTTAAGGTATTTGAACTATAAACAAGACAGCTTGTTTTGAATGCATTTTAAGCTTACCTAAATCTCCAACATAAATCTTGCAGTCTGCATTACCAGAATCTCGGTACCGAGACATCTTTGAGTCTGAAACAACATTTTAAAATACAGATTCAATTCCTATTTTGCCTTTTAGACCTGATGACTGCTTTCATAGCAGTGAAAAGTTGAGCGGAGTGATCACGTTTCACAGTTTTAATAAAGCAATAAATTAAAAAATGTTTACTGATAGTTATAATACAAAATACAACTATTTCATCAATTTAACTTATCAGTTTCGCTCAGAACTATAACACCTATAACAAGTATCATAAGTAAAGACGTGGACATTACATATAGACCTATCCTTTGTATCAGTATTTTTTCTGTGTTTGCTTGCTAATGTGATATGGTGAACCCACAGTTCTGGTTGAACCCGACCTTGAACCTAAACAATCGACATTTTCTCAATCTTGTCCAGATTTTACAATTCAGGCAGAAATAATCCTTCATTTATCCATAAGATTAGCAGATGCAACTTTTTTAAGACTTGCCTGCTTTGAGAGAATTGCACTTAAATAAGTTAGTTGTCACCATGTACCTTATGAGGTTTGTTTTCAAGCAAGTGTTCTACATTCAACTATCTCAAAAAATTGCCAGACGTAGTTGTTTGTGCGGTTCGGGCGTTTATTGCTCGTCTTTAAATTATACACATGTCGATCAGTTTGGTAATTTTGATACCTAACTTAAAAGTTTTTTGCCTCCTGAATACAAATATAGGCTACCATTATTTTTAACAGCAAATGAATATTCCTGAAGATATATCTAGTAAAATGTAGACCTACCATGTTTGAATGAACAAGGTATTTAAGGACAAACGACATTTACAAGTAGACTAACAATATTACTTTCAGAGAGGTCGGTCAGGCTTTAAGCGAATTTGTGACTGTACAGGGTTGCCACCAAAGTGAGATAAAAAAATTCATGCATAATTCAAGGTTTTCATTGGTAGTTTTGAAAAATTCATGGGGTATATGCTCGCACAATTTCACCATAAAAGAGTATTGCCTAGTTCAGAATTGTACATTAATTTATCGACAATATATAGTTTTGTGTGCTACTATAAAATAAAACACATTTCATGCGTTTATTTTAGAGTGAAAAATAAGAATTTAATAAAATTTATCCAGTCTAAAAAAAGTAAAATCACAGATGAAAAAGGATATTTAATAAAAATCTTGTGTGTGATAATACAATGTAATTCTTAAAAAAAATTGAAACATCTGATTTAACGACATCATAACTTATTCCTAATGATAAATTCAAACGTTAGAAGAAATAATAAATAAATAATAAGTCGGATTGGTAGTTAGGTATAGGCCTAACCTAAAAAACATTGCATCCAAACATAAAAGGTATAACTTAGTTAATCCAGCAATGGCCTAGAACTTTACTGTCTAAACATCAAATTAAGATAATAGGCATAACGCATAATTAAGATAATAGACATAATAAAAACAAATGTTAAGAACATGATCAAGAAACGGTTAACTTAGTAATGGGCCATATCTAGGCCTACTAAAACGCACATGCAATCTATTACTTTATACTGTAACACAGTAGGCTAGCCTACATTGTAATCCAAAGCTGAATCTAGGCTAAGTTAGGCCTGAACCAACTTTTATTTATTGAGAAGATTAAAGGTTACCGACTGACTGATAAAAACACTCTAAAAAGGTAATATTATGTAAATAAATATTTAGTTAAATAGTTAAATATTAGTGGATTAGTTAAATGTAAGTTTAAACATAGGCTAACTTTTAAGTAATAAAAAAATAATTACCTAATTACATTACAGAAAAGGTTAAAATAAACTTAGTTTAGAAGGATGTTTCTTCCGATTGGATCAGTTTATATATTATCATTTGCCTACACAGGTTTAAATCACAGTTAAAACAATTATTTAATTAAATTTACATCTCATTAGTTAGATTCGTATTGACTGAAAACACCTATGCTCATTTACATTTACCTTCCTCAGAACGAAATCACCATTTTTCAGCACAACATTGACTTCTTGCAACTTAGGCCTAAATAAATGAACTTAAACTCACGTTGTAAACACATTTACTCAACACTGACAGTAGTTTGAAATACGACATATTTGACCAAACACAGAAGACGATTAAGTTCCAGCCGGCGCAAGCCATTTTGACCTTTATGGCAAGGCAAGGTACTTCTTATTTTGACGTTGTAAAGTATCGGAAGTATGATATATCAGTAATAAAAAATATTTAATCTGAACACTTGTTCCACTGAGTGTTGGGTAATCAATTATAAGAAGCACAAAACGGAATCACGAGTGCAAAAAGTGATCTTACTGTCCAGTGTCCACCACTACTTCAAACGTTTGACAAGTTTCAGTTCAGTTTAAAACTTTTAGGTTATGGTTATTCTGTATTTCCTTCCACACGAACACTAGAGTAGAGAGTAGAGACTAGAGAGAGAGAATGAGTGAGTGAGGTGAGAGCGAGCATCATTCAATTCCGATTGTCGATGTTTTTGAAACATCGATGTCTTTTCTATCGATGTTCGAAGTTGTTTGTTTACATCGATGGTAGATTACCGAACCGATGATTTGGTTTGTTACATCGGTCTTTTAGGCCAAAAAAAGTAATGAAATACAGTATTGATGTTTTCCGTAACTGAATTGTATTGGTTTTAGGTTAATTGGCTGTTACAGTGCAGAGAACAGACGAGAAACTCGGAACAAACATCGATGTTTTGGCTCCGAAAGCATCGATTTTATTGGTAGATCGGTACTCGGTAGAGATGGGCGTTATAACATAACAGGATGAATAACAGTGTTGCGGCCACGGCAACGTTATCGCGGCAACACGTTGCGGAGAACTCCCTGTTATTATAATAACGTATCTATCTACACAATGTTGCAGGAAAGCCGCGCGGACAACGAAAACGAAAACATGCATTGCCATTAGTGCCGTTGCCGTAACGCTACCAGAGCAACGATAACTTCTGAAACGAACTAGAATAACCAAGAATAACGCATCCTGTCTGGGCCACGCCCGACTCCCGACTACAACTGAAAACTGAACTGATCAACCGACAACGATAACTGAACGCCGCAACACCGACCGGCAGACAACGGTTTATAGCGGCAACGAGTTGGCAATCGTTATTGAAATAACAGGTTGCCGCAACACGTTATTGGGCAGCTGCGTTATCGTTATAACCGTTGCCGGAAAACAACGATAATTCTCATCTCTAGACTACTCGGCTGACGTCGGTTACGATCGGATTTGACCTTGAATAAACTACGCAATCGTTTCTGTTCGTGGCATGGCAACAAAACTTTTTATCTTGACACTCCCACTTTGACGTTTTATCTCGGTGTTCATTTCGAGAATGGTTTTAATACGGAGTATTTGATTCAGCACATTTAGGGGTTTTGGCTGAATTATTAATAATGATTTTGAGAATTCATGGTCCAATGGCGAAATTCACGCATAATTCACGCACTTTTTCATGGTCACCTAAATTCACGCATAATTCACGCTTTTCAAGGTTTTCATGGCTGGTGGCAACCCTGCTGTATTAAGTCCTTTGAAGGTAGGTTGGATTTAGGTAAGGAAAACTTTAGGTTATGATGAATCGAGTTGTTGGTTTATGTTACCTAAAGACTGTTTTCGTACAAGTAAAACTCTTAAAAACACTCTGAAACACTAGCCTAGGCCTATTTAAAAAAATGCAAGAATTTTTTAAATATAGTATTTTGAAGTGTATTTTTTATGGTTTTAATTATTATAGCCTACAAACACAGTCTTTAGGTATCTTAATAAAACAACTCGATTTATAACTTTACCTTCCTAATTAATCCAACCCGACTTCAAAACACTTAATACAGCCTCAAATTCGCATAAGGCTCGACCAACCACCCTGACATACCTAAATAAGAATCAAGTTTGTTAATTATGTTGATTAAGGAGACTAAGGGAACCATAGTAATTTATATATCATTCGAAACTGGATTTATTTTGACCTGAAAACATAAATGGTGCAAAAATTGTAATGCTGTCACAAAAACTGAAAAACACTACGACCGATTGAATTTTATTTTAATGTTGTATTTAGGAACTTTCATCTGCACATTAATATACACTCTAAAATCAAAGTTGATAACCCAATTCACATTTATTGATTGATTATATAGGGTGAAGTGGGGTAAGTGTGACCTAAAAATCATAAAGTTCATCTTAACAATTTTTTCTCTCGGTTATTTCTAAAGCTAGAAACTTGAAATTTTTAACACTTAAACATTGGAAATATCTTTATTGGTAAAAAAAAACCCAATGTGATAAACTTATGCTTTCACTATTTTTTTTACTTACAAAAAATGCCTGCCAGCTGTCACACTTGCCCCATGGGGTCGGGGCAAGTGTGATAGCGGCGTCTATAAAATCCTGTATCTCTTTTAATGGTAAATGGGGCAATTGTGATAAATACCCAATTAGTGCTCTTTCAGGAACATTTTGATTTAAGTCCCTATCATTCTTACTTTTTGAGATATTTACAAATGAAATAAAGACGTACAAATTTAAAATTTGTAAAAACTTGCATCAGATCACACTTGCCCCGTGTGTCGGTGTCACACTTGCCCCAGCCATTGAAAATTTCCGGGGTAAGTGTGACATGTGGTTTTAATGATAAATTTGTACACGTTTTAAATATTTTTTTTCTAAAAGTTTAGCTATTAGGCTCTTTAAAAATCTGAGTTTGATATAAATTAGTCAAAATTTAAAATAACTACAAATTAAACAAAATTTCTGAACAAACTTCGATTTTGACCTAAAATGTCGGACTTATAAAAACCAATAAAATCAACATACAGTAGTTACTAAATTGATAAAAAACTATGTAGGCTAACTAGATACCTTATATGTCAAACATTATTTCTACGACAAAACCAATTTTTTTCAGCGATTCCCAAAAACAAGATGGCCGGCTATCACACTTACCCCACTCCACCCTATGCCATTTTAAAGTAAATATTACCCTCACACCTTGACCTTGCATACTGAACGCACTAATGACTGTTCTCCCAAATTTAAGTTTATAGCCTTCCCTCGATTTTTGTTAGCCAACTTAGTGATACTATCTTACTTCACTTCAATTTCTGATGACAGATGGTGTTTTAGTAGGTTCAGATGGGTCTTAGGTTTGTATTTGAAAATAGCTTCTGAAGGCGTCATGACAGTAATAGAATGTAGGGTGTTTCGATAAACGAAGAGGAACGAATATACTGTATAGGATGTTGTATACTTCGTGAACAATTATGCTTGGCGTCATGAAGCATTTGCTTGCGGAACGCAACTTTGACTGTCTGAACTGCTCTTTCTGCAAGATCGTTGGATGCAGGATGATACAGAGAAGTTAAGTACCGGTACGTGGTGAACTCCATTATGTTTCAAAAAACTTTCAAATTCTTCAGACCTAAATTGTGGTCCCCCATCGGTAACAACGGTGTTTGCAAGCCCAAAAGTTACAAAGCAATGTCTCAGCTTCTTGATTAGCGGTAATGTAGTACTTAGTAATGCGGTAATTAGAAATGTAGAACACCTTAATCCATTTACAATAGGCCTAACTATCTACAACCAACAGAAAGTCTTTTCCTTGAAGCTCGGCAAAATCAAGATGAATTCTTTGCCAGCAATGATGTGGCCATGTCCATAGTTGTGGGGGTACAAGGGGAGCAGATTTATACATGTCTTTTGACATATTGAGCATTCCCTCACCATGTTTTCTGTATCTCTGTCCATTCCTGGCCACTAAACAAAACTGTGTGCCAATGCCTTCATTTTTGATTCGTCAGGATGTTCTGTATGTATGTAGCAACATTGGTAGGCCTATTTATTTTTGATGAGTAGAAGGTATCACTACACGATTTCCCTATAAGAGGCACCATGTTCAGTACACAAGGAGATTATAGGATGGTATCCTGGTGTTGTTACCAAGATGTTAAGTCCTGTCACATATTTGGTGAAAGTAGAAGACCGGACAAGGTTTGTACGTGCTGACCACCTAAGCCCTCTAAGTGTCTCTAGTTTTGGTCTTAATGTTCGCCCATTCATTGCGCAATCGCAGGGTTTTAATAAAATGTATCTTAGAAACTTAAAAACAATGTAAAGTAGGTAGGCCTATACTGTTTTATATATCATTTTGTTTGGAAAATGATGGGCTTCAATGTAACATATAAAACATTACAAAAAAAGTTAAACAATTTTTGTGGGGGTTAACATTTCTCAAAAATTATAAAATAAATGATAAAAATTTATGTTTGTGCTCAATAAATTCAATAGTTAGGCCTAGTTATAATTTATAGGTCTACAAATATTTTAAAATAGCCACTTTGTTCAGAATTTTATGAGGATTCCAAAAATATAATAATATAAGGAAGTAGGTTTGCAAATAAATAACTTAAGTTATGGGCAAAAAACAGATTTTGGTACATAACTTAGCGTTTAGCTAAGAATGCATAGCCTAACCATAGCTAGGAATCTGGCTGATAATTTCCATCAATATCACTACCTACTTCTTCAGGATCATCAACCAGCCCTTCAATATCATTTAAATCTTCTTATAATACACCATGTAACTTAAACTAAATTTGATTTATAACACTAAAACAATGATAACCGTAATAAAACACATCAGTAATCGGTGCGAGGTTAACCCTCCAAGTGTCCATAGTTTAGGCCTTAATGTCCACCTATTTTTGGCGCATTTGCAAGGTTTTATTAAAACGGATCTGAGAAGCTTAAAACAATGTTAATTCTAATGTTCTATTATAGGTACCATTTTGTTTGGAAAATTATGGGCTTCAATATTATATATAAAACATAAGGAACATTTTTTCAAAAAAAAAAATTTTAGGTAAAAAAAATATAATTTCGAAAATTTTCAAAAAAAAAATAAGTCCGCGCTCAATGAAATTGTATAAATTATAGGCCTATAAATATTTGAAAATAGCCACTTTGTTCTCAATTTTATGAGGATTACAAATATATAATAATATAAGGAAGTAGATTTGCAAATAAATAAGTTATGGGCAAAAAACTGATTTCAGTACATAGCGTTTAGCTAAGAATGCATAGCCTAACCATAGCTAGGAATCTGGCTGATAATTTACATCAATATCACTACCTACTTCTTCAGGATCATCAACCAGCACTTCAAAACCACTTAAATCTTCTTATAATGCACCACGTATATCACTACTTTTGATTTTTAACACTAAAACAATGATAAACGTAATAAAACACATCAGTCATCGGTCCGGGGGAACCTAGCTGTTTACAAATACACGCACGTCAGCTGACTGCTACAATATTTTCAGAACTAAAATGAATAGCGCTTAGAGACAGACCTCTAGAGCTTAGAATATTACGGAAAGAACGATACCTAACTCGATCCAGTTCAATCCGATTCAGTCAGTCATAGAGCCTTCGCCGTAAACGATGTCTGCGTGTCGAAAAATCGACAAGTAACACTACACAAAGTGTGCTGCTTGTCGAATTTTCGTCAAGTAACACTGGGAGGGTTAACCAAGCTGTTTACAAATACACACATCAGCTATCTGCTACAATATTTTCGAAACTAAAATGAAAAGCGTATAGAAACAGACATCAGGAGAAAGCTCTGAATCTGCTGAAAAAAAACGATACCTAACTCGATCCAGTTCAATCAGATTCAGTCAGTCCCAGAACCGTCGCCGTAAACAGTGTTTGTGAGTCGCAAAAGCGACACATAACACTGCAGCAGATGTGTTATGAGTCGCTTTTACAACACTCGGAGGGTTAGAGCAAGTCACTTGAAAAGTGAAGAAGGAGAAGACGATATCACTGTACAATATCCAAGAGAAATCTACGCCCAAAAGAGATAACATTACAACAGGACAGCAAAATCTCCATCATCACATACCAAACCAATATCACCTAAATGTTCATCACCCAATATACCTTTTACTAAAAACAATGACACTCTAGCCGACGATCATAGACGTCATTCGGCGCTCTAAAATATACTAAAAGAAAGAAATTTAAAATAGGCTACTAAAAGATACTTAGGCTAGGCCTAGCCCTATGAGGAGACATCCGTTAAGCAGAAAGGCACAAGTTTAATCGTTCTTTTACGATTTTAGGTTTGAACCAGTTGGCTGACTGGCTGTGTCAGCCCTGCGCCCTGCAGTTGATAATGGAATTAATTTAAATTTCGTCAAAGCCTGAAACGCATCATGAAATCTTGAGGTCGCGCTTGGTCATAATGGCTGCCGAAGCTAGCCCTACTCAACCGTCATGTTTGTGAGACGGAATAAAACATTTTTGGGTTACAAAAAATGAATGCTCACCACAAAGCAATAAGATATAGTTTGTGTTAAAAAATGTTCTAAAACTGTAACTCACCACCTATTTTGTAGTTCACAACCCGCTACTTTTCATGAATAATACTTCTTAAAATGACAAACACCAAACAAGCAGGGTGACCGGCACAGAAACGGGAAGGAGAGAAAACAAAATGGCTGTTCGTCAAGGCGACAGGCAGAACGGAAGGGGTTCACGCAAGTAAAAGTATGTATTTATTTTATTTCGGGATCTTGTCTGGAAACTACGACGGCGCTGAAGGGCCACCAACTATAAAAAAATATTTTTCTTAATCTCTGAGAAAAAACTTAGAATTCTGAGTTTAAAGTCAGAATATAATATGTGGGCGTTCCACTCTGAGATTAAAGTCAGAATTCAACTAGTGGGCGTTCCCCTCTGAAATTAAAGTCAGAATTTGACAAGTGGGCATTCCTCTCTGTGAAAGAAGTTAGAATTCTGAGATTAAAGTCAGAATTGAATTGTGGGCGTTCCTCTCTGGGAAAAAAAGTCAGAATATAACTAGTGGGCATTCAACTCTTAAGTCAGAATTGAACTGTTGGTGTTCCTCTCTTATTGCAACGATATTATCAGCATATCGATGCTATCATCCCTACTATCTTAGACAAAAGAAATAATATAAATATCATTTCTGTTGTCTATTCTACTGTGTTCTTCTACTTGCAACGTTGCCAATTCTACCAGGCCGCGGCCTGGGGCCCATTCACTGTGCTATAATTCTAACTGGAGGTAGCACTGAATGTCAAAGATGCGTGTCGCCAGCCGCCATGTTTGCGTGAGGTGTGAGTTAAAATGAAGCCATGTTATTGGATGAAAAAACTCACTGCTATGCAAACCTAGTTATAGAAGCCATGTTATTGGATGAAAAAACCTGCTGCTATACCAACCTAACAAAATCAGCGACACGCTTTTGACAGACTTCTGCAATGGCAGTGCTACCTCGAGTTATAATTTTAGCTCGGAGTTAAAGGTGGCCGTGAGAAGAGTACAGTAGAGTATAGTAGCACGGCCGCATTGGTGGCCGCATTCTTACGTTAATCTCAGAGATGAACGCCCACAATTCAATTCTGACTTTGATCTCAGAATTATAACTCCTTTCACCGAGAGGAACGCCCACTTGTTAAATTCTGACTTTAATCTCAGAGGGGAACGCCCACTAGTTGAATTCTGACTTTAATCTCAGAGTAGAACGCCCACTTGTTATATTCTGACTTTAAACTCAGAATTCTAAGTTTTTTCTCAGAGATTAAGAAAAATATTTTTTTTTATAGTTGGTGGCCCTTCAGCGCCGTCGTAGGAAACCTCACAAAAAGGGTACATTTTATAAAACCATTGACTATATATATACCTACTGGTATATAAAATAGTCAATGATAAAACATACTCCCGTATGTGTTATATGGTTTTATCTATGATTTTAGCGAATTTCCCATAGGAATAAACGGTACTTTCCTGTTAAAGGGAACATTCATTATTATCGATGATTTTTTTCTTGATATGTCGATGTTTTTGTTTTCCGATCCATTACAAATTGACAGCAACTAATTGATCTTGTTTAGGCTAAACTATTATTTCTTTTACATTTTATGACAACAGCTAATTTGCAACCAAAAGGTGAGTGAGCGTAGCGAACGAACTTCAACCAGGGGCCCATTTCATAATAAACTACAAGTTACAAGCTACAACTTGTAACTTGTAATTTCCATAAGATTTGCATTGGGCGATCAGCTGATTTACTAATAATATTAGTTTGTACTTTATTATGAAATGGGCCCCAGGTCGCTCAATTTTTATTTCAGCTGCAGTTATTTTAATAAGAACAAAATGAGGGCATTCTATTGGCTGAGGGAACACCATTAGCGCAATGAAACGGAAAGATACCATCGGCCTCGGTGGCCTAGTGGATAGCGTGCCTGGCTTCGAAACTTATGGTACCAGGTTCGAAACCCATCTGGGGCACAAACTTTTTATCTAAGATTTTTGCATTATCAGCAAGTTTGGTTAGTTTTGTTAGGTTATAACAGTTAAATTTTATAATTAAAACCTTATAAAATTGAATTTGAGCTATTTATAGTTTTATTTTGTGAACTGAATTATTTTTTCTATTAGTAAACCTTCATTCAATTTTGTCATTATCAGCAAGTTTGGTTAGTTAGGTTAGGTTATGACAGTTTAATTTAAAAATTAACTATATATTTTTTTAGTTTTAGGCCTACAATATTTTTTTTTTTATTTCTAATTTTTAAACTCTCATTTTGTCCGTATTAAAAAAACTGCAGCTGAAATAAAAATCGTGCCCCCAGGTCGAAGTTCGTTCGCTACGCTCACTCACCTTTTGGTTGCAAATTAGCTGTTGTCATAAAATGTAAAAGAAATAATAGTGCTGCACCCTGTTGGTAATCCTTGTAACTTTAATGCTATTGAACATCATAGAACAGAACCAACTTGTTTAATTGAAACAGCTGTTAAGATTCATTAATTCCTTTTAAATATGAGTACTCATAAGGTTAACATGGGAAACTCCAGAGCCACTGGGGCGGAGCCCAGAGGTCGGAGGGTAAAATCCTTTCTTAGTGAGCGTCTACCAACTACCCAAAAGGAAGATGCCTGACAAGTTTCAGGTTCCTAGGTCTTATGGTTTCTGAGATTTCGTGATGAGTGAGTGAGGGAATGAATGTGTCAGTGGTATTTGAGCTTTGTTTGTTTATATACAGGGTTAGTAAAAAATGTGGAGACCCCCTGTTATTTTTTAACGGGCAATACTAGAACAACTTAACGCGGCACACAATTATGGCATGTTATGAAGTACTTTTTGGGCATAACCGCCACTTGATGCTCATCCCCAAAATGGGGGATTTTGGGGAAAACTCAAAGATTTCAAATACCAAGACCCATCGAGTGACCCCTCATTTTAAAGTTCCTGGTAAAAGAAAACCAACAACGCAAATTAGAGGTCTCTATCTCAGTTCAGTAAAAAATGGCAGCCAATTGAAATTCTCATCAGTTCCCAAACACAAAATGGGGGATTTTGGGGGAAACTCAAAAATTTTAAATGATAAGCCCCATCGAGTGACCCCTCATTTTGAAGGTCATAATAAAAGAAAACCAACAACGCAAACTATAGGTCTCCATCTTAACACAGTAAAATATGACAGCCAATTGAATATAAAATTGCAAGCTATTACCGATTTCTAAAGATTTCAATCAGCTTCCATTTTTTACTGGATTGAGATAGAAACCTCTAGTTTGCGTTGTTAGTTTTCTTTTACTAGGACCTTCAAAATGAGGGGTCACTTGATGGGGCTTATCATTTAAAACTTTTGAGTTTCCCCCAAAATCCCCCATTTTGGGTTTTGTAAGCAAGTGGCTATTAGGCTTAAAAAGTAACATAACAAACAACAAGCCAAAAACATAACATGCCAAAAAGGTGTGTAGAGTTTAGTTTTCCTAGTGTGAGCCGCTACAACATTTACAGAGGGTCTCCAGACTTGGAAAGCTGCAAGTTAAATATAACTTCTGAGAATTTCAATTGGCTGCCATTTTTTACTGGATTGAGATAAAGACCTCTAGTTTGCGTTGTTGGGTTTCTTTTACCAGGACCTTCAAAATGAGGGGTCACTCGATGGGTCTTTGTTTTTAAAATTTTCATTTCAAGTTTCCCCCAAAATCCCCCATTTTGGGGATGTACACCAAGTGACGGTTATGCCCAAAAAGTACTTCATAAGATGTCATAAAGGTGTGCCGAGTTTAGTTTTTCTAGTATGGGCCGTTAAAAAAATATCAGGGGGATTCCACACTTTTTACTAACCCTGTATATAGATTAGCTGTATCCGGGCTATTAATTAACAGCTGTGTCTAAGGAATATGTCGGCCGTAGCCACTAACAAGACTACAAGATCGCGCCACTCATCATACACTCATCTCCATTCATACTTGGATAAAAATACCTACTTTGTATGGTCGCCATTTCAAAGAAAAGTATAAACATACCTCTACCGCAGCAAACCTGCAGACTAAGCAAATTTCAACTTGTCTGATTACATATTATACTAAAATATTTCCATAAATAAGAAATATTTATTCCCAATTTAAATAACATTAGATTTAACGAGTGCTTAGGTTTGCTTCTACGGGGAAGGTAAACAGTGTTTTTTGACCAAACGTCAATAGTATAGGATGAAATAAATACATTTGCCAAATTTGATCGAAATATATCCATAAACAAGTCAACCACGACAGTTTTCATTTTCTCCATAATAATAACATGGAAATTTTAAATTTGCCCTTTTAGCGAATTTTCCATTATAGGGAATAAGCTATTACCGTAGTACTCATGGTAAGACCTGGACTCGGGGCCGATTTTTTTTCGTTTTAAGGTCTCTAGAGGCCAAAAACACCATCCGTTCAAATTCATATATATATATATATATATATATATTTAAATATATTAATAAATGAAATAAATAATTAAACATTTAGTACCCTTTAAGTTATTAATTTATTGAATAAACTTACATGTTTCGGCTCTTAGGCCATGATCACAGTTATGAACAAATCCTACTAATATTATAAATGAGAAAGTTTGGATGGATGGATGTATGGATGTATGTTTGTGACAAGTGAACGCGAAAAATACTGGTCGGATTGGGCTGAAATTTGGCATGATGATAGCTCACATTCCCGATTAACATATAGGCATATTCTTATTTCAAAAATCCTTTCGGGCTCCGCCCCAGTGGCTCTGGAGTTTCCCATGTTAACCTTATGAGAAATGAAATTATTGAATCTTAACAGCTGTTTCAATTAAACAAGTTGGTTCTGTTCTGTGATGTTCAATAGCATTAAAGTTACAAAAATTACCAACAGGGTGCAGCACTATTATTTCTTTTACATTATTTATGACAACAGCTAATTTGCAACCAAAAGGTGAGTGAGCGTAGCGAACGAACTTCAACCTGGAGGCGAGTTAGCGTAGCGAACGAGCTAACCTGAAGGCAAGTGAGCGCAGCGAACGAGCTCCAACCTAAAGGTGAGTGAGCGTAGCGAACGAGCTCCAACCTAAAGGTGAGTGAGCGTAGCGAACAAATTTCAACCAGGACGTGATTGAGCCATGCGAACGAGATAATCTTGAAAATTAAGAAGTTAAACGGGGCAAAGCCCGCGGGTTACAGCTAGTAGTAAATAAATAGAAATGTAAATAATAAATAAGTAAATTATCATATGATTTTGGAATTGTGTCTAGTATATAGGTTGGCTTAGGTGTTGTTTTCTTTTGATTTGTTATATAAGATTTTTTCATATATTATGTTTTCTTTTTGAATTTGCATTGTATTAAGTATGTTTTCAGGATCTTTTTTATGGTTTCTATATATGTGGAATTCTCTTTAATGAATAATTTGTCTTTGTTTGGTTCAAATTCAATCACTGATAAATTATTTTCTATGTTTTGATATTTATAATTAGTTTTTAGTAAGTGTTCTGCGTAGTTTGATTTCATACTTGTTGAATTTTTAGATTTAAATGCCTGTATATGTTCTTGGAATCTACATTTGAAGCTTCTACTAGTTTGGCCAATATAACACTTGTTACAGTCTGTACAGGAAATTTTGTAAATACCGCTTTTGTTAAATTTTGATGATTCTTCAGTTATTTGTTGATGTTTGGATACTTTTAAATTTATAATCTTAAAGACGTTGTTTTTTGTTCTATATGTTGCTTTGTAATTTGTTTTAGATAAGGTTTTCCTTATTGCTTTATTTAATTTAGAGTTATGAGGGAGACATATGTATTCTTTTTTCAATTTCTCTTCTTTTTTCTTTTGTTTCTTAATTTTGTTCTTTATCATATTATCAATAAGATTGCCCTTATATCCATTTTCGGTTGCAATATATTTTATAATCTTCTTTTCTTTTTAAAAAATTGTTTTTTAGGGGCAATGTTATTAGTCTGTAAATCATGGAGTGGAATGCTGCCATTTTTTGCTGCCAAGGATGGTTTGATGATTTAGGTATTATTAATTTAGAAGTGGTTGTTTTTCTAAAAATATCAAATGAGTGTTTTTCGTCAATTTTTGAGATTGTTAAGTACAGAAAATTGATTTTTTCTTTTTGGGCATCTTTGGTACCCTATAATACAGGATTATATTAAAAGCTCTAGGATGCCAGCGTCTTAAAAAAAAAACAAAAGTACCAGAAAAAATTCACGCTGGAAATTAATGAAGTTGTCAGCACAAATGATCAAGACATTTATCTCGAACACAATACAGTCATGCAAATTTTACATGAATGTTTGTCCGATGAGATTCTTCATCCGAGGCCCACCTTTTACGGGTTAGGACATTGCCTGATCGGCCCAGGCATTTTTATAGTGGGGCCTTGCCCAGGCAGGGAAGACTATACCTTTTCCTCCATCCCAGATACTCATCTACCTGAAATTTCCTTTTGGAGATCCTTTTCTTTATAACTAACTAAATATTACAGAACAAATCAGTGCTCACTGTCAATATTTATGTATGTAGAAAAAATAATATCAATATCAATCTCCTGATAAATATCAAATAAACAAAAAAAGATTTACGGATAACCACAAAAAGTGAACATTGGAGCCTCATGACTTGTAATCAAGGCCACTACTATTGTGGCATTTAGAAAAAAAGTCAAAAAGAAAAGAAGGCGAAGAAGAAAAGGACTAGTAAACAAAAACATAACCTCAACTCAATTGAGATCGAGAGAAAAGTTAGTTTAGTAGTAGTCACTTTAACTTTTTACTAGTTAGTACCTAGTACTTAGTATTGTTATTCACTTTCACCATTCATTATCGTTATCGTTGAATGAATAAAGTCCACCAAAGCCATGTTACTAAGTGAGTTTTTATAATTTAAAAGTTGTTGACGATTTAACCTTTTCATAATGAACTAATTAACACCTCCTAAAATGAATTGTGAAAGTTCTAAGGCAGCAGGATCATTAGATAATCACCCACATGAAAGAGATAATACATTGGAACTTTGTTTAAAATTAGACGAAGTCCTTAAAATCCTCAGTAAAGGTGTTTCAATTAATAGTATTGGCGAGGAACTAAACCAAATTTTGAACTTTAGGATCAAACAACTTCACAATGAAAACTCAGATGAACTAGTAAAAACCTGCAAACATCTGGTATGTAACATAACCAAATATACACATAGATCACCGCCCTTTTTGGGTGGAGAAAACTATAATGTTTACACGCTTAATATTCTTGAGTTGAGTTTGGGGATTCTAATATTTGCAGGAGAAGACAAACAATGCTATGATTTTGTTCAATCTATTTTGAAGACAGTTATGACAAGAGATGAAAGTTTTACTTCACCTCACAGTGAAATCATCACTCATTTAGGAAATTTAGAGTGTTTGTTAAAAGCTCTGATATCTGTGAAAGACAAGCAGAAATTGAATCTACCGGAAACACTTGACACACTGAGAAACATCAACTTCTTATCCGCAGTCAAAGATTTCATAATTAAATTTGATGACCAAAGTGTTTCCTCTGTTGTACTGTATGACCTTGTTCCTAAACTCATCAAGGTCACCGATGCTTCAATAGTGTTCATGCTATGGACAGATTTGAAATCGCCATTGTACAGTACCAACATTACTCTTCCTGTAAAGTTATTTGCTCTTTGTGGACTATCAGATTATCTCAATTTCAAGATCAATGACTCATCCATGATAGAATCTCTCGAATTTTGGGAAATTATTCAAGAAGGACTGGTATCAACAGATACATTGGTTAGGAAACAAGCATTATATTTGATGAAAAGATCAATTGACATCATTAGTGTATTGAATATTTCACTTGCTTTTGACATTTTCTCCTGGAATCCCTTGAAGTCAGATGTTTTACTGGCAAATTGGCAAAAAATGTTCATGTTGTTTGAAGTTCTTGAAGAGAAACAAGCTCATTTGGTGGTTCCCATCATACAATCTCTTTTGAAAGCATCTAGTTTTGAAAATACTATTGAATCTTCATGGATTTTAGCAGCTTATATAAGAATATTCTCTCATGATTCGCTTCAGGTAGTTAAAGTTGGAATAACCTGTTTTCTGGAAATGAACATTGAGTTTTTTCTAAGTATTTCTTCTTGCACATTAGTAATTGAAATATTATTTGAAAAGCTTAACAACACACTTCTCTTCAGCAACCCTTCAAACACTGTCGACTGGTCACACATCGACATCTCATTGAGAAAATGGTTCTCAAATTTATCATCCGACTACAAGCTTTGTAACACGTTTATACCTGTTATTACACATGCGTTGACTAAAGTCCAGTGGTGTGCAATACCTTTGTTTCATCTTCTTTATGATTTATCTCTTGCACCTGCTAGTAACATTTTCAGTGAGGAAGATTTGACAATCCTTAGTCACTTTATCAAAGAAGTAATAAAAACTCAAAACATCTTTATAAGAGGCGCAGTGCAGTGTGTAATGTTAAAAGTCTTAGCAAAATGGACCAAGAGTTCTGACGTCGCCCTAGTGAATGTTATTGCTGTATTAAGTCTTTTTCGACAAAAAGAGTGTTTCAAAAGAGGGTTAAATTCATGGGAGATAAGCAAAGAATGGATTACTTCTTTTAATTGCAAAAGTGACGATATAATTGACATTTTATTCCTGGATGAAAATCATCTATCAATTGAAGCCAAAGCACGGAGCTTAGTTTTATTTCTTGATTCAGGGCTGATTGATCCATATGAAACTAAATTCCTCAAAGCATTTAAGGAATACTTCATGGTTTTAGAGGACACATTCAAGAGGCCGTACGCTTCTACAGAAGAAAGTGATAAGTGTTTAAAACTAGTTTTTCATATTTTGAGTGAATCCAAAGTTGGTTCTAACTCACAAGAAGCGTTCCAGCATTACGTTTTGATAATCAATAGTCTTAGTCCCTATCTGAAAGAGGTGATTTCTTATATAGAAAAGAGATTGCTCGAAGTTGATCAAATTACAAATTTTGAAAACATCGAACTGTACATTAGTGTTCTTCAAGTATTTTCTGACATGCAGCTCATTACATTTGAAAAAGCCATTCATCTGAATAGAATTTCAAAAGAATTATGTTTTGCCTCAAAAAATCATCCGGTTCAAAAACTTCTAGCTCTTAAAGTTATACTTTGGTTTATAACATTTGAAACAACTCTTGAACAAAAAGCTGTCATAGTTGAACAAGTTAAGGAACATTGTTTATCAATCTTGGAGGATGGTCATCTCAAGTCAAACATCTTCAGCAAGAGTAAAAGTGATGAGTTGCTATCAAGAAACCATCAGGTGCAGTGGGGCTGGTTACTCTCGGAATACACTAAGGCTCTTTGGTCAAATGTTCAAGAGTGTTTAGATGGAAATATCGTGAGCATTGAAGAAATACTACAAATTACATCAGCAGAAGATATCATTCAATTATCTACAAACGCCATAGAATCTGGAGGACGGGAATCTTTAGTTCCAGTTTTAAAAGTTGTGAAATATTTAATTCCAGAAGCATTAAAAGACCCTGTTTTATGCAAACAATTTCTTCGGTTTTCATGGAAGTCTTGTTGTGAACTTAGAAAAATTGCCTTATTTTGGCCTTCGATCAAAGCTTGGATTACATTAACTTTCAGTAAAAAGGTTATTGCTACTGAGGCCATGAGGAGCATTATTAATGAAGTAAGTTGTTCTGTTGCATTATAAAAATATTTTATGTTAACTTAGTAGGCTAAGAAAAAGTCTAAGGATTAGGCCTAGCTTGTATATCCTTGGTCTTGTGTAATGAATAGCAAGTCACCTACCATTTTTTACAGAATAACAACAGCCTACCGGTACCGTACTTTAAATCAAAATATATTTTTAGTAAATTTGTCATATAGGAAATAAGGTATTACGGTAGGTCTCATGGTAAGACCTGGCCCTAAAGGTCTATCTATTGACTTTTTTTGTGTAAGGTCCCCTAGAAACCAAAAAACACCATCCGTTTCAATTCATTATAATATTTATTCTTCTGTACTTAATGAGGACAGTAGCCAGTACTAGGCTACATATCTATATAATTAATACGCTACATGAAACTTTGTCGGTTGAACTCCTCCGCCATTTCTTAACCGATTTTATCCATTGGCGTCTCATTGGAAAGAGCGTGTCGCGTAGATTCGCAAACTGGCCTTACATTTTTGAAAAAGTCCCTTGAGCTCTGCCCCAGTGGCTTTGAAAGTTCCCGTGTTATCCTTATGAAGAACATAATTGTTTACTTTTTGATCAGCTGTATAATTTAATTGCTGATATTTATTTTTAAATTCAATGAAACGCATTGAGTGTATTTATTTAATATTTGAGTTTGTGTAAACATAACCCCGAAAACGGATTGTGTTAGTATGGTTGTATCTTAAATTTGTGTATTTATTGTTGTTTTGTGTCGCTATGACGGATCGTGTTAGTATGATTGTAACTTAAATTTGTGCATTTATCTTTGTTTTGTGTAGGCTAGCTATAATTTGTTTATGTCTTGTTTTTTTTCTTTTAAATGCCTCCGACGCGACGACAACAAAACAGACAGGTGGCGTAATCGTGATAACGACCGCATCTACAGTGGCGCGTAGAATAGGCTTAACTCATCACAGTCAGCACCTGACCCTGGACAAACTCAACTATTATGTTACAAATGCGCCCTAACACTACCCCAAAACGACTTTTTGTTCTCAATTGGCCCTCTATCAATGACCTGTGTTGCCTGTAAAGCAAGGCATTTTGAGAAGGAGAAAACCGGCCGGAATGCTTTAAGTTTATCAATAACGAAGATAAACATGGTCTGAGTTACACACACCGGTAATCTTTGAGATGAGTCTTATAAACTCGTTGTAAATATGACTGTTATTCGGTTTTGAAATAACTCCTGTAATACTTTGCAATTGCTCGAATTCGAGCAACATGTACACTAGTTCCTATAATTAACTTTAACACGTTCGCTGCTACGGACAATCCTGAACGTCAGACGGGCCACGGCGCCAGGAGCTAGGAACATCCGGAACGTCGCCGTTCATTGTTGTTTAAAGCTTCCATGGATCAGCCAGCTCGTAACGAGCGTCCTATATTTCTTTGCAGCTCGTGGGGACGTACTTTTCTGACAATAAAAAATATACTTTCCCAAAATCACTACCAGGGTCGTATACAACAGGACTTTGTCCCACCTCGTTCCTGCTAGATAGCGACACTACTTTACCGACTGCAACCTAAGTAGTACTGCTATCTATCAGAATTGCTTGGTACTATGTCCAAAGCCAGTTTTATTGCAGATCATTGCTATCCAGTATAACTACTGTTGTTTTTACCGCAATTCAGTGTATCAGCGGCAATACGCAGCGGCGAGCGCTAGTTCAGCTCCTGGTGCCGTCCCAGCCTCTAGCGCTCAGCAGCGAACGTGTTAATATAAGTTAATAAATTATAGGCCTATAATATAATTAGTACTTATATAAATAATAAGCTTAGTATCACTTAAGGTTTATACAATACTTTTATATATTTAGATAACCAGTTAGGCTAACTTAAATGAATGATAGTCAAAATACTTCAAGTAACTTATACTTAAATTAAACTTAGGCTAATTCGATTTTGTGTGCATCCAGAATTGATGAAATTGCTGCCTTACAATGCAGTAGGTCACGTATCTTGCTGTTGGTAGTTTACTATTTTCACAGATGCCTAATTAGTTTCTGAGTTTTTAATCACTCTGTTTTAAAATCTTACTTAGCTATTGGTCCGTCCTACGTACAGGAATTAAGTAGTCGATTAAAATTAAATATAATTCAGAACAGCTAGTTTACACGCATAAAGAAACTAAAAAATACTAAACAAATGAAAAATGTTCTGACATCTGTCATGTAGCTATAAAATTAGTAAATAATAATTAATAGGCTATAGCAACAATAAATTATATCCTACAGTTGAGTTAAAAAAAAACCATGTTTGAACCTTTCCTTAGTTTGCAGAAGAAATATTGAGTGAAGGAGAGACTGTTAATGGGTTGAGTAATGTTTTACTTTCTCATTTACGACATGAACTTACCGATCTTGAATCCGTCAAACCACTTCTCTCGTTATTGACAAAAGCTTTGATTTTTGGACAAGTACCAAGAAAAGATCAGAGGTAAGTCTATTTTAGTCAAGTTCCTTATATTTCTGATCACACAAAAGTGTTCTTAGCTGTAATTAGCCCTCATATTAATGTTAGTAGGTACCTGGGCTATTCAACCATTAAACTTATAAATCCTCTGACACACAATAGCCTAAATTGTGTTTAATATTCCTAGTGGGCAGAAGGAATTTCTTTATTAAAGCTGCAAAGGGTTCTTTGTATAAACATAATGGGTTACCGTTACCGGTAAATGATTTTCTCAGAATGTTCAAAATATGGACGTAAATAAATGCTACTAGTGCTCATTGTAGGCTAAGTTGTATTTAAAACAACTTTAACTCTATACTGATTTATAATTTAATTTATTTTCAGGATTGAAGCTGACACTTATACATTAATTGGAAATCTAGGATCAGAACTTGCCATAAATGATTTGATGCCAAAGTAAGTTTCTTAGTTATAGTATGGTAGTGTTTTTATACATTATTACTATTTAATATATCATTTTTTGGTATCAATGCCACTTGCATGTTTTTGCACCAGTGCCTTGACTGTTTGCTTGGTCTAAATTTCTGAGTGTCATGCATATCCTAATATAAGTACATTTTTCAACTCCAGAGCATAGAACCTTTTCATCCTTCTTGTACTGAACCTGCACACCCTGATATTTTTTTAAATTTTGTCCAATTACTTACAATTTTGATTTGTTCATAAATTAAGTGGAAATTACCATTTCTGAAAATTTTTTTGACAAAAGAATTGACTTTTCCAAATTTGGATGGATAACAAATTTGAAAAAAAAAATTACAGGATTATGTAGGTATAAGGATATCTGACAAGGAAATGATTTCACTACATTGCATTCTATCTTGGCTAACGGTCAACACATGTGCATCATTATTATGTACATTTTTTCATCACAAGTTTTGATTATAAGTGTTACACAACAATCTTTACAAAGTTAAATATTCTTAAACAAATTTTTCCAAAATACTATTAAACGAAATACAAAATTAATTCATAAACCACAAGATATGTAAACTGACACAATCTAACTTCAGGCCAGGCTACGGAAACAGTCAGCAAGTAAGGCTCTATGCCTTGTCAGTTCTACTTGGTGTGGCCAAGCAAGACGGCGCCGATCAGCTGATTGTTTCAGCTGTGAACCAGCTGATTGATGTGGACCGGCAGCTGACAGCTAAGCGCCAGAGGTACCATGGTGATTCACTGCACCACCGAGTCAAGCATCGGATTCTACAAGCTGTCCTGGTACTGCATCAAGCATTGGTCCTCTGTGGCACCCCGGCCACTGAGGTATAGTGTGAAATAAATCATCAGATTGATTTTGATAATAATTTTAATCCAAATAGCTTGTAGTGTATGGGATTGTAGAGCCACCTAAAGTAAAAGAATCTTGACAAAAATTGGAAATGCAGAAAGCAAGAAATCAGAGCATAGATTAATACATACATTGGAATGAAATGTTCAAAAATTCTTACCAATAAAGAATAAAAACATAATAGATAAAAGTAGATCTAAAAATAAAAAAAATCTAGTGTGTTTTGGATAGTCTACTCTCAACTCATCTGACGTTTCCACACAACATTTAGGCTGGATAGTTGTTACTTGTACAGTTATTAACTTGACTACTATAATGTAAAATAATGCTGAATTTACTCGCATGCAGTCCAGCTGTCTGAAAGGTCAGTCCTACTCACACACTTGCAGACCTCATGCACACATCAGTAATTACCATTGAGAGTGTGTGTGTGTTAGTCTGGTCCGAGCTCTAGCCACACTCCCTTAGCAAACATGGTATAATATTTTAGCTAAATGGAATGGTTCTGTTTACAGAGTTGTCTGGTAGAGATAGTGAAGTTCGCCAGCGCAGCGCTGCAGGGAGAAAGTCAACAGCCCAGTGTACGTTATCAGCTGGAGTGGCTGCTAGTTCGAGCACTACTCAGTTCCCCTCAGTTAATAGACAGCTTCTGGACGTTGTTCAATGAGGTACCCACCACTTTTGGTTTTATATTATAACTCTAGTATGTAACACTCTTTCAATCGGCAATATCTGTTATCTGTCACCTCAAAATGGCTAACTTGCTACTTGCCGTCACCATTTTGTTAGCCGTACTGCTTTATAAATTATACAGTTTACCGTGTTATATACTATACCATGATTAAACTAACACTATCTGCAATAATTACCATTTGTTCTTGGATAAACTGTCAATCATAATTATCTTTGTTATAATTTTACATTTTTACCTCTAATAAGTATTGTAAGGTTTATATACTTTTAATTAGTTTTAACTAGTGATGGTCGAATCCAGGAATTTCGAATCTCAAATCCGAATCCAATTCCTGAAAAAATCTAATCTCAAATCTTTGAATCTCGAGTCCCAAAAATAATTACAAATGGTATAGTGTTCAAAAAAGCAATGGAATAGGAACAATTTAACATTTATAACCACCACGACGGCAATAATCTCTATGTTTAGTCAATGTCACAGTACTGTATATTACGATGTCAATAACCTCTATGGTTAGGCAATGTCACAGTACTGTATATTACGACGTCAATAACCTCTATGGTTAGGCAATGTCACAGTACCGTATATTACGATGTCAATAACCTCTATGGTTAGTCAATGTCACAGTACTGTATATTACGACGTCAATAACCTCTATGGTTAGTCAATGTCACAGTAGGCCCTGCTGTATAATACGACGTCAAAAACCTTTATGGTCAGTGTGCCGATTTTAAATTCAAAGATTTAAAATCCGCGCCAGGCAATGGACAAGTCAGTCCAACATGACGTAACGCGGAGGAATACTACACTCGAACCGTGTCGCGTGCAAACGTCTCGTCGTCACTCGTGGCTCAGAACTCGCGTAGACAACATGTAAGGTCGCGTTTTGTCGCTGGTGTAGGACGATTTTATTAATATCTTCATTCGTAGCTCGGAAATTCGCGTTCGGGCGAAAATTGTACGTGCATCAAACGATCGCAATTGTCAAAGTTTCGCCGAACTGCATATTGGGGGTGTGTTTTATTAGTATTAAGTCGAGACAGTTGAGATGCCGGATTGATTGTTCGCGTTCGTGATGAAAATTCATACATGCATCATATCGATAGCAAATGTCAGTTTCTAGCGAATCGCGGGTCGTCGTGACGGTATTTGAATTGAATCATTAAACGCCAGCTCGAAAAAACAAGAATTAATAAGTCCTTCACCAGAAAAAACCGTGTCGTGAAATTTCGCTCGGTCAGACAAAGTCAAAAATCACAACGAGTCAGTTTTTAAATGTTCTGTCCGTGTGAATCCTTCGTCGGTGTGTATGTGAATGTGTCGACATGTGTACGTAAGTAAATGTTTTGTGTTATTTGTGCTTTAGTAATAAAATAGTCATTCCAATCTGCCACATTTTTTCACATGTACCACTCGTTTTACAAGTTATGAATCATGTTTTGTTTGGTCTGAGATTTTCATGTTTCATTCGGTCTATTTAGAGCACATGGTCACGATTCAGAATAAAATGTTTTATTAAATTTGGTCATGTCATACAAAGAATTTAAGTTATAATAGTGAACCTAGTCAGATGAAAATTATTTGTTAAATTGAATTGAAATGGTATATTAATTTTAAGAGCAATGTTTATCTGTGATATTATTATTTTGTGTTGTATGTAAAATCAAATTCTATCATCATCAGTATTATTATTTAAAACGGTTGTATTCCATGTGTAGAATAATTTTAGAACAGTATTGCATTTTTCAAATAGTGAAAGTTGATTGTGTAACGTAAATGGGGGAAACAGAGTGCTCGGTCAAAGGCTAGGGTTTGATAAAGGGTCATGAGGATAGACTCCCATTAAATTCATAAAGAGCCATTATTAAATAAAAGAATCAAGTAATCGACTCAGTAGTCGATTGGCCCCGTTGCATTAATCAACAATGGAGTGATGTAGATCACAAGACTACATAATGTTCCCTGTTGCATGAAATTGTAAACTGGCCAGTTGACAATAATAATAACATCTTTGGGGAGTCTGATGACCTAAAATAAATAAATATAGTTGTCAAGGCTAGGTTTTCCCGAGACTCTGCAGTGTTAAAATGTGGCAAACCACCAAATTTAACTTAGCTTACAATCAACTCTCTCACTCTCTCTCTCAAATCATTAATTGTGTACAAAGGGTTATTATATTATTTGTATTTACTGTTGTATCACAGATCATTCTTAAATTCATTATACAGTATTTTTACAAATCAACATCTTTTTATTTGCCTGTGTTTCAGATAGTATTATTAAATATCAGACTGGTGTAATTTAAGAGGTATTGGCTTAACTGAAAGAAGTATACAAAGTATACACAATGAGTGTTGATGATCACATTTTGTAAATATATTTTGACAGTGCAATTTTTATAAGTTCAGTTCATAATATTTAATATCAAGTTGGTGAATTCATGAGTAATCGGCTTAACCGAATTCATATATATAAACATCTTGAAGTCATACTTTTGATAAATATTTCCTGAACAAACAGTTTCACAAATATTTTCAATCAATATTTCAATATTATTATTTGCAATTTTACAGTTTTACAGAGTGTCAATTCACGTCACAATCTTTCATCAGAGTAGCACATTTCAATTCATGTGGTGTTCAAATAAACACATCTATTAGTTTTTAAGAAGTGTTAGAATTAAGCTGAAGAAGGTGTGAATGAGGACAACATATCAGACCTCTCACGGTCCATAAATCGGATTTCTGGGATATTTAATTACAGGGCCCACACTTAACATCTTTATTTCCACTGCGCAGCTCTGTAATTGATTTAGTCCTCATTTGTCTGAAAAATTAAATTAAATTTATTAAAACCCCACCAGGGGGCAACTTTTTGTTATACTCACACCTGTATGGGATGTCTAAATTATATTACATAGAGGTGTGAATAAATTTGTATTTGAAGAGAACAATTCAAAGTAACAAGTAAAGAATTTCTTTTTTATTTTTCTTTACAAAAAGTGATAGCACTAATATTTGAGAGGTCTGGTAACAAGGAAGCAGATTGGCATTACTACCATGGCAGGTTGGCATTGATAAGGGTATCAGTTGTTATCTCTAAGGCAATTATCCACATTGATCCACATTGATATTTCTGTGTTTGTTTACTTGTTTATTTATTTGTGTCATATTTGTACAGAGATTATTTATATTTATATTTATATTTACATGTGCAATAGTTTCAATTTTTGAGTAAATAGAATCAAGCTGAGGTTAATATTGTTTTGCAAACTTGATAATTACATATTTTGAGAAACAATGAATCATCATGAGTCATATTATGTAACCACTGTGAGCGACATGAAGGATGACGAACAGAGCTCACGTTCCAGCTGTGGTGGGGCGAGAGTAGAACCTACCCGTACAGACAGGCAGACAGGGGGCCGTTCACAACAATGTCCCCCGCCCCCGCCCACTCCATCGGCAACAGCTGACACTCGACTGCACCACGGTCAATGAACTGACTGTTGATGTCTACACAACGCTGAATGCTGGTTTACCACAGTGTGAATTACGTGCGCGTCTTCACCATTCAAATTGTTGGTGGATTGAAGTAGTCTAGTTTATGATGCAAGGTGTCAGTTGACAACAATTTTTAATTTCTCAAAGCAAAAATTTTTTATTATTGTTAAAGTTTCAGATTTTCTATTTTTGTTATTCAAATTTCAAATGTTTATATGTAAAATTGTTTTGTGTTAAATGTATTGAATGTAAATCAATGGAAAAATGAACAAAAAAATGTTCGTGGAGTCATAGCGTACGGTGTTGTTAGTGTTCCATTGTGTGAGTTTTTTGTACGTAAACCTTTTATAGATTATAGTGTTTTGTGATTTGTTATTAATTGCATGTTGTATCATGACTTGACTGCTATACAGTGCATATTTTTTGACTACTACCCTCGGTAGTGTATTCCAACTTAGGTTGGGCGTTTGTGTATTGTTAGTTGTAATGTGTTAGTTAAGTTTTTTCACCTGAAGACGGGATCAGATTCCAGATCCCGAAACGTTGTGTATTGTTTTTTACTTTCGTGATGGAAAATGTCCGCAATAAACCTTTGAACAACAAAAAAATGTGTCGTATGAATGAAGCGTCTGTTGCCACGTCAAGCGTCGCCGCGCCGGGTCGAAATTGTCCCGGGATGGAAAAGGCCTTCGTGCGGACCTGAAGGTCGCTCGGGCCAATTTTTTTGGCAGGGGAGATTTCTGTGCCGATTTTAAATTCAAAGATTTAAAATCCGCGCCAGGCAATGGACAAGTCAGTCCAGCATGACGTAACGCAGAGGAATACTACACTCGAACCATGTCGCGTGCAAACGTCTCGTCGTCACTCGTGGCTCAGAACTCGCGTAGACAACATGTAAGGTCGCGTTTTGTCGCTGGTGTAGGACGATTTTATTAATATCTTCATTCGTAGCTCGGAAATTCGCGTTCGGGCGAAAATTGTACGTGCATCAAACGATCGCAATTGTCAAAATTTTGCCGAACTGCATATTGGGGGTGTGTTTTATTAGTATTAAGTCGAGACATTTGAGATGCCGGATTGATTGTTCGCGTTCGTGATGAAAATTCGTACATGCATCATATCGATAGCAAATGTCAGTTTCTAGCGAATCGCGGGTCGTCGTGACGGTATTTGAATTGAATCATTAAACGCCAGCTCGAAAAAACAAGAATTAATAAGTCCTTCACCAGAAAAAACCGTGTCGTGAAATTTCGCTCGGTCAGACAAAGTCAAAAATCACCACGAGTCAGTTTTTAAATGTTCTGTCCGTGTGAATCCTTCGTCGGTGTGTATGTGAATGTGTCGACATGTGTACGTAAGTAAATGTTTTGTGTTATTTGTGCTTTAGTAATAAAATAGTCATGCCAATCTGCCACATTTTTTCACATGTACCACTCGTTTTACAAGTTATGAATCATGTTTTGTTTGGTCTGAGATTTTCATGTTTCATTCGGTCTATTTAGAGCACATGGTCACGATTCAGAATATTTTTTATTAAATTTGGTCATGTCATACAAAGAATTTAAGTTATAATAGTGAACCTAGTCAGATGAAAATTATTTGTTAAATTGAATTGAAATGGTATATTAATTTTAAGAGCAATGTTTATCTGTGATATTATTATTTTGTGTTGTATGTAAAATCAAATTCTATCATCATCAGTATTATTATTTAAAACGGTTGTATTCCATGTGTAGAATAATTTTAGAACAGTATTGCATTTTTCAAATAGTGAAAGTTGATTGTGTAACGTAAATGGGGGAAACAGAGTGCTCGGTCGAAGGCTAGGGTTTGATAAAGGGTCATGAGGATAGACTCCCATTAAATTCATAAAGAGTCATTATTAAATAAAAGAATCAAGTAATCGACTCAGTAGTTGATTGGCCCCGTTGCATTAATCAACAATGGAGTGATGTAGATCACAAGACTACATAATGTTCCCTGTTGCATGAAATTGTAAACTGGCCAGTTGACAATAATAATAACATCTTTGGGGAGTCTGATGACCTAAAATAAATAAATAAAGTTGTCAAGGCTAGGTTTTCCCGAGACTCTGCAGTGTTAAAATGTGGCAAACCACCAAATTTAACTTAGCTTACAATCAACTCTCTCACTCTCTCTCTCAAATCATTAATTGTGTACAAAGGGTTATTATATTATTTGTATTTACTGTTGTATCACAGATCATTCTTAAATTCATTATACAGTATTTTTACAAATCAACATCTTTTTATTTGCCTGTGTTTCAGATAGTATTATTAAATATCAGACTGGTGTAATTTAAGAGGTATTGGCTTAACTGAAAGAAGTATACAAAGTATACACAATGAGTGTTGATGATCACATTTTGTAAATATATTTTGACAGTGCAATTTTTATAAGTTCAGTTCATAATATTTAATATCAAGTTGGTGAATTCATGAGTAATCGGCTTAACCGAATTCATATATATAAACATCTTGAAGTCATACTTTTGATAAATATTTCCTGAACAAACAGTTTCACAAATATTTTCAATCAATACCGTATTTCAATATTATTATTTGCAATTTTACAGTTTTATAGAGTGTCAATTCACGTCACAATCTTTCATCAGAGTAGCACATTTCAATTCATGTGGTGTTCAAATAAACACATCTATTAGTTTTTAAGAAGTGTTAGAATTAAGCTGAAGAAGGTGTGAATGAGGACAACATATCAGACCTCTCACGGTCCATAAATCGGATTTCTGGGATATTTAATTACAGGGCCCACACTTAACATCTTTATTTCCACTGCGCAGCTCTGTAATTCATTTAGTCCTCAGTTGTCTGAAAAATTAAATTAAATTCATTAAAACCCCACCAGGGGGCAACTTTTTGTTATACTCACACCTGTATGGGATGTCTAAATTATATTACATAGAGGTGTGAATAAATTTGTATTTGAAGAGAACAATTCAAAGTAACAAGTAAAGAATTTATTTTTTATTTTTCTTTACATCAGTCAATATCACAGTACTGTATATTACGACGTCAATAATCTCTATGGTTAGGAAATGTCTCATTATATGCCTTATAACTCTATAAAAAAAAATGTTTTTCTTCAATCTTGTTCCAATCTCGAATTTAAATCTTTTCTTAGGATTCGGTGGATTCGAGATTCAAATTCAACACATCCCTAGTTTTAACCCTACCCGGACGGCCTAAAGTATGTAAAAAGACAGCAAAATTATTATATTTGGATAGGAACTAAAAACTATATATTTTTTTGTTTTTAGTGTCCTATAGTCCAGGAAGGGTTAAACTCGTAAATAAATCAACAGATTTTGTTAGAGCAAAATACTATACGTACAACCTTTTGTAAGCACTTGTTTAATCAGTCTGGAGATAACTGTGATGACTGCAGTGTTTTACACATCACCATGGATAATTTACATCTGTTATCATTGCCACTTGGATTGTCTGTGGTATGGCCTACTTCCATAAGTAAAAGAACTAAAAACGCTCTGAAGACCAGAATAAATAAAATACTGTTGGTTTAAATGTCTACTGAGTGGCAATAAATAGTCAGCAACCTGATATTAAAATAATAGAGACTAGATTGGAGGAAACCGCTATGATGGTTGCCAAACTGAAAAAAATTAAAGAAAGTAGTATTCACCACACAAGCTGCTGAGAGATGTAGAACCAATTCTGCGTTATTTATGTCAAAAGCCAACCTGCAAAGGATTAACTTATCTTGAAACACATTCATTGTGAATACTCTTTTTCAGGCTAGTGAGGAGCGTACAGGCAGTGTTTGTTCGTTCATCTCAGTGGCGTACCACTTGGCAGCGTGTCTGCGCCGGACAGACTTTACAGAGCGATGTGTCTCAGAGGTGCTCCCGTGGTGTATGGCGCAGCAGTTCAACATAAGGTTGTATGCGCAGGTAATATATGGGATTGTAAAAATTGTGCCGGAAATTCATATTTATTTGTAAATACAGTAAAACCTCTCTAAAAAGCATATGAAAAAAGGAAATAACGTGATTGTATGAACTGTAACGTATAATTTATAAATATACTGTAAAATAGAGTCAGGAACACAATGCTGTATTGGAGGACATGTAAAATTTAATTAATACAACAATTCTAATAAGCTTATACTCAGTCAGACTGAATACAGAAGCCTTTCTAGGCACATGTGGCTAAAGAACATAATTTATTCTTCTATCGTCCATGGTGACCGGTTTTGAGAGCAAAATCTCATCATCAGGCTTCTTCAAAAAATGTTATTTCACTCAAGTTCAGGTCTTCGGTGAACACATATACAGGAACAAAAAACATGAAATGGGAACACGGAAGGACATTACTGTACTGCAGATCGGACACTACAACACGGCATAAGTAGATGTGTTAAGTAATATTTTAAGAAGCCTAATGAGATTTTAATCTCAAAACCGGTCTCAATAGATGACAGTAGGATCACTGACGGACATGTAAATGCATTTAGACCATTTAATTCTACAATTAATTATCCTGGGTACCTAAGCGCCATAACTTATTCATTGTACAAACTCCTTAAATGTCTAGCAAGTATGTTGCTCTTAAGTTTTTTGCTGCCTTACAGGTTTCATTTTATATTTTATGTGTGGTTTTCATTAAGGTTGTGCTGGACAAACTGTGGCCGCTCGATGCTGGAGTTACAGCTAAGTACGAAGTTGTCAGATTCAGTCTCACTAAAAGCTTGAAACAAGGGAACACGTTGCGCAATGCTGAAAAACTCAAAAACGACTTTTACTTCACAATGTTCCATCCACTTCGGCACTTTACTCTTGAGGTTGGTTGTTTATAAAAAAATTGATAAACTCCATAACTTTGTGGTTGAATTTTGACTAAGTTTTACTAACTTGTAGTTTTTTGTCATATATTCATCTCTTGAATTAATCTTGAGGGAAAATCACCAAGTTTTATAAGGATTGTTGTTGGGATAGCAGTCTTGCCAGAATAGGACGAGTCCTTCCTGGCTCAAGAATAACTTCTCTTTAGACCCAATAATAAAAATATGTCACTGTTACTAACATAATTATCAACCAAGGAAGGTTTGAGTTTGAAAAAGATGTTTTAATAAACACTTCCAGTTACTAGCCAGGATGCATATGTCAAATCTCAAATCCATCTTTGTTTCACATCAACCAGTTTCCTAGCCAATGAGGATACCACTTCACAAGGCAAAACATCCGACACTGATTTTGACCTGGTGGTACGATGAAATCATCATCACTGACACCGTAGAAATTGATGGTCAATGAGCAATGTAGCAGTGTATAGGCTGGGATGAAATTTGTTTAATCAAAAATGCTACACACTCTCAGACAAATGTAGCAAAAATATTATTCTTTAAGAATTTTTTAAAAAGTTGCCAGTAGTATTAATTTTTTTTTAAAGTAGCCTACATCTTCAATTTTATTTGTAGCAAAATTGCTATAGCCGCAAAAACAATGTAGCATTTTAAAGTTGTGTATGGCAAAATGCTACAAATGCTACCGCAGCTTAAACCCTGCAATGTACTGTATTTAACCCTTTCTCCAATTTCCTGATTGAGCATTTATTAGGCTATACTTTTCAGACCATCTTCATGGAACTGCCAAGACTGTCGAACATTTCCAGAGACGAATGGATTCCGTTACCTACAATTGAAGATTCTCTATCAAATTATAATCCATTCATAAAGCTTAGAAACCCAGATGATTCTTTAACTCAGTTCATTCCTCCTTCATGGGTAGCAAAAGCAACAGGTAATACATTTTCTAGTAATATAGCTCAAATATAATCATTAGTTTGTATGGAGGTTATCTGAATATATTCCTGGTTTTGTAGTTTCACTACTCCTGGTTTAAAAACATACTCTTCTTTTAGGACGTAAATCTGTTGAATTTTGTAAGAGAGGGGTTTCTGTTTGTATATTAGTTCTGGTTGAACTAAAAAATACTGAGCTAACTAGTACGGTACTTAAAGGCAAACCTGACAAATATGTAGATTTTTTAATTCTCTCAAAATATTCCAGCCGACGCAGAAGTTGAGGTTGAAGCGCTCGCGATGCAAAAGAAATTTGTTCCTTGGAAAAACATGTTTCCCGAGATGGAGGGTGTGTCCAGCCGGACTCAATTGATTGTGGTGGCGTCACTGATTGACAAGTTGCCTAACCTGGGAGGATTGACTCGTACCTGTGAGATATTTACTGCCGAGTGTTTGGTAGTGCCCAGCCTGGAGTTTACCAAGGATAAGATGTTCTCCACACTCAGCATGACTGCCGAGAAACACATCAACATTGTTGAGGTAAGATGATTTAGGAGGAAATAATGATTATTTTAAGGGTTATTGCGGACATTTCCAATTCATTTTACATCAGATTCCAGATTCTGAAATATCATGAAGAGTTTATACTAGCAACGGAGGGAAATATTCACAATAATTCCTCAAATAACATAACCTTACCATTACCAAAAATTAACTTTAATGTAAGTTGAGTCATTTGCTCAGTCTGTAAAGCGACAGACTGAAAAATTTGTTTATGCTATTCCAATTTAAAAAGTTAAATCCAATCAAATGTTCTTAATTTACTACTTGGTTCCTGATAGGTTGTAATCTCCATAAAATAACATTGCTACTTGCTATGCATCTCTCTTTAAAACAATGGGTTGTTTAAAAAGTGTCTTTGACTTGAATATGGCTCAGTAGTTTAAATTAAAGAAATATCTGATTAAGAATTTAAACCTTGGACTACCGGACCGGTATATAAACATAAAACACATGCATAAGGATTTTTGGGATGTTGTGCTCTTGATGAACTATGCATTTACAAACTTGGTCTATTTCTGGCTGATGGATTCCACAATTGTTTCACAACGGGTTTTATCTTCAAATTTTATTTCATGTCTACAGGTGAAACCGTTTGATTTACCAAAATTCTTGAGGGAGAAAAAGAATGCCGGCTACACACTGGTGGGTGCAGAACAGACTGCTTCGAGTGTTTCCTTGCAGTCTTTCAAGTTTCCCAAGAAGTGTCTCTTATTGTTGGGGTGAGCATGTTACTATTTATTATAAATTATTTTTTAATAGTCAATCCTTTGCATTTGGTTGAACCGACATTTGTTTTAAAGTAGTTTACTTTGTATGGGCACTAATTTTAAAACAACACTTCTGGAAAATAAGTTGTTCCACCAATGCTGCTGGCTTTCCGAGCTTTTAAATGTTTTTATGTTAGCCATCTGAGCAGCAAGCTGTGGCCAGTACTTCAGCTGTGAGTATCAGACTGATTATGTAAAAAAAATCTTCTTCATTGCAAAGTTTTAGGAAATAAACTAGCTGTGTGCCCGTTCTACGCACGGGGATCTTATAGTAGCCAGTTGAAACCTTCTTATATTAAGATTAAGAACAGCAGTTAGTTTGCATTTTGCAGATATGCTGGCAAAACTATTATATATAAACCTTCGCAAATACAGTATCTGATAGTTCAAGTCAAAATAAATGCTTCGCAATTAAATGTCACCCGGATCGTTATGGTCCATATGTCCAATGATTAAACTAATAAATGTTTTATAGATCCATGAAGCGTAGCCCTAAAGTAGGCCTATAATTGAAAGTTACTTTCCACATCGGTTAACTTAAACGTATTTAAAGTACTACCTCAACCTCACCAATTAACACTTTATTCCGGTTGACATTTTCAGTATCAAAGGTGCTCTTGTCCATTCCGTGAAAAACTGAGAAATAAGGACATTAATGCGTTACCAACAGACATACACACAACAATCCAAAAAAGGCCACGAACTATTGATACATAAACAATGTAAAGGCGTAAACAATTCATGATGGTTTGCCCAACAAATGTTTTACTCAAATAGGTTATAATTTTCTTAGCATACCGGGTAAGCTAAGATTTGGAATCCAGACAGAAAAAGCAAAACTTATACAGAGTTAAGACATCACTTAAATTGAATACGGACGGCTCTAATAAATAAGGTGCAACACCAACGATAACTAATTTGTAAACTACAGTGATGTGTTGGTACCTACGTAAAAATGATTCTAGCAGCTACCAACGGTTCTAAGGAAAAGAACCAGTACCTACGTAAGAACCTACCTAAGAACTATAGTACATCCAACCGATTAAATACATTAATATCTAGTCCCGAGGTTATTGATCTCTTGCTTTTGGATTTTCTCGTAAAAATTTATAGCGTAAACTTATCGGTGTCAGTTTGAAAAAAAAAACAACCTTACCCAAACAACTTTTTGTTATTTAATAGATTACGCATTCTCTAAACAATGATTAGTATATCTATTAACATTAGAAGGAAATGTGACGAAAATCACACAATGTTGGGGTTTTGGTCATTTGTAATTATATTTCTTAAGTAGGTAGGCCATGTATTCTATGGAAAAGTACCGGTATCAAGGATCGTCGTCAAAAAGGTTGTTATGAATAAATATGTAGGCTTACGTACCCAAGATATGAGCAATGGGCCTATTGGCTGTATGGTCCAGCGATTGCATCACACGGTGAGTAGAAACAGAAAGTGACACATTGGAAAAGCGAGTTTAGCACTTCCTCTGTTAAACCTCTGTTACAATCACCCACTGCAGTTGTGATTTTTTACTTTACACTTTACACAACCGCCATTGAAGCGCCGTCAATGAGTGGAAACCTTTTTTGTAAGCTATTGGCGACGATCATTTCAGTGTCCAGCCCTATACAACACTGATTCAAGGTCTTCTTTCTGGTTGTCAAAACTCAAGAAACATTTTATACTCAAAGAATTTCTGGTTCCGATTTGGACGATGTCTAGTTATTTAATTTCATTTACGGTTACACTATTAGACTATATTATTGCACTTGCGATTAATTAAATCCGTTATGTAAGAAAAACGTTTTTAATCTCACTTGGTTGGGATTTGCTTTCAAAACGTGATTCGAAATGGTTGCGGTATTTGTAAACATATCATTGACAGCTAGAAAAAATAATCTTGATCCGAACAGCTGTTCGTTATTTCATAGACGATTATGTGATAAAAATTGAACGAAAATTTGACAAAAATCGCACAAAACTGCATTTTTGAACGTCCGTAATTTTATTTACAATGGAGTGAGGCTATATTTAAATCACTAAAGACACTCTCGCCAATCCAGTGAATACATTAAAATGACTTGGATCTTGATAGGTACTCTGGTTTTCACGGAGAAGATTGCGTAAAATGCCATCTTGAGTGTTACAGACAAAGGGAAAGACAGACAGACAGACAGACAGACAGAAATAGAGATAAGACTTGTTTCTGCTTCTTTAATGTATAAAACGTAAAAATAACCTAAAAGTATATAATTCTGAGCAAAGTACAGACAAAACTCTAATTTTATTTATATAGATATATTACAAAGAATATCAGCTGATAAGTTTCAGAAGCTGACAAGTGTATAAGCTAAATTCTGAGAAGGCTCTTTTTCTTTCAAAAAAGCTCTAACATACACAATCACATCTTCTTAAATAGCATTTGGACCAATTATAGGTCTCTACATACTACTAAACCATGTTCCTTTGTAACTGCTTAACAAATCAACATATAACATGTAGTGACATAGCTGGGTAGCTGAGCGCTTGCCAAGAAATCAAGAGGTTGTAGGTTCAATCCAGAAAAGTTTCAGACGCTTCTCGATTTGAAACCAGTCCCAGCTGATCATTCAGGTTTCAATAAATGATCCTGATTAATTGACCAGCTGATATTATTCAGTATCAAAGATTTCATCTCACTCATTGAACACTTGTCTTTGCCTCACACACACTTGTATGTCGGCGTATAAATCTGTTCTAGGACCTTTCCAGTAGATTCAAGATTAACTCCTTGACATTTTCAGGAATGAGAAGGAAGGAGTACCTGTGAACCTACTGCCGCTGTTGGATGTTTGCGTGGAGGTGCCACAGTTAGGAGTGGTCCGATCACTGAATGTCCATGTCACAGGAGCATTGTTTGTCTGGGAGTATACCAAGCAATACCTTGAGGGTACATCTTGACAACCTCAGTAGTAAATGAGCGGGAACTGACTAGTGTTTCCCAACCTTATTCCTTGGTGTTCCACTTAACAAGGCAACAATCTGTTGCGTACCACATAATCAGTCTGTTGTTAATTAATAACGGAATATTAACATGGAACTAACTAACCTATTTTCCAAACACAAGTAGGAACTTTTCCCGAGGTTTGTATTTGTGCAGTTGAAGCATAACTGTGTCAAGATATTCTTTAAAATTTCACCTATATTACTTGAGTGCTATTATATCTAATCGGCCTTTTTTAAAATCACCTTAACAAAACAACCTAGTCCTCTTTCTATCGTCCTGTTATACACAGTTGCCAATGGGCCACAAACTAATGCTGTCAAAAGCCCAAACAATCCTGACCTTTAACATAAGACTTACAATACAATACTGGACATACAATAGGTTGGGATAGTATATTTCATTACTAGGATCGAAAGTGGCATTTTCCGATGCGGCTCAAGTTTCACGTGTGATGCAAAGCCGAGCATGTGAGAGATATTTTCACGTTCGAGGCGAAGCCGAGGATTGGAATAATGCAGCAAGTGTTGGAAATAGCTTTCGGTACGAGTTATGAACGATACTTATAACCACGAAAAAAAAAAAAAAAAAACACACACACATACAGAATGACATATCTCAGTAGTATTAAAATAGTTTTAGACCACTCTTTATCATTGAAAATAAACTTCACACACAACGTACATGGTTTCATAATTGTAGATTTTTAGATAAATATAAATACTTCCTCACTTACTTGAATTGACTTTTGCATTTTGTATTTTTTACCAGTTTTCTAAACTTTCCGTATTTCTCTTCTTATCTTTCCCGTGATTTAGTTAGTTAGGTTAGTGACCTCTAAAGCTGTTTTTATCAAATCATCAGTAATGTTAGACATACTTTGAGCAATTTCAAACATACACTATGCTAAAAACACAGCAAAACAAACTTATGCCTGTGTCTATGTACATTTAGATTGTGCAACAATAAAATCAGCTGCTTAAATCATTAAATCAAACCTAACAAAGCACTGGATAAATAGTGGATGGATGGAGAACTAATCGAGAGCAAGGGAAAGTAAATTTAGAGCGAGGGAAAATCAGCTGATCATTTTCCCCTTAGAGCCCTTGCTCTAAATTAGAGCTTGGGAAACAACTATACTTTCTTTCATATCATCTGTTATCGAAAATACTTACTTTCGGTAAGGAGTGATGAAAACAGGTTTAGATTACTGAGGGATTAAATTTTGAATTTCGCAAGCCAGTTTTCTTTTACGGATAAATGAGCTTCACTCTATTCTACTCACATTTGGGTTGAAATACACACCAATTTTGATGGATGCATGATTGGGCGTCCTTATCATGACAAGAGGTTGTCTTTACATTTAAGTATTCTTTCAAATGGGTGGTATATGTTACAAAGTTGATGTGTATACACATGTTTTGACTTTTGATACAGCTATTCATTGGCCCAAGTACCTAGGCCTCTCCATCATCTTCTACCATTTGCCATCCCACCTCATCTCCCCTTCCCTATATGACATTCTACTCCGCCACATCTACCCTTCCCTATATCACTTCTTGAATTTTCTACCCCGCCCCAGGTTTGATGCCAAACACATTGGTTATTTTAGCAATGTATTTAATATACTTATAAATAATATTTAAAAGGATATAAAATTGTATTTTTATATAGTTTTTTTTTATATTTGTAAATAAACGATTGTAACCCCTTAGTACAAGTTTTTTTCTTGCTGTACGAAAATTAATAGTCCCTTAAGTTAAGTAAATTATGGTGCTTTTAAAATCAATTTTCTCTATTTTCATGCAATCTAAATGCATTTTTCTTGGTTTTATAACCTTAAGTACATTTCTGTTAATGCAAACTAATTGGGTCTGACCTTGGTGGAATTATGTTCAACCATGATATGCTGAGGCATAAGTGTCAAGAATTAAGTACCTGTATTAGGGAAGAAATTGTGTATCCTAGAAAACTAAATATAGTACGACTAATATAATTTTCCCTTAGTAGTTTTTATTTTGCTCATTTTTTGCTTTATTTTGTTCCTCAATAAGTGGACTGTGGAGGATCATCATCCGATTAAGCTTTTAATCTAATCATGACCCTTTTGTAGTTTACAATTTTGTACAGCTAAAAAATTGTTTTTCCATTAAAGATTTTGTGATCTACAGATTGAGTGTAGTAAAAGTTTTTTAACATATCGGACACCTAACATTGACTCAAAGCGTGAGTTTAATTTCAGTTTTGGATGTGTAAAGCTTCCAAAAGACACAAACTTTTTATCACATCAAGAAATAGAGAATTTTATTGATTTGAAAATATAGCCTCTGGATCGTTATTGAACATAATTAAATCTAAGGCTTACCTTACGATCCAAGCCTTAGATTTAATTAAATTTTATGGACTAAACCGCACCTTTTTCTTGTTGTTTTGTAAAGATTAGGAATACACTCTTTTAATTGAGGAGAATTTATTGACTATGTAGAAACTGTTATCGGTTTTGCTGCTACCAGTTAAAACCTAAAATTCAAGCTGTGTCTACTTAGTTTTGTAATCAATACAGTGATGTAGAGGTGACAACCAATATTTTAAGGTAGCCTAAAAATGGTATTAGGTAGATTCAATTTCAGGTTTCAAAATACAGGAGACAAACAAATAATTTATTTACATACAATTAAAAACGTATAAACAATATATACAATCTTTGTGATAAAAATCCAACAATGAATAATCAATGATTTTGTATGATCAGAATAAAAATGTACACAATTTTACTAATTCAAACAAAAAAGGATTCTTGGCAACACCAATTTAATTACATGTAAAATTAATCGTAAAGCTTAAAAAATAACATTGTAAAATCAAACTAAAAATAATAGCAATAAATAATCACAAAGCAAATTTAAAGCAGCTTGGATGCACTGCTCTGATTTAATATTCAATAGAAAACTATAACAAATACGATGATCATGATTTTAACAAAATAAAATAAATAGTAAAAACAGCCTGCAGCAAATAACTACTCTTTGAAAAATATTCACAAGATTCTCTAGGTAAACCACTTCTTAAAAGGAAAATGTTCTCACATGCAACTTTGTTTTGCATAAAGCAGAAAAGTTTATCGTCAGTTGATAAGCTTCTTCCACGTCTTTAAAGGCGTGGGTAAATGTCATCTCATTTAGGGAACCGCTTCGAACTTCCTTTCTTGCTACTTGGAAATGGCTTTTCCTTTCCTGGTCGGTTACTGAGCAGGGGATGTGGTTCTGTAATAATTATCAATATCTTCTATTAGCAAAATAATCAAATAAAACTTATAACTTAAATTTATATTGGAATTCACTTAAGGGAGAGAATTGAGCACCAGTAACTCACTTAAATAAACTCCTAAGCAGTTGAAACACCAAATAGATAGATTAGTGATGGTCGGATCCGGATATCGGACTACCGGATCCGCCGGATCCAAGCTAGAACCGGCACCGGATCGGATCCAAAAAATTCCGGATCTTGGGCTGGATCCGGTTTTGATGGATCCGATTTTTTCAAATTTTTCCCCGATTTTTTTCCTAACACAAAGCTGTCTGTATCACTGTACAACCCCGATTTGTTACTAACATAAAGCTGTCTGTATCACTGTACAACCCCGATTTTTTTACTAACATAAAGCTGTCTGTATCACTGTACTAACCCGGTTTGTTTACTAAAATAAAGCTGTCTGTATCACTGTACAACCCTGATTTTTTTACTAAAATAAAGCTGTCCGTATCATTGTACAACTCCGATTTGTTTACTAAAATAAAGCTATCTGTATCCATGTAAGAGACCGATTTTCCCCCGATTTGTTTACTAACATAAAGCAGTTTGTATCTCTGTACAACCCCGATTTTTTTACCAACACAAAGCTGTCTGTATCACTGTACAACCCCGATTTTTTTACCAACACAAAGCAGTCTGTATCACTGTACAACCCCGATTTTTTTACTAACACAAAGCTGTCTGTATCCATGTACAAGACCGTTTTCCCCCCGAGTGTTTGTCTCTTGATGCAAACAACTTATATGGCTAGGCCATGTCTCAATGTTTGTCTCTAGATGCAAATAACTAATATGGCATGGCCATGTCTCAGTGTTTGTCTCTAGATGCAAATAACTTATATGAATAGGCCATGTCTCAATGTTTGTCTCTAGATGCAAATAACTTACATGGCAAGGCCATGACTCAGTGTTTGTCTCTAGATGCAAATAACTTATATGGCAAGGCCATGTCTCAGTGTTTGTCTCTAGATGCAAATAACTTATATGGCTAGGCCATGTCTCGATGTTTGTCTCTAGAATCAAATAACTTATATGGCTAGGCCATGTCTCGATGTTTGTCTCTAGATGCAAATAACTTATATGGCTGGGCCATGTCTCAATGTTTGTCTCAGATGCAAATAACTTATATGGCTAGGCCATGTCTCGATGTTTGTCTCTAGATGCAAATAACTTGTATGGCTAGGCCATGTCTCGATGTTTGTCTCTAGATGCAAATAACTTATATGGCTAGGCCATGTCTCGATGTTTGTCTCTAGATGCAAATAACTTATATGGCTAGGCCATGTCTCGATGTTTGTCTCTAGATGCAAATAACTTATATTGCTAGGCCATGTCTCGATGTTTGTCTCTAGATGCAAATAACTTGTATGGCTAGGCTATGTCTCGATGTTTGTCTCTAGATGCAAATAACTTGTATGGCTAGGCCATGTCTCGATGTTTTAGATGCAAATAACTTAAATGGCAAGACCATGACTCGGTGTTTGTCTCTTGATGCAAATAACTTATATGGCTAGGCCATGTCTCGATGTTTTAGATGCAAATAACTTAAATGGCAAGGCCGTGACTCGGTGTTTGTCTCTTGATGCAAATAACTTATATGGCTAGGCCATGTCTCGATGTTTTAGATGCAAATAACTTAAATGGCAAGGCCATGACTCAGTGTTTGTCTCTTGATGCAAATAACTTATATGGCTAGGCCATGTCTCGATGTTTTAGATGCAAATAACTTAAATGGCAAGGCCATGACTCAGTGTTTGTCTCTTGATGCAAATAACTTATATGGCTAGGCCATGTCTCGATGTTTTAGATGCAAATAACTTAAATGGCAAGGCCACGACTCAGTGTTTGTCTCTTGATGCAAATAACTTATATGGCTAAGCCATGTCTCGATGTTTGTCTCTAGATGCAAATAACTTATATGGCTAGGCCATGACTCGATGTTTGTCTCAGATGCAAATAACTTATATGGCTAGGTCATGTCTCGATGTTTGTCTCTAGATGCAAATAACTTATATGGCTAGGCCATGACTCAGTGTTTTAGATGCAAATAACTTATATGGCAAGGCCATGTCTCAGTGTATAAGATATATTAACCTTTAAACATTACCGATTTAGTTGTAAACAGTATGATTTAAATTGGCATTCTGTTAATTACGTTTTTTTTAACCCGCCCTTATGACAGTGTGTATCTGGATCCGGATCCGAAGATCCGAAGATCCGGATCCGAATTTTTCAAGATCCGGATCCGGATCCGGTACCGACATTTTCTTGGATCCGCCCATCACTAAGATAGATAACATCATACTACATTTTTATACACATCTATACTCTATTGAGTTTTCTCAGAAATAAAGAGAAAACAAAAGTAGAATAATATTCCTACGTAATAAAAAAAAATTGAAAGGTAAGTGTATATTTTAAGGAAACAAATGTGAAGACTTAATCTCACACAAGTTTACTCAGTATCAACGCTTTGTAGTAGCATTGACTGTTGGATATTGAAATTGTATTAATAGTCGAAGATAGTAGTCAAGACCTTACTATTTAAGCTAACGAAAACCCTTTGAACTATTTCCCTAAACTCCACACTATTTTGAAATCTAAAATTCTTACCAAAACTATACTCAAATATACACATAGATGGTGTCCCCCATCTCAATGATAATGATAGCTCATGTCCACTGTGCAATACAGTTCTTATGGGACTGGGAGATAATTGTGCTATAACATCACCGGTACTGGAAACTACATCTTTATCGTCATACAAACTGGTCCTTGCAACCCTTGTGAGAAAATTGTAAGAAAATAAGTAAAAATTCGAGGACCATATTGCAGATCCTGAAGTTTCAAACAGCTACTGTCACTGAAACTGACTTTTAAATACAAGGCTTATGGACACTCCATATTGGAAGGAGTGTGGAATGGTATACAGCATACAGCTATCCAATTTACCATCAACAGGTGCGTTTTGCAGGTTGATCTCGAAGGCCTGGTATCTTGGCCGTTTGGAGGGGGGTGAGCTGGTGGGGGGTAGAGAGGGTGGAGGGGGAGGTAGTGTCGGACCCTCCTCTGGGTCCTCGACCTCGGGAGCGATTGGTAGAAACTGCAAAACCTCCGTGTCCTCAGTCTCCTCGTCTGAGCTGCAAAACGCAGGGACAGGATCCACAGAGCACACGTCCACCTGTTATAGAACACGGTCTTTTAATTTAACTGAACGGTTCTTTTTTATTCCATGTTTATAGCCCAGAAACTGTGTTTTGATACTTAGATGAATTAATGGATAATGAGGGAACCCGTGTGGAAACGGCACAGTTTAATAGGGTCCAAAACTTGTTTCCTAGGCAAAATGAATCCAGGGCAATACCCATTTTCCTTGTCAAGCTTATGTTTGTTTAGAACAGAGCTAGTTATTTGGAGAAAAGAACAACTAATTTAAGATAAATTTGTTGATTTTAGATCTACACTAAAAAGAGTGATTCAATCAGGTCACAGTTGTCTAAAAGTGACCTAATTAAAATAGATTTTCAAAAACTCTTAGTCTCTTGTGTACAATCTAATTAACATTTAACCTGTTATAAAGAAATTTGGACAGCATAACTGGATCTTTGATAGTGATTTTGAGAAATAAATTAAACGTGAGAGGGCAACACCTTAAAAGAAATTACCTTTTTAATTACCATTCTCAGGTGCGATAGATCATAAGCACTAAAATGACACCTCAATCGTACAAATCTGTAAAGTAGGACAACTGGAAAAGGGACGTAACAGAAGAAACTCTTAACAAATACTTGCATTTTATAGGACCATTCAATGAAACTTACCTATGGATGACATAAACCAAATTGATAGATGATTGATGAAATAAGTTAGACAACATTGAGTACCTATTCTTATCTAAATAAATTGTCACTTAAAACTCAGATGGTACAGATAGAACAAATTTGTCCATTGCTCTTGTATTTTTACCAAGAAATTCACGACTTCATCCACAAACTAAAGTAGTTCATAATATAACTGATTGAAAATCACCTCTAAATCCTCGTCTTCCTTCTCATCATCCTCCTTCACGCTTCTATCCTCGTCACTCAGATCAAACTCGCTCTCTCTCTCTTCGTACTCTACATTCTCGTCCAGTTCCTTGAAGTCTGGCGCAAACGCAGACCAATTCTCCACCTGGTTCTGCGCCCACACCGACACAACGCCACTAGAGATGGAGGCAATGATCGGACGCACCGGGTGCCACTGACAATCACAGAAAGAGTTAAAAGACATTGTCTTGGAAAAAAATATTTAATGATGTAAAATTCATAGCACAGTTTAGATGATAAAACAAAAGTTATTAGGCCTATTTTGTGTTTTGTCAACATTTTTGAGTTTAAGTTTTTGGTGAATAGATATATATACTTTTTTGATCCACCTGAACCTGAAAAAGTGGTTTTTAAAGTGATGTCTGTGTGTGTCTAAATGTGTGGATATGTACATAGCTACTCAAACCTGTAGTTCTATTTTGATAAAATTTGGTGGGTACTAGTCTATGGTATCTCCAGACATTTTAAGTTTTTTTTTAATATAGAATTTTAACTGTGGTTTTCTTGTTAAAACCCATAAAATAAAAGAGAATATTTTTTTCAAAAACGGACAAAACGTTTTGATTAAAATGTTGTATGTTATAGTCCTTATTGCTCTAAACGGTACAACCCCCGTTTGCTGTAAAAATTACGGTTCAAAGGTTTCAGAAAAATAGTCATATTGCTGATACTGTATATTTTTACTTGTAAAAAGATGTTATTTTGGTCCTCTCGATATCTGACCTTTTGGTTTAATTTGTAGATATGAGGGGTTCTACTGTACTGAAGTGTATTAAATGTTACAGACCAATTCCGGTTTAAAATACAGACCAATTGGCTAACTCTCTCGTGAAATGCCACTGGCATTGAAAGAAAAAAAACACTTACTCTAATTGCAGTGTGGTAAATGCAGATTAGAATTCAATAATTTTTGTAATTAATATAAATTTAAATGCTTTAAAAAACACAAGGACTCCAACTTACAACAACATCCAGTAATAATTCTCCTTTAGTGCCATGGAGAATCTTCACTAGATTTCCGATGCTCTTCTCCCAAATGTAGAGGGCATGTTGACGAGCGGAGCCAGCGCACACGTATTCACCGTCACCAGAGAAACAACACTTTTTCCACATCATCCTGAAAAATCACAACTACATTATGTTAATGAGCCAAGGCACATTTGAAAATTAATTAAGTTAACCGTTGTCTAACTTACCAAACATTTTCTGTACCACAAACTTTAAGTTATGCGTAGTCTTTTTTTCACTACACTATAACTTTGGTAACAAGATGAGTTACAAGGTAAAACTGTTGTGGTGATAAAAACATATTCACGGACTAGGCCTATATGGATTTTACCCTTTTTAAACTTGGTAACGGTTCACAATGAGTCTAAATCAAAGATTTTTTTTGTAATTTGTTAATAAGTTTTAGGCCAGTCACTTGCACCATAAAAATTACTTTTGCCCAAATAAACTATATTTAATTGTTCAGAGGAAAACTTAACAAGTACCAAAGATTGAGTTTTTAGGGAAATTATAAGGAAATAATTAAATGCTAAGCAGTAACAGAACTACCATAACTTTTCACAGAAAATTTGAACTTTTTCACGTGCAAAAAACTTCCAATTTCAATCCACAAAATAAACATTGTTTTTCTTTTACTCTCTTGTAAATTAGCCAAAGAATTGTTAGTCAATGGTGAGGCGTATGCAATATTTTAAAATGTCCACTCACTTATTGACGAGATCCTGCAGTTTCTGAATGGGTTCTGGTTCTCCATCAACGCCGCAAGCTATAACCTCCTCTGAGTTGTACACCCTGATCACTCTGTCAGCTGTGTTGACGAGAAAACAGCTGCAGCAGAGAATTTAGTATCAAAAGACAGATACAGAATTTCAAGCATTTCTTGAAGGTTTCACACTATACCTAGCAGTTTTTGATAGTTTGATGGATTAGTTTACGTGGCATTATTTTGTGGTGAAATTCTATTCAAATGATATAGTACAAGTGTTGTAAAAAAACTATTAGAATTTTAACGAATGTTTCATTTTAATCCACTTTGACCAAAGCTATGACTGTTTAAAGTAATCCTGACAATGTCTTAAACACTTGTAAAGTATTCTCAGGCCAAAGATTCTTGATTCTTGTTTATGATTTAGTAACATCAAAGCATGACATATAAAGATGATAAAGATTGAGACTATTTTTTTGGCTGGCAATAACACTATCTGTTGTCACTAAAATGAATGCAAATGAGACATACTACACGAAAAATACCCCCGCTGCAGCAAACCTGCTGACTAAGTGAATTTCCATTTGTATGGATTGATTTTCAATTAATCTATTAAATTAACATTTATGTTTAACAAGTACCTAGGTTAGCTGCTACAGGGAAACTAATAAAGTGTTTTTATTAAAATATTAATAGCTTAGTATGAAATAAATAAATCCGACAAGTTTGATCAAAATATATCCATAAACACGCCAACTACAACATTTTACAATATTCTCCAAAAGAATAACATGGGAATTAACCAACCGCCGTAGGTACAATTTAACACTTTGATATACTAAATTATATGTGTTTTAAGCTCTTTAAAACGGTCTGGAGAAAAATTGATTAATGTTGTGTTTTAAGGGGGAAAAATTAGAAAAACCAATTTTCACCCCATAAAACCCCGTTACCATGGTCCGATCATGCTGATGCAAACAGTTATTATTATTGATTAACTCTTAACAAATTGATGTGGAGTTTACAACCAGTTGCTGTGACTAACTATAAACTATATCTTAAGCTAAAATTTTAAGTTAAATAGGAATTAAGACTACAATTTTTATATGGCATAAAAAAAACAATAGCGTAACTCACTCTCCTCTTCGCGCAAACTCTATGCTTCTCACTGCTGTTGCACTGGTCGTAACTTTGAACGAGGCTTTCAGCTCAAGATCTGGACAACTCATCAAGAGAATCTTGCCTTTGGTGTTGCCTGTGTATATGTACAGCCCTCTCCGGTCAAATGAGGCTACTATCGTTAAGTCTGTCTGCGAAATTCAAACCAGATATACATCAATAACAATATTTACACTGAATGGGTATGAAAAGTAGTCGCTTTTCCAGAATAAACATATTTTATTAGTATTATTCTATGAGTTAACTAAGTAAATCAGAAGCAATAAAGGTTAATTTGACAACTTGTAGGTATGTTAACATTTTTCAAACTTTGTATTGGTCGGACTGTTCACTGTATGACTCAAACACTGCGCCGCTTCCTGTTTATCGTACACATTTGTAAGCCTGATTTCTGTACTGGTCGATTCTTAGAAGCATACTGTAGGTAATGAACTAATTTTGTATTTACTATTTTTCTGATGGTTTGGACCTCTTTTTGGATTGGTCAAAGACGTAGTCACATAGTAGATGTCAAGAAGGGGCCTACTATACACACATCACTGTACAGAATCTGTCTGATGGTTTAGTTTTGGGATGATACTATAACTTTATTTCATTTATCACTACTGTATTTGTACCAATATACTCACATCTTCATCTAAGGGAACGATTTTGTGATCGCCGTCTGTGTCTACCAATACAGCCGCATGTCTCATCGGGCAGACAAGAAACACTTTATCATTCCTAGGATGGAACTGCACCTGGAATTAGATATAGCATACATAATTTTGACAGTCTGAGACATGCTGTGGCACCATAATCAAAATAGGGCTATACATTTTCGAAACAATTGCAAAATACATTTAATAAGAGTGAAATTTTATTAATTTGGATCAATAATATTTTGATTTAGTTTATAAGCCTCACTACTACTTTATTTTGTAAGCAATCCAACTTAAAAGTTTTTAAATTCAAATTATGCGCTCCATACTAAATTTAGGTAAGCCCAATAGTAAAATCTGATTGTTGAAATACAGAGGTATATACAATATTATTTCGTTGTACAACGTTGGCAACTCAATGCAGTGGGTGCAGCCGGATTAGCGACTTCTAGAGTTAGCGTATTCCACTGCGAGAAAAAAGATGAGTTTTAGCCAGTTCCGCCTCCCAACCGGGTTAGCAAGTTCCAGTTAGCCAATTCCATTATCTAATTTAAATTAGTGGTGTGGAAGGTACGTTTAGGACTTTCAAGCCAAAAACCTATAAATTTTTGTAAAAACTTTGTGACTTCAGCTCACAATCTTTTGAACCCATGTTTCTTCTGATTAGCTTGTGTTTTAAAACTACTGAGTATGCTCATACTTACTTTCAGGATTGGTGAAGGGAAACGGTATTTTTGTTCACACTCTCCCGTGAGCACATCCCATATACAAACATTGTTGTCTGTCGAGGCACTGAGAAGTTTGAAACCGTTCCTAGACCAACTGCAAAACAAAGAGATAAAATAAATGTAAAAGAAGAAACTATAAACAATGCTGTTTAGCAATCTATATAAATAAAATTACAGTTTTGTCTGTACATTGCTTAGAATGATGCAGTTTTTGGTTATTTTTACGTTTCATAGCTAAGAAAGCCAAAACGAGTCTTATCTCAATTTGTGGTTGCGTCTGTAACGCCAAAATGCCATTTTACGTGGCCTACTCCTAGAAAACTAGAGTACCGATCAAGGTTCTAATCATTTTTCTGTATTTACTGGATTGGTGAGAGTGTCTTTGGCTATAAAAACATGGCCTCACTTCTTTGAAAACTAAATAACAAACCACCAAAAACCCAATTTTGTTAGATTTTTGTCAAATTTTCTCCCAATGTTTACTATTACATTTTATGAAATAACGATCGGCTGTTTGGATTAGTTCTCACTTCTAGCTGTCACTGATATGTTTACATTCAAAGTTGTTTACAAATACCGCAACCATTTACGATCAAGTTTTGTCAGCACATCCAAACCAAGTGAGATTAAAAACGTTGTGCCTTACTTAACCACTTTAATTAATCGCAAGTGCAACGATTTGTTCTTGAGTTTTGATAACCGGGGAAAATACCGTGAATCAGTGTTGTATTAGTACAAGGAAACTTACATTTGTTTAATCGTCGTCACCAATACTGTAGCTTACAAAGGTTTCCACTCATTAACGGCGCTTCAAGGACAGTTGTGTTAAGTGCAAAGTAAAAAATCACAATTGCAGTGGGTGATCGTGGATGTTGCTGCGATCTTGGAAGATCTTTCTGATTTCGCTGTGATCGTACCGTAACAGAGGTTTAACTTAACAGATGTAGCTAAACTCGCTTTTCCAATGTGTCACTTTTGGTTTCTACTTACTTACATTTCGACAACGATATCGGTACTTTTCCTACTTAGGAAATAAAACTAAAAACGTACAAAACCCCAGATTTGTGCGTTTTTGTCACATTTCCTCCGAATGTTTGCTAGATATATGTACCGATTATTGTTTAGAGATTACGTAATCTTTTAAATAAGAAACCTTTGTTTGGATATGGGTGGTTTCTTCAAACTGTCATTAATATGTTAACATTAACAGTTGCTTACAAATAATGCTATTAATGGGAAATAACTTTGATTTTCAAAAACTTAAAAAACAATTAAAACCAAAGGAGATTAATAACTTCGGTACTGCACCACATCAAGTGAAAGTTTTTTTAGCAAACCATAGAGAGTTTTCAAAGCTTTACGTTGTTAACGTTACATGTTACATGTTTTGTGGCCTGTGTATTTATTTATTTATATATTTGCCAACAGATTAACACCTATAATACAGTTTGATTAGAAGGACAGTTTGAATTAGTCGTAAGTACTACAGTTCTTTTCTCAAATGTAAACGTTGGTTTTTGGTACTGCTACTTTTCCTTAGAACCGGTGGTAGCAGTAAGAATAATTTTTACATACAAACACATCACTATTTTCACTATTTATTTATAAACACTGCACCTTATTGCTTATTAAATTTAATTGATGTCTTACTGTATATTTTTTAGCGTTTTCTGTCTGGACTCCAAAATGTTGTGTGGACTCAATTCTGTATTTGTGTGTGTATGTCTATTGGTAACGCATTAATGTCCTTATTTTTCGTGTAAAAGACAAGAGCACCATTGTTAATAAAAATTTCAACCCGAATAAAGTGTGCAGTAGTGAGGTTGAGGTAGTGTTTTAACTACTTTTAACCAGTGTGAAAAGTAACTTTCAAATACAGGCCTACCTTAGGGCTATGCCTCATAGATCTATACTGTAAAGCAATTCCTTTCATCGTTAGATATAAAATATGGACTAACACGATCGGGTGACATTTAATTGCGAAGCATTCGTTTTGGCTTTGAAACTGTCAGATATTGTATTTGAGAAGGTTTATATGTATTCCTAAACAATTATAGTTTTGCCATCATATCTGGAAAAATGCACACTAAATATGCAAACCAACTCCTGTTCTGAATATAAGGTTTTAACTTACTACAAGATTCCCGTACGTAGAACGGGCAAACAGCTAGTAATATTATAAACTAGGCTACCTAAAACTCCTAGAAGGTTTTAGATGTTTAACTTAAGTACCAACCTAAGTGAGCATACAGGATGCATGTGTGCACTAATGATCTTTGCAATTCCCCTTGTAAGAAAGTCCCAGACGACAATACGACCGTCATTGCAGCCAACAGCTAACAGAGTGCCCCGTTTGTTGAAGGCGCAGGTCACGGCTAGAGAGATACAGTCTAGAGCCCCATCAAACTCCTCTGGATAGTTCTGGCCAAATGATTCTGTAAACAATTTTGTAAATTAAGTTAGCTCTTTCAATTTATAAAAAAGTAGCCTATTAAAATAAAGAAACATACTGAACTTTTTGATAGCAGACTGTTTGTTATTTACTGTATATTTTTATCAATTTACACTGTTCAAATTGTATAATGTCACTTCACATTATATGCAAATCTCTCTCTCTCACTATCATTGTAATCTCATCTTCATGTCAGCTGCAGGCATGTAATTTTTTATGTATTTTTTTTAAATGGTGGTTGCCATTGAAATAAATAAATAGCCTTTATAATAGAGGGCCTAGCCGACCAATTATTTTTTGTTCCTTCAATGCAAGAAGGATTCGACTAAAAGATCAAACATCAAATAGCAATAGGCTGTAGGCCTATAGATGTATAGGCAATAGGCTATAGGCAAAGATTATAATAATAGGATAATAGGTCGAAGGCTATATGTGGAAACTAAACACCTCAATGGCAATAAATTATTTAAAATAAAGTCAAAAACTAGATTAATTAAATATTCCGTTCCCCAGGGATCAGTCCACCATTCCTATTCCTATTTATTAGGGACCATTCCTATTCCTTGTGTATTTAGGAAAGTTACCAGAATGTCTTTCAAATCTAACATTAAATAATAAATTTTGTATTTTTGCAGATGATATTAATCTAACGATAGCTAGTAGCAATAGAAGTAATGTTTTTGATCAATTATCCCTAGCATCAAACAAAGTTAACGAAAGACTAAGTAACTTGAACCTTTTAACTAATAACAATAAAACAACAATAATTAAATTCTCTTGTAAAAATGGTAATTCAAGGAATGACACAGAACCAACAGACTGCCTTAATACTGTTGACCTTGCTGAAAAGTCAAAGTTCCTTGGTATTTTACTGGATAGAAAACTGTCTTGGTCAGATCATGTAAATGAGGTCTGTTCAAAAGTTAGTTCAGGAGTCTTTGCTCTGAAGAGATTGTCCTCTTTTTGTGACATCAAAACATTGCAATCAATGTATTTTTCAATGGTCCATACCCATATTGGGTATGGTCTTGAAGTATATGGAGCAACATCAAATTTTAACCTCCAAAAAATTTTACATCTTCAAAAAGATGCAATAAGATCAATGCTTAAATTGGATTTTGATGCACACTGTAAAAAACATTTTATTGGATTGGGTATCATGACAGTTTATAGCCTTTATATTTACAAAACTGTTCTTCATGTTAAACGTAATATTTCAACATTTACTAGAAACGTCGATAATCATAATTACAACACAAGAAACCGATATAATTTCCAAATTAATAAGCATAAAAAAGAAATATTTAAACAAAAACCATCATACATTGGAATACAATTTTTTAATCAATTACCAATAAAAATCAAAAATGAAACAGATGACAACAGATTCAAAAACGCTCTAAAATTACATTTGACACATAATGCTCTCTATAAATTCAAAGATTTCTGGGCTAAGCAATAACAGCATTGACTTAAAATGTTTTAGGCCTATTGCTGTTTCACTGAACTATATTTTTGTTTTCACTGAAGTATACTTTTGTTTTATACCTACTTGAGAGATGACTGTATTATTTTGTTGTTTTGTTCTTGTGTATTGTATTTGTCTTTTATTTGTGTTTATATTTTATGTAATGATGAATTTGACACCATTCTTGTATATACAATTTCATATACTAATGAATAAAGATGTTTTGAATTGAATTGAATGTTTAATGATGGAGCTCATTGGAATGGTTAAGTCATACACTGAAGTTCTACTAAATAAATCAGCAAAAAAAAGGTCCTACTAAAATATGAAAGCCAAGCCTAGGCTTCTATTACATTATTACCCTAGCTTATCTAATTTATGTTCAGCATTAGGCCCTACAATTGTTTAGTTACTGGACCAGGGATTTGTCCCCCCTTACAAGGATCAAGAATATATTGGTTTGAGAAAACATTTTACTGTACTATTAATTGCATAAAACCTTGTCAAGATTTTACAAAACACTAAAAAATGCAATAGAAAACACAAATAAATTAATATAAAACGGTTCTAAATGTACCAAAGGTTGATCAATTAGCCTACAACTAGACTAGGCCTACAGTTTAATTATAGCCTGTCTAAAGCTGTGTTTACACCGGAGTCTTTGACTTATGATGTCGGCGACAAAAAGTCAGAGACTTTACAAAAACTTCTTAAATTTCTTGTGACATTGTGTCAGTGACACTTGTCAACTACCGGTACTGAAAATACTGGGTCACAGACATGAGTTTAGGTTGTCCATCAAGAGTCAGTAGGATTAAAGTACCTACTGTCACTGACAACATGTCTTAGCCTCCTGACACGGTAAGTTTCCATACCACACGTGGCGTGCATGGCTGGATGTGCCACGCCACTAGCTACCATCAATTCACACAGCCTTGGATGCTATACCGGCCACGTTTATCGTTATTACCGTCAGTATTAAGAAATTAAGTAGTCAGGATGTCAGCTCCAACAACACGCAAAAATGTGTGTTCAGATGTCACACTTCTCAGTATAAATCTGAATTTTCGTGCAGGTTACATTGGTTACAAACAGCAGCAGTAGTGATGATGAGCTAATATTATTATATTGTTTGACAAAAGAGATGAGTGGGTGTATATCCAATTAACAAATAATGAAAGCGTTATGGCAAATTTTATCATTTTATGCGTTATCTCAAGGTTGACAATGACAAATTCTTTACTGATTTTAGATTGAATCTTTAGAATGAACGCTCTGTGCATGCGCAGGCGTGTGCATATGTCCGTCACGTTTAAAAAGATCGCTCAAGGAGCGAACAGTAGCCACGCGTGGCTAGTTAGCGGGTGTAGCTCGTGGCCATGATCCTGTTGTGTGAATTGTTTCATATAATGATAAGCAGGGAAGTGATATTTTGAAAATTAAAAGTGGTTTAAATACCTTAACTGTCAGGTGATCCTTGGAGTAGTTTACACTACTGCAGTTTCAGCCCTCAGGGGGCTTTCTTCAGGTGTCAAAGAGGTCAAACATTGTCATTCATACGAATTCGTCACATTTACACTACGAGAACACAAATACGAATACGGACACGAACACGAACATAAAGAATGAATACACACGTAAGAGTCACAAACATTTCCCATGGGTTAATTGATGCACGACGCGTGGGAGGAGCTAGCCTAGACTATTTTGAAAAGTAGCTAGCGTATATCCAGTTACGCACGCCACGTGTACAGTGTGGAATGGCCTATAGGCTAGATGTAAACTCCGCAGTGACTTTTGTCTGAGACGACAAAAACCTTTCATGCTGCTTGCCAAGTATCACTCGTCAGTCAGTAGCCTACAGCTTGTAGGAGCTACATGAATTTGAAGTTTGAAGTTAGGTTTTTAAAGTGTTTGACATTGTTTGTTTGAATGTTATAGCTTAACTTATTGTAGAGTGAAGTGAATAGTTGTGATGGCAGGGGACAACACGGCGAGTATGGAGTGGAACCAGGATCAAGTTATACAATCGATAGACCGTGAATGTACAGTGTACGTATATGAATTGATAAAAAATAATAAATGTATACTAGAGGACCCATACTGCTGCTCTGCAGCGTTAAAATAAATAAAATATCCGAGAAATAATTAAATTTATGATTTTTGATTGAGTACTGTAATACAGTATCTTGAGCTTAACTGATTCAAACGATCAATAGCTCAAATTAGAGCCTATAATTTAGGCCTACTGTTTATTTTGAGACCATAGTCCCCGTCCTGCTCTTTAGCGTTAAAACAAATAAAATATCCAAGAAATAATCAAATTTATGAGAAAAAAATAATAATTTGGAAAAACATTACCAATACTGGGAGCTATTCATTTTTAATCATATAAAAAACTTAAGAAAAATAATTTTCATGTTGGTTTTTCAAATTTTGTTTGCTAGAATCTCGTACGATTTTAATAAATAATAGCTTAGATGAAAGTCAGTTTTTCACTGAAGGTTCTTAGACTAAAATTTATAGAATTATAAAATTATACATCTTAAATTAAAGAAAGAATTAGAAAATAAATAAAATTATGTGTTTTGGTCGAGTAATACAGTAGGTAAATATTTGCCGATGATTTATGAGAAAACTTGTCGTGCATGCCTTCAATTTGAGACCTCAATCATAAAAATCGGTCGGGTAGAAGAGCCAAACAAACTAAAAAAAAAAACCAAATGAAACTCACATAAGAAATACATGGGGAGCAAATTTCATTAACGTGTAAGCAGAGTGGGATAATAGATAAATATATGCCGATGCTTGATGAAAATCTGTACATACAATCAATCGGAGACCTCAAACATGATAATCGGTCGGGTAGAAGAGCCAAATGAACTCATAATAATAAAAACCTAATTTAACTCCCATAACAAACACATGAAGAGCAGATTTCGTTTACGTATATGTGAGTGGGATTATAGATAAATACATGCCGATGCTTGATGGTTAATCTGTGCGTGCATACCTTCAATTCGAGACCTCAGTCATGAAAATCGGTCGGGTAGAAGAGCTAAACGAACTCATAAAATAAAAACCTAATTTAACTCCCATAACAAACACATGGGGAGCAGATTTTGTTTGCATAACTTATAAGCCCTGTGGGATTATAGATAAATACATGCCGATGCTTGATGGCAAATCTGTGCATGCATTCCTTCAATTTGAGACCTCAATCATGAAAATCGGTCGGATAGAAAAGCTAAACGAACTCGGCAAAGAAAAACCAAATTTAACTCCCATAAGAAATACACGGGGAGCAAATTTCGTTTACGTATAAACCGAGTGATACTATAATTATATGCCGATGCTTGATGGCTAATCTGTGCGTGCATGAAATCGTGAAAATCGATTGGGTAACTTAGAAGAGCCAAACGTAGTTGGAAAAGAAAACCCAAGTTTTTATAATAGGCCTAACTTATGATAGGCTAAGTTAGCCTACTAAAATAATAACGCACGATGCAGAAAGAACCTGGTCATCCTCTTTCACCATTGTCACCACTATAAGTTACTGAGCACCGAACTCTCAATAGGTAGGCTTACTGGTGGTGTAGTGTTGCGAACAGGATGTTGGATACAATAGGCTATGTCACTGATCAAAACAAAAGAAGGCCTACAACATTACCTGTATTGTTTCGATGAATTGTGTTTGTTCAGCTATGACAATTCTGTAACTGACTTCGGTTTAAACACAGTTTAAGTTAGGCTCCTTCAAGTTTTTCTTACATTTTAGTTTACGCCCCACATTTACTAAGTTAATAGCCTACATTAGGCCTAGCTTCCAGCTGAGTATAAAATTAATCTAAACTTACCTTAGCTAACCAAACATGCTGTAAGTTATGTGAGTAAATGTGGGGCATAAACTAAAGTGCAGCCTAAAATAGCATTCATTACATTAGGGGTATGCATATCAAATCAAATATTCTTATTGCCGTATAAAACACAGTAACATGCATGGCTTGAGACACATTATTCAAATATATATAAAAAATACAACATTCACATAAGTAACAAACCTCTTTATGCTACACCTATTTTTTACCAAATTTTCTACATAATAAAATGGCTTTCGATTAGAAATAGGCCTATTACTAATTCAGAAAAAGGTTATCATACAAAATTGTTAATTTTCTTAGCCTATACTTAAAAAATGAGACTTTTTCAAAACTTACCCAACAATTCTAAATTCATATTGCACTTTAGTCAATTCGGCCTACCACAGCATAAGTTATAAAATAGGCCTAAACTAAAACATTATTGGAAGTTGTTAAAACAAAAAGTTTATTACTGTACTTGTTATCTGGACATTCTACCTGTAGTGATTCTAATTCTAAAATAGTGAGCTAAAATACCCAGTAATAAATCCATTTAATCAATTTTTGATTTAATATAAAACAAACAAACCCACTTAACCTCAAAATTATACCGATACGTCTTTTCCTTTCCTTTTCCTAAATAATAATAATTAGGCCTAGTATTAGTTTTAGTTTAGTTATGGACTGAAGAAATTTCTGGAAAAGAACTATTACTCGCAGGGTTGCCGCCTTAAGTTTTTTAAGTTAGTGAAAAATCGGGACATGACATAGTCCCCCTCACCCTAGGAGGATTAAACATTAAGGCAAGGAGAGGACACGCTGTGGTTTCGTTGAAGCCAGCGTACTGGGGAGGGGGGAGGCAGCGCTACTCTCCCGCCCCCTCTCATACTGCGTTGTATGCGTTACTGGAAGATTTGGTAACAGAAATATCAATTAACTATTTAAAAATTAGACTTCACCATCCTACGAAAATTAAAAAGTTAAATTCTAACCGTAATAATTAGGAACCTATTAAGAGGAAAGTCAAATATGAACCAATAGTACGTTCAAAGGTGAGTAATTAATTTACACAAGGATGACTTATTTTTTGGAATTCGTTGTCTTTGTTTTTATTTTTTGCCATACTTGTATTGTGTATTATTTATAATACTCTAACCAGAGCGCGGGACTCCGGTTCATGGGGTCCCGTGTTCAAATCCCGCCATATCACCAATGGATTTTACTGTTCATAAATTAAAACTCAAATCATGAGTAGTACTGTATGTGTATTTGATTATTTTCTTAAAGAGAAATAAAATAAGTTTTAATCGTTTAAAATAATGATAAACGCACTTTGGCGGTCAGAAGACGTGATGATTGTTGAACATTCACACTTTTTACTCGAAGTTTCTTTAGGTAAACAGATCAAATATAGTTCAATATGATATTTAAAAAATCAAGAATTTGATTGCCAAGAAATTGTTTTACTTTTTATGATTGTAATTTAATTGTAACGAATGTTGGTGTAAAAAAAAGTTAGAGCGGCTTTGCATTTTTTCTTAACTTTGGCTATTTAAAATCACCTGCCTGGCACATAAATGACTTAAAACTAGTAAAAAATTATATTAACAAATCGAAAAAAACTATGAAAAATGCAAATTTAAAATGTATTTCATCACCCGAATTAAAATTTTCATTTTAACCTATTATTAGTAAGATTGTTTTATAAACTGGAAAAATAGAAAAAAACCTTATTGTAATTATTTTTCTAAATACCACTTTTAAATATAGGTAAATATATATTTTTTATTTCGAGAAACTCTTAAGGAACACGAATAAATTGTTAATTTGTGTAGATACATCATATTTTTTTCAAAAACGTAATTAAAGTAATCATATGTTCAATGTCCAGGTCAATTCTTTCAACTTTGATCTTCAATAATAAATAATAAATAATATTTCTTATAGGAATGATTGACACTGTTCGATAGGAAATTTAATTTACTTTAAGAATGCCATCGGTGAATAACACAGGTGTTTTAGTTTAGCGGCAATTTTAATTCGAAACAGCGCGCGTCGCGTTTTTCCCTATCTCTCCCATGTTATAGCCGAGGCTTTTTGCCACTCTACGGCTCCGCGTGCCCCTCTAGTGTTCTGCTAAAGCTGGCTTCACCGCAACACGTGTATTCCTATTTGCGTGCCCTCTCCTTAATGTTTAATCCTCCTAGCCCTCACCCCGGATTAACGCTTAATTAAATGCGGGCACAAGGAACGAAATCGGGACTGTCCCAGCCCCAGCCCCGGCAGAATCGGGACGGGGGGATTATTGTACTGGATTGGACTTTAGAATAAGATCAGACGAATAGCACATCCTTCCACCTCCACTATGACAAAAGCTAAGTGTTGACTGTTGAGAGGGGGCTGACTTGACTGAGGCGAACCCAGGCAGTCGGCCCAGTCCGATCCAAAGCCGAAGATGGGAATAAAACCAAAACTCGCTTGTTCCCTTGTTCGTTCGTTCTCGTTCTGTTCTTTCTTGGTTCTTGTTTGTTGTTGTTTGTTAATAAATGGCAGATAGATATAATAGGTTATGGAGTATGGACTTAGTTGAAATCCAGTTATGATTATTTATTGAAATACTGTATCGTCAAAATTTTATTCAAAACAGAATAAATTGTAAATTATTTTGTAATTGTTTAAATTTTCGAAAAATGGAGAAGCCACAGAAGATGCCAAAAGTTGCAAAGGTAGGCTAGGCCTAAATTCTAGTTTAGATTGGTTATAGGCTACCTAGCTTTGAAAATCAATAGACAATTAATGGTCCCTTTAAATCTAGGAACTAACTAAACTTAAACTTAGGCTATAAGTTTTGTGGGTACACAGTTTCTTAACAACGCTAGGCTACGCTAATATCGATTGAAAGTAGGCCTATCAATTCGATTAGTAAACCTTCATTCAATTTTTTCATTATTAGCAAGTTGGGTTAGGTCAAGACAGTTTCATTTTGAAATAGCCTAGTTAAAAATGGAGATTATTAATCGTTATCTTCAATTAGCATAGCTCAGTAAAGAAACTGTAGGTACCCAGTTTTGTTCCAAACATGAACAATCTCCGCTGGCTTACAGAATACAACGTTTTTAAAAGGACCAGAATAAGTTACATCTTGATTTCTATGTTTTTCTATTTAGTTTTGTTTGACTGGGACGGTGGCATCGTCCTGTGATCCAGCTAAGTTATAAGGAGGTCACAAATTGTGGATAGCCTATTTATAGGCCTGCACTATGGATGCGATACTCCCTGGTGTGGATTAACGTCGGCACTAGTGTGTAGCCTAGACGACGATCCTGATAACATGACGTTTGCTGTGGTGTTTTGTTACTGTTAGGCCTCGGTCACACTAGGCTATTTAGCAGCCGCTACTAACCAGCCACCAGTAATATTGCCAGCAAGCAGCCTAGTCTGACCCAGAACTAGCGGCTGGTAAATGCCAGTATGTTTAACTTTTTAGCGCTGCCTACCCTCCGCTGGCAGTCACGTGACCTCCTTGCTGGTGGCAGCCAGCCAATGTGAACCCCTAGTAGGTAGCTCACTAGCGGCTGGTGAATTAACGTGTCTAGATTTTTTGTTTATGCAATGTTAGTTTCGTTGTATACTGTATTTCATAGGTACTTCCTTTTGTGAATGTTGAACATGGTTGACACCAACAAGTGGTCGGGAAAAGGTGTAACATTTATAGATTTACCAGTATTCCAAGATTATCCTTGCCTGAGGAATGCTTCGTCTGTCAACTACATTGACAGGAATACCAAAAACAAAGCTTATAATGAGTCATATCAAAGTCAAAGACTTGAAGAACGAAGACTAATTGATCTTATGAAAGAGAAAAATGTCTAAGTCAAAGAAGGATGGTGCAGGAGCAGGTGAAGTCTACAAACTAGCGGCTATTTACTGGCGGCTAGTGGTTATAATGTGAAACGTACACATCCGCTGGCTGCTGGGGATTATCAGCGGCTGGTTAGTAGACAATAGACAGGGTGTCTAGTAGTCGGGAAAGTCGGGAATTAGTATTGAATTTCAAAATGGTCTTGAAAGTCGGGATTTAGTCTTAAATTTGATTTCAAAGTCGGGAATTTTCATGATTTTGCCGCGATCGTCGTCTTGCGTTTACGTAACCGCAAAAGCCAATGATGATGTCTACACGGCCTCGGGAAATGTTCACGATTTTGCCGAGATAGTGGACGACGACGATGACGTTTCCGAAACCACGAAAGACGACTGTGACAGCGGGAGACTACGATGACGTATCCGTGACCGCGGTAGACGACGATGACGTTTCCGTGACCGCGGGAGACGACGATGATATCTGCTCGGCCGCGGGAAATGTTCATGATTTTGTCACGATCGCGGACGACGACGATGACGTTTCCGTGACCGCGGGAGATGACGATGACGTGTCCGTGACCGCGGGAGATGACGATGACGTTTCCGTGACCGCGGGAGATGACGATGATGTCTACACGGCCGCGGGAAATGTTCATGATTTTGCCGTGATCGCGGACGATGACGATAACATTTCCGTGACCGCGGGAGATGACGGTGATGTCTGAAAAGCCGCGGGAAATGTTCATGATTTTGCCGCGATCGCGGGTGAGGCCGCGGGAAATGTTCATGATTTTGTCACGATCGCGGACGACGACGATGACGTTTCCGTGACCGCAGGAGATAACGATGACGTTTCCGTGACCGCGGGAGACGACGATGATGTCTACATGGCCGCGGGAAATGTTCATGATTTTGCCGCGATCGCGGACGACGACGATCACGTTTCCGTGACCGCGGGAGATGACGATTATGTTTCCGTGACTGCGGGAGACGACGATGATATCTGCTCGGCCGCGGGAAATGTTCATGATTTTATCGCGATCGCGGGAGATGACGATGACGTTTCCGTGACCGCGGGAGATAAGGATGACGTTTCCGTGACCGCGGGAGACGACGATGACGATTCCGTGACCGCGGGAAATGTTCATGAGTTTGTCGCGATCGCGGACGACGACGATGACGTTTCCGTGACCGCAGGAGATGACGATGACGTTTCCGTGACCGCGGGAGATGACGATGACGTTTCCGTGACCGCGGGAGATGACGATGACGTTTCCGTGACCGCGGGAGACGACGATGATGTTACACGGCCGCGGGAAATGTTCATGATTTTGCCGCGATTGCGGACGATGACGTTTCTGAGACAGCGGGAGACGACGATGATGTCATTGATGTCTACAAGGCCGCGGGAAATGTTCATGATTTTGCCGTGATCGCGGACGACGACGATCACGTTTATGTAACCGCTGCAGTCAATGATGATGTCTAAACGTACGGTACGTGGAAGATTTCATGAAAAAAAAATTTGCTAGTTAGAATTTTTTATTGCTGCATTATTTCTTTACTTGAAAACACCACATTATCATAATACTACTTTATGACAAAGACAGGGGTTGGTGTAGAATTATTAAGAAAATTTTGTTAAGCTATAACAATTGGTATCGGTATCAAGAATCGAGAATCGATACATTTTGGTATCAACACGCACTAATTGTTGAAAAAACTAGTCTTAAAAAATCTGGAATTAGTCTTGAAAAGTCTGGAATTAGTCTTGAATTTTATAATGGAAATAAACTAGACACCCTGATAGACAAAATCTTTATTGAAATATTCCTAGAGAACATTCATGGG